TGTCTCAATCCACACAGAATAAGTCACTTTCTTCATAAATACGAAGCCGTGAACTTTTTCTACGAGGTGATACATTGATAAAATGATGTTCGTTACACTGCTCATCCGTGGCTACTTATGCTCTCCCTGTGGGCCTGTTTCGTATCCTCCGGCGACGAAAGATGCAAACAGAGATACATGGCACATAACCGTGTATATTTTGTCAATGTGGAAGTTGAATAAATTGATTGAATAATCTAAAAACTACGGCCCTACGAAAGACTCGAAACGAGCCACTGTGCAGACAGACGCCCACTTTCCTGTCAACAATATGCTCGCGCGATCCTACACCATCCCTACGGCTTGAGAATTCCAACGTAGTTCAGTCGAATTGGCTAGAGTAGATATTTATCTTGGCACTAACCGCAGACCTTTGAACGGTTAACCCTATCAGACGCTACCGGACCATGCTGTGGGCAACCATTTCATTGATTCTCGTGTTCCGTAGGCATTCATAGTACTAATAACGATTATCTTGAATTATCTCTCCCGCTCGTTGTTGGGAGTGAGTGATCAGTACTCAACTCGTGACCTCGTAGAACGGTCAAACATCTGAAATTTGAATACTTACGCCGCCCCTTGCCTGGACGTGCGAGCCTCCGGTCGGGCACGATTCTGACAACCGTCTATAACTTTGACATGCTGTCTAGTAGAGGCTGTACAACTCGCCAGACGGCCTCGACGAGCTCTCGTTTTACAGGCCACGAGATTCGATGGCTATCAGGGACTTTTATTCTGGAACACGGCCGGACACCCGATTTTTACCAGCCGATGAAATGCACGCGGCGAGCATATAAAAGTTGGCCTGCCCGTGCGTGTGCTTCACTACGCCCTTTACAATCCTCACGCAAGAAAACCATGAAATTCACGAATATTGTCGCTGTTATTTCCTCCGTGGCTGCTCTGCTGTCGGGAACTGTCTCTGTTGTCCTCCCTGGCGCCGATACTCCCCTCTTCTACCTCGTCGCGTCTTCCCCTAGTGCCTCGGCGAACCTTCTGGTACGTACTTTTGACTATCAACGACGAAGCTCTCTCTCATTTACCCCTCGCGTAGCCTTTAAGGATCGAGGGAGGCACCAATGGCTATTCCACTCTGACTGGCAGCAGTCCCATAGGTCAATTTTACTTCTACCAAGGACGCCTCAGAGCCCACGATCCGGATGGGTCCACCGTGTTACAGTACTACATGCCATTCCTCAGCTCACAGCTGACTTCCACTGGGTGTACCACCTATGGAGGCATCAAATTTATACCAGGCCCAAGCACGAACAAATGTGGTCGCTACGAATACTTTCAGATCCAATCCAACACCGAGAACAGCCAACTTGGTGCGAAGCTGGTGTTTAACTACGTTGGCGGGTTCTATGCATGTGGAAGTGGACAGGATGTAAGTTCTCGTCGTATGGCTCCTTAAATTCCGCCCAAATGTCTGACTGATCTCTACCTAGGTGTGGTACAAGGTTGATGCCGCGGATGGCCCTACAGAGTGCTCTCCGATTGAGCTTTACACAGTTCCCGTCACTGTTTAAGTTCGCGAAGCAAAAGCAGAGAATGAAATGAGGCATCGTTTCTCGAGAGGCAAACTCCTGCTGACCTGACGAGTTATGGAATATCTTAAATCCTCAAATAATTTTGACAGATATTGACTTAGAATGGACTCTTTACTTTGGGGCAGTATCGGACTTGCTTTGCTTTAGGACATGTAGGAGTAATTACAGCGGCACAGTCAGAGTCAGACATCCCAGGATAGCTCATACACAGAAACTCTTTATTTCCTTTCCGCCTCTCTGATTTGCAACAGATGTTCTCATGAAGAAATAGTTGCCCTCGGTGATAGTATCTGGTATCGTACAACCTCCTAAACCTCTTCCCGGAATGCACAACCGCGAAAAATGCTTCTACAAGTACTTCTCGGAATCTAATATCGTCTCCTGCAAACACCAGCCTCCTACCCCACTGCTATCAGTTTCCCTGCACAGGTACTCCGGACGCCAACACTTCTTCACAAAGTGTATCTCTAGCGGAAGGTTCGTCGTGGGCGGCGAGCTCAAGTGCTGCTCCTCGAACTCCCCGATCCCATGCGCGATGGCCCGCTGGACAGCAAGGAACTGGCGGGGGTCCCCCGCGGCGAACATATTCGTGCGCAATTCCTCCGGGCGACCGAAGGATACTTTGAGGATCTGGAGTTTCGGGAAAGAGGTCGTGGCGAACTCGAGGAACTCCATCTGGCAAAATGTGCGTTAATGCGGAAGGAAGAGATGCATGGCAGGAAGAACGACTTACCACGATAACGTCTTGGTTGGTGTACTTTCCAGGTGCCGGCCAACGGGGCGAAAGTGACATCCCGAAGACTTTTAGCGACTTGAGCTCCGTGAGGGCATCGGAGTTGTGCTCGCCGAAGCACCAGAGGCCGTTGAACATTGCTGAAATGAGTAAAGTCTCGAGCGTGTCCGCGTGGCTTCTGAGCGGTCCGCCGTAGAACGAGGTAGCTAGTTCGTCGGATGCCTCTGCTGTTTGCGAGCTGATACGTCGGAGGACGAGCTTCTTCAAGCCGGAGTAGCTCTCGAGGTACTTCAGGAGTGCGGGACAGACAGTATCAACAACGATTTCTTCGAGCTTGAGGTCCATGGCCAGGATGGCGGTCCAAATTTCCTCGAGCGTGGATCCGACCTTCTTGATGGCAGAATCCGGGTCGTTTTCGACGTTGAGTGAGTTCAAGAATTTGTTTGGGTGCCAGGCAAATGGGGAATAGGACGTCGGTGCTGAACGGCGTGGTTCCCAAATGTTAGTAAGCTCCAGAGATACGAGATGGCGCAAATGCGGTGCCGTTCGGGCGTTTATCCTTACGAGCATGGAATGTAGAGCGAGCCTCTGGAGCACGCGAGGTTCTTCTGGTGAGCAGCGCGAAAACAGCTGATGGAGGCTGGCTGCAGCATTTACGCCTTCTGATTCGTAGCCATATCCAGTCCTCTTGACGCGAACGCTCGACAACTCCGATGTCTTGGCGATGAGCTCCCCAAGACTCTCGAACGTCCCTCCTTGGGGAGAATCAGGCGAGAAATTTTCTGTGTCGTCGGCGATATCAAGATGCTGCAGGTGAGAGAATGCGTCGAGCGGGACGGCGATCTGGGCAGATGAGGTCCTGAGGCTGAGCTCTCGAAGCTTTGGAAGGGTGATAAGCGCCTTGAGGACGATTTCGTCAAGATCCTGCTCTCCCATATGCCAACTAGGAAATATCAGTTGTGGCATTGCATGGAGAGAGGTAGAACAACGTACATGACGGCTTCGAGACCTTGGAAGTTGTTTAGGGCCTCACGGAGCGCATCTACCACATCCGCGCCATTCGTTGCTACTATCGTGTTGATCATGAGGCATTTCGCAGCACGAGCGATTGCGGGGGCGTCCCCATTGGAAAGAGAGCTCAGCCTGTCCTTGCTTTCAGCAGGCGTAGATTTTGAGAGGTCGATGTACACTGTGCTGAGGATAAAATATTCAAGGCATTCCCCAAGTCGTTTGCAAACGAGACGTAGGATTTTTCTTTGCTCTATGTCGACCTCGAAGGGAGTCAGATAGGAGATCTGCACAGTAATTCGACGTACCAGTGCGCATATTTGAAGCAGAATCTCGAGAGGGAGCTCTGGTAAGCTGGTCATAGAAGTTTTAGTAGAGGAGATTCGAAATGGGTGAAGAAGAAGATATGAAAACGCTAAGAGGTGGGAGGAAGAAAGAGCGTCGGCAATTGCCGAGGGTGAACTACCCCTATTTCATTGACCGTCACAGTACTTTCACTCGATTCATCATGGATTTTACTCCGACTGCAGTCTGGCCGCTCCCATCCATCCCAAATGCTATTTTCGCCGACATTTTGGCTGATTACAACACTTCTCAACCGTCGGATACCGACGCATTCGACACAGGCGTAGAAGAGCGGGACAAAAGTGCGTGTATCGTATGCGGGGTTTCAGACCCCGTAGTGCTGCAACACTGTCATATCATACCCCTGGCCGACTCGAGCACTGTCAGTCGTTCCCACTTGCTATTCATGACATGTTTGCTAAGAAGCTTGTATAGTGGGAGCTCATGCAAGGTCTACGCTATATCCCGAACAACGCTAAATCAGTTCGTCACGAATCGCGCAATGGAATCCTAATGTGCTCAAACCACCGTGCAGGCTTCGAGAGCTACCGGTTCTACATTCGGTGGATTTCTGAGGTGAGTTTCGAGTCAGCAATATTCACCCATATCCTAACCTTTGAGACTTTCAGAGCAACGAATTCGTCATCGTCAACCATTCGCGGATGGCAGCTTGGGAATCCTTACACGGCAATGTGCTTGATTTCAACACCAATATGAAGCGATGTCCCTTCCCCACCGCCTTCCTCTGGCATGAATATCGTGTTCGGGGCTTTCATCCCACGTCTGACGACCGTCCTGTGACCTTCAAGAGAGGCGATCTACGAGGCGGAAGATTCTATCGTGTGCGTGATGGTGCAGGAGAGAGCCCTGAAGGTGCCAGCAGCCGTGAAGCTGAAAATCACGGTGGAACTGGCGAGCGGGTCGAAGCCGATTCGAAGGGGAATGAGGACGCGAATACGTCGAATTTTTTTCCGATGCGTTTGGAGGGCGACAACCTTGCAGCATGGCTCAAGCAGCTCGGCAACACTCGTCGTGGAAGGACTGCGTGATAGAGAACTCGTCTTGGGAAGGAACTGCCACGGAGAACATCGAGAAATACCAACGCGAGGTGCTGAAAGCGCCTGAGGATTGATCATGGAATAAATCGGGCGTCGGCAGGGTAGAAGGTCAGGCCTGTAAGGGCTCGCATCACGGAATTTGCGAGGACAACGATGTACCGCACTGGAAGGATCGATCTGCGAACGAATTCATGACTCGATGGGTAAATATAAACGGGCGAAGATGTGGAGCGTCCGGGCCCGATGGAGTGCTTTCATTTTCTCATGGTGAATAATCATCATCATTTCTAGCGCAAGTACTGCTAGAGCGGGTGCTGAAATGTAAAGAAAATCGCGTATGCTGAGTGTTATGCTTAGTTTCATCTGAAGTGATTTCTCCACCACGGATCCTTCCATCGAGAACACGATAAAGGATCAGCAGAGCAGAAATACCCTGGGAGAAACCGGTAAGTACGGACTCTGTACCAGGCGTAAAAAAAAACAGGGACTTACGTAGACATGCACGAGGAGCTGATGTGATAGTACGAGGCCAATATTAGAGTTGAAGTGGGCGCATACGTGTGCGAGGTTGAAGACGACGATCAGTGCGGCGGATTCCACGCATATAGCGATGACCCTTGCATATGGCGAGCCGTACTCCCTACCAAGCGCCTCTTGGATAAATCTCCGGTGGTACCAGAGGCGAAGGACGATGAGCGTTGTCATGATAAAATTGCATATGGAGGTCGCCAACACGAAGATGAGCATGAATTTGTTCAGGTCGGTCAGAGACGTTGCCAGGTAGGTTAAACCTAGCCCTGTGATACAAGAGTGAGAAGGAATCAAGAGCATAGGAGATGGGACTTACCGAGCGAAATTAACGCCATAATGCACAGGAGGATATCAATCGAAGACCGAAGAGCACGAGAGGCGTCCTCGTATAGGATGACGCATCGCCAAATCTTCATGAAAAGTGTGATCAACGGAGGGTATCGAATCATCGATTCGACTCACCACCAAGGCGTCTGCCGCCCATGAAGCAACTACCAGCGACACGACACCTCCAAAACGTACGAAACGCGTCGTGACGCCACCTGCGCCGCCTGGGGGCGGAAAAAGGACGTCTACGAGGGCGATACAGCTGCACACGACAGCCAAGGTACTGAGAAGGAACATCCAGAGGATGTAAGGGAGGAAGAAGCGACCGAACGATGTGCCCTTCCTGTACCCGACGTCTAGAGATCCGCGTCGAGGAGCCTTGCATTGTAGGTAGTTGATAGTGCACCCAAGGCAGAGGACGATGACAATCCCGTAGGCGACGGCACCGAGGAAAGTGCCTACCAGCCAGAGCTTGAGGTTTGCATTTGGGAAGCCCGTAAGAGAGCCTGAGGCAGTGGGGGCCATAGAGGAAGGCGGTGGAATTCCTGGACCCAGGATGCAGACGGTGGGTTACTTATGATAGTTTCGCAGTGGGGCGATGTGTTAAGGATCGCACAGGATTTGAAATCCATGGAGGAGTCAGCGTACGTTATCCTTGGAAATGAAGGAGACCTTTTTATAAATCTTACCTCGTCGTTCTCCACTTTGCTGCCACCTCGCCCCAACCTCCGATACACGTCGGACGACTCGAGAACCACCAACCTGTCAGATTAATATCAGTAACTCTCGGAGGCTTAGACGTTCCGTTTAGTGCAAAAGGAATTGGAAAGGAATATTCGGTCGACACGGCGTTCAGCAGCAAAGTTGAACGCAATGTGTGGTGCTGGCCGTGACGAAACGTCTCACGACCGGCATAGGCGGTCCGGCCACTAAGGATGCCGATTGACGGAGAGGACGGATTCTCTCGAGCCTCTAAAGGCACCTGTTCCTAAACCAAGAATAATATTCTCTGCGCCTTTGTAAGCCCTGAAAAGAAGCTATTCTGGCTCAACGATCCTACTTGATTGACATACGCTTCAATAATTTATTCACACATTTCACCGCAAAGAAAATCAGCTTCCGTCCTCCTATCGACTCTTCTTCGGGCTAGATTCACCGTTCGAAAAGTATGTGACCTAAACCTGGACATGTGGTTCATGATACGTTCGAATGGTGTAAAGAAAGCCTGAGCGGGGTAGTGAGATGTTGGAATCCTTGACCGTCGGTATTTCCTTTGAGTGCAGATGATCACATTGGATGTCAGAAGGATGAAAGTATTCATATGTGTTCTGCACGATGAGTGCGACAAAATAAATCTGGTCATTCGAGTACCCCGAATCGAGGCTCGAGATGCGTGCGTTCATGATGAGCAAATCGGCTACTTATGCATGCGCGATCGAGGAATGAAAAAACCAACCAATACTATAAGTATCCTGTAACAAAAGCAATAGGAGTCGGAACTCAATTGTAACAGGGTCAAGCGCCCAGCGAGTTCGTGGCGAGGAGCAAAATATTGCCTAATCTAGGCAACGGGCGCCACAACGCCCTGGCCACAATTGGCATTTGGCCCGATTTGATATCCTGCTCTGGATGTGCCAGGCCACAGGCAACGCTTACATAACGAATGACGGGCCACCGAAGACGTTTCCCAGAATTGAACATTAGCTCGTGGGGTGGGCCGTGGCACAGAGGACGGGAATTGTATAAAAGGCCGCGAGAGGGAGGGTCATCCCAACTTGAATTGCGAACGAACCCCCCGTTTTCGATCCGACCCGCCCACATATAAGCACCCCAGTGCCGTCAGTCCCAGCTCGTACTTATACACCTCTACTCCATTGTCGACAACTTCGAGCCATGATCCCACACAACCACCTTACCCCTTCCCTCCACCCCTCCACCACCTCCCTGCTTCTGAGCTTGCTGTGTCCGCCCCCCGAGAGCATCGGCCAAGGCTTATCGCCCCAACGGCTTGAGCTTGACCAGACTATGGCTCGTTTACAGAAGGTTCTCCCTGCCTCGAGGGACCGAAGAAACGATCACTTCAGCGGGCTATAACCTCGCATGAGATCTCGATCCTTGCTCGACCCATCGCATTTTACATTCGACCGCCGCCGGGAATTCCTGGTCGAAGGCTACGCCTTTGAATGTCTCTGTCCCCATTACATCAAACCAAAGGCTGACATACAACAAAGTCACGCCAAGCCACCTTCTGGAACGTCGACGAGACGACCTCTGTTGGTTTACAGCGTTCCAGGAGTGTACGCCGGTCAGCCATGCTGGGCCTTGAAGCTTGAAGGCTTTGGGCGCCTTTTGTGCTCTTCATCGGATTCGGGCCATCTGTCGGATGCGCGGATATGTTTGGGAGTTTATCTGCCTGCCTCCGCCTCCTCCCCGAAGAAGACGGCGACAATCTTGGATGCCCCAGCGATCTCTAAGGCTGCTTACGATGACGTCGACATTCTCGCTCGCCTGTCTTCTGCGGAATTGGCTTAGAAGCAGCCAGTGGCCCGTATATCCTCCGTTCGAGAGACGGATCAAAACAATGAAAGGTGCTTTACCTCGCGGTGTTATGACCGCGAAGGCCGCCAACATTGTCCTCGACACAGAGCTCGCACAGGCACTGCAGCGCGACACATTTGAAGATATATGGCCAGCTTCCTTCCCTCGCTATGGAACAAGACGCGAGAAACGACTCGAAGCGAGAGCTCCTGGCCATAACCTGCCTTTTCCTTCGGTGCATCGCCAAATCACCAAGTACCCGTCCTGGAGAACAAGCAATTGCCGATTTTAAGCAGTGTATTCAGCCAGCGGCAATGCATACGCCGCCACCTCAGCCTTTCAGCCCTCATGGAAGCGTATTGCATGGCATATCAGGCATATTAGACCGGCCTCATGACCTTGAAGAGCTCAAATTCATCGAGGGCGGCGTAGTAGAATCGACATAAATAGCACATACCTAGTCAACTAGTCACATAACGCTCATGGGCAATTGAATCCCTGTACCGAGCAATCTTATTCTGACAGTATATTCTGACTTGTTACGATTGTGTGGTTTCAACCGGCGGGTGTTTGCTTTTGAGAGAGAGCAGACGCAGAAGAAGGGGTCAGCTAGTCTCCGTATGTGCCGACTAAAGAAAACGCAATGGAAAACGAGGCCTTTGATGAGAGTTCTCAAGTCAATATATTACGTATCAAAATGTTTATAACAGATGTATCTATCAGTTCGTGTCGTAAGAAGAGGAGAGGTGGAAGAAGCGCGTCGTTGGGGATGTAGACGACGGCGTCGGTGGTTGCAAGGGGAATGAAAAATGCAGCGGTGCCACCGCGCAGAACGGCGATAGGACTCGGAGCTCAATTACAACGCCACCACAGGGTCAAGGGCCCAGCGAGTTCGTGGCCGGAGCAGAATATCAAATCGGGCCGAATGCCAATTGTGGCCAGAGCATTGTGGCGCCCGTTGCCTAGATTAGGCAATATCACAGGGTCGGACTTCACATATTGACTCCGGCTTTATCCTAATGTTATCCGAAGGAAATACTAAATAAAATTTGCATAAAGGACCATGCTCTATTGAGACAGATATCTTGAATTTATGCTTACTTTGGACCCTTTACCTGTAATTTATTTGAATAAAACCTTTGTTGTTTGCCGCTGAACTACAAAGAAGTTATTTGAAGAATTCTCTTTGTAATTTACCGACAGAAGATGTTTCCCAGAAGTGGATACGGCCCAGCCCGTGTGCGGCCGAGGGGTGGGCCGTGGCCACAGAGGACGGAAATTGTATAAAAGGCTGCGAGAGGTTGGGAGGTCGTCCCCATTGCGAACGAACGCTCCGTTTTCCTCAGTCGAGAATACTCCTCTGTTCCATTGTTGACTTCGACCATGATTCCACACAATCTCCTTCCCTCCATCCCTCCAACTCCACTCCTGCTTCTGAGCTTGCTGTGTCCACCGCCCGCTTGGCCACGACCACCGCCGCCAGAGGTTGCACAAAGTTTCTCCAAGCCTTGCGGCGATTGGGCGTTGACGCAGATATGTTCGGACGTTTATCTGTCTGTCGCCGCCTCCGCTTCGAAGAAGACGTTGGTGATCTTTGGCATTCCAGCGACCAATGTCGCTCATGAAGACCCCATCGTCCGGATACCCTCCATTCGAAAGACGGATCAAATCACTGAAAGGCGCTTTACCTCGCGGTGTTATGGCCGCGAAGGTCGCAAACATGGTCCTCGCCAAAGAGCTTGAGCCTCGCACTGCACCGTGTCGCATTCGAAGAGATATGGACTTTCATCCCTCCCTACTTCAATCCCTCAAAACTGTACATGTTACTACGACTGCGGTGGGTGCCTCAAGACGCCGTCTATTTCCATCCACGACTCCCCCGACGAATTCGTCTGATACCTCCTTCTCATATATCTCCTTCTCATTTCTTCCACCAACGATGACGTACTTCAATACCTCGCTACGGAACTAGACGCGAGAAACGACTTGGAGCGATGACCGGAAGGACATTCCATGGCATAACACAGCGGCTTCACGGCCTCGAAGAGTTCAACTGCATCGAGCTCGAGGGCGCAAAGTAAAATCAATGGAAATAGTACATACCTAGTCACGTAGCGCGCATGTATCGCAGTTAAATCCTTAAACCGAGACGTATCACTCTGACTCGAACAATTGTGTGGCTTCTTGAGAGAGAACAGATGCAGAAGGGGTCAGTGAGTCTCTGTAAGTACGTGTCGGCAAAAGATACCGAAAGAAAGTTCAATGAGGAACGAGGCCATAGATTTTCACATCTATTGACTTAGATGTGAGAAATATAAGACAAATAAACGTCGGAAAGTCCTCAACTTTTTTTTAAATCTTACCTCGTTGCTCTCACTCCTCTGCCACTTCACCCCAACCTCCGAAATCCGTCCGATGACTCTTGAGCCGGCAAGATTGACGTCAGTAGGTCTGTCCTCGAACGCTCGAACGCTCCGTCAATACAAGAGAAATTGGAAAGACAGGCTCGGTCGTCACAATGCTGAGTAGCAAAGTCGAGTGAAGTGCGAAGCAGTATAAGGTCGGTGACCAATGACAAGGCCGGCGTGAGCGGTCCGGGTCACTAGAAAGCCCAGCGACGATAGCAGTGTCGCTGCACACGCTCGAGGTGCTGGCAGGAAACACAAAGATGTAAGTCGAGAGATATCCCTCGCATCGCCTTGCTCTCCGATCTCAACAACCGCCCGGCTACGCCACACCATTCTTTCAAGACAACTGGACGAATGGATACCTACTCTATTGCAGCTACAGCAAAGGCAACATAATAAGTGAAGCATAAGTGAAATCCATCATATCAAAATACACATCGAGTTCAACTCCAACCTCACCCCATTCGCCAAGCTCTGACTTCCCCTAACCACCTCCGCCCTCATTCTCAAATCATCCAGCTCCCTCTCCATCGCCCTCGTCCTCTCCCTCTCCTCCATCCTCAGCCCAACCAGCACCGGCAAGAACTTGGCCACCTTCGTCCACGCCTCGCACCGCCTGCTGACCGTCTCCACGATGCCGTCCTGCACATCCTCCGTCTCCTCCCACGTGATCCCGCAGTCAACGGTGCAGCCTTCGGGTAGGAGGTGCGAGAGGAAGAGCGCGACGGCGCGGTCGTCGTCGATGATCGAGACGCCCATCGAGAGCTTCTTGAGGCTGGTGAATGGGGTGAGCGTGAGGGAGAGAGAGGGCGAGATGGGAGACGCGACGGAGGTCGCGTCGAGGAAGAGCCCGAGGTGGTGTAGCTTCGTGCAGTGCTTCGCGAATGGGAGGAGGGCGTCAAGGCTGAGGTGGGAGGAGGTGAGGTGCACGGGCTCGTTGTTCAGCATGAGCGTCTCAAGGGCAGGCCAGGCCGCAGCGAGCACTTCGATGTCTTCCTGCTTCAGCGCAAGCGGGTGCTGGTGGATGATCTCCAACGACGTTAAATTAGGAAGCTTCAAGACGGGCTTGAGCGTGTCGATGCTGATGGTAAACTCGTCGCCGTCCTGTCCGGGCTGGAACGTCGACATGCTGGGGTCCCGATGCGAGATGAGGGCGAGGAACTTGAGTTCGTGGCAGTTCTCTGCGACGACGGAGAGCATGTGGTGGATCGCGGATGGGGTTTCGATAATGTTCGAATCGAATGTAGAGCATAGTTAGGTTGGGAGGGGCGTAGGCGACGTCCAGGAAGCGGGCGGCGTCAGCGAAGGACGTCGTCATTGAGTGGTCCCATAGCGATGGGAAAGCACCTTTCTCGAACTCCGGCGCAAAAGGAATCATGTCGCTTGGGTCGCCACAGCCCTGCTCGTCGTGGTACTGAAACTCGATGATACCAAGGTTCTCCAGTCTCGACAGCGTCTCCGCGATTTTGGAGGTCAGGTAGTACCGCGGAAACGTGATCTTGCGGAGCATGGGCAGCTGGGCGAGCAGGCCCCTCATCTCCTCTTCGATGGCACGCACGCTGACGTCCGAACGGAAGTCGATCGAGGTTAGTTTCGGCATCCGCGAGGCGATATCTTGGAAGAACGGGCGCGGAGAGATGGTTTCGAGTTCGACGGGGAGGAATACACTGAAGTGCTTCACGCCAGCGTGCATGAACATGACGCAGAGGCTGAGCGGCGCGTACCACTGCAGCGTGTGCATGTTCGGCAGGACGTCTATTCGCGTCCGCGTCCGTGCTACATCGTCGAACATGCTTTTCCGGATCTTTGGGTTGTCGGCGGACGAATGGTAGACGAGTCGTCGTACGCGACCGGCGTACTTCTCGAACCGTTTCCAGTCGTCTGACTCTGGCAGACGTTCAAACTCCTGTTGGAAGCCCAGATATCAGTATAAATGATGCCATCCAGACGCATATAACGCACGTATTCGTCCTTCCCAACTCTTCTGAGTGGCGCCAAAACTCCGAACAACCTCTCCAGCTGATCCACATCCCTCCAAAGCGAGTCCAACGCAATTTCCGACCACTGCCTGCACACCCGCGCGTTATTCGAGTTCGAGTCGTGGTCCAGCATCCCAAATATCATGTCGAGGAGCTCCGGAATGTAAAGAACGCGGTACATCTTCGCGTGTGGCAGGGGAGAATTGGCTGCCATGCCATGGGACGTTTGCGGTTGGTTGAGAAGTGGCTTTGCAACAATCGGAGTAGCTGGTGGAGTTGTAGACAAAGGGAATTCTTAAGAGCTTTGTGGAAAGAACGAGAGCTGGGGGTAATGGCAGAAATTAAGAACGAGTTACGAGGTTGAACTTGAAAGTCAGTTCGTCACTTGAAGCCCCTGCACGTGATGGATGCAATTCGTGATGGATGCAATTCTGTCCCACGGCCCGCCGCCGCCGTCTACATCCCAACACCACTTTTTCCATAACTCCTTTTATTACGGCGCGATAAATATATTTTTTGCACACCTGGTGCTTCGTACCTTTAAATAACTCCTATGCAGTCCTTCCTAATGCGCAATGGAGAGGTGAAAGTACCCACTTAAGCGGTCCCTAGGCTGCAACTTTTGTACAGTTTGATCTTCAGTTTCGGGCCGCTGGAATTCAAACCTGGAGCCGCGGCATCGCTGTTCCTCGCGTTTTCTGTCCTGTCCTTCAGGCATCTTTGGCCGGCACGTACTAACCGGCCTGCGTTTGTTCGCTCTCAAAAGCAAAACCGTGACGCCCGTCGGTTGAAGCCGCAAAATTGTAGAAGTCAGAACGATATGTTCGATACAGGGATTCAATTGCGATACACAAGCCGCAGCGCTATATGACTAGGTATGTACTATTTCTGCAGACACTGTGATGCCCTTCGGTACAGGGATTCAATTGCGGTACATGAGCTCTATGTGACTAGGTATGTACTATTTCCACAGGCCATACGATGCAGCCCTCGTGCAGTATTTCGAGGTCTTCAAGGTTCTGAAAGCCTCTCTCTGATACGCCATGGAATATGCTTCCTCCGAGTCGTTTCTCGCGACGCTGTCCTGTACTGAGCGATACAAGTAGGGATGGATGGAGGCCCATATCTCTTCGACTGCGACGCGAGGCTCAAGCTCTTCGGTGAGGATCATATTTGCGACCTTGGCGGCCATAACACCGCGAGGTAAAGCACCTTTCAGTGTTTTGATTCGCCTCTCGAATGGAGGGTATCCGGACCTCGAGGGTTGGTTGACTCCGTATGTGGTGGTTGAGGAATCAGGATCGCAGTATGGACGGCTTCACCTCTTCAAAAGCGGCGCGGTGGAGCGGCGACTCGGAGGACCATATTTGCGACCTTGGCGGCCATAACACCGCGAGGTAAAGCGCTTTTCAGAGCTGCTGGAGCGATAGAGGTTGGCCGATGCTGTCGTACGGCTCCTCGACGGACATGAGTGGCCCTGGGGACAGCGCTGTTGGAGGCGAAGATGGGTCCTAGGTCGGCTTCGCAATCACTTCAGCTTGCTCTTGCTCTGGCGGCAGCCGTATTGGCCAAGAGGGCAGTGAACACAGCAAGCTCAGAAGCAGGGGTGGAGCCGGAGGCCCGGGGGTGGAGGAAGGGGCAAGGTGGTTGTGTGGAATCATGGCTTGAAGTCGAAGTCGACGATGGTTAGAGGAGTAAAAGTAAGAGCCAAAGGATAAAGCTGGGGAGCTTATAGCTATGTGGCTGGACTTGAAAACGGGGAGTTCGTTCGCAATGGGGACGACCTCCCAACCGAGAGCCGCCTTTTATACAAATTTCGTCCTCTGTGGCAACGGCGCACCCCTCGGCCACACACGAGCTGTGCCGTATCCATTTCTGGGAGACGTCTTGTCTTCGGTCGGTGGCCCGTCGCGCTTGTCCTTTGCGTGTTGCCTCAGTTTATGACTTGGCACATGCTCAGAGCGGAATACTGCCTAATCTAGGCAACGGCAACGAGCGCCACAATGCTCTGGCCACAATTGGCATTTGGCCCGGTTTGGCCCGATTTGATGTCCTGCTCCGGCTCCTGGCCACGAACTCGCCAGGCCCTTGACCGTGTTGCAATTCGGTTCTTAATCCTATCGCCGTTGACTCTGTTAGAGGGTACTTATAGTATTGGTTGGTTCTTTTGTTCTCGACTGCACATGCATAGCTGATTGAGCCCATCATGGGCGCATGAATCTCGAGCCTCGATTGGGAGTATTCGAAGGGCCAGATATCGTTTGTCGTACATCGTGTAGAACACATATAGGTATTTTAATCGTTTCGACATCTCTGCACTCAAAGGAAATACTGACGGTCAAGAAGCCCAACTAGTGGTTTTCCGGCCCGGCTCGGCCTGAAAGCCGCGGCTTAGGCCCGGCTTTGGGAGGCTCAGGCTCACAATTTTTGAAGCCTGAGCCGTTTCCCACGGCTTCCCACGGCTTAGGCTCGGCTCCGGCCTGGGCCGCGGCTTCTCAATATATTTGCAGAAATGTGGGCACGGCCAATATTAGTGCGGTAGGTGCACACTAATAGATTTCAATACTTGATACACTTATTGATGCGCCAGTAACGAGCAGAAATCCGGGTGAACATCACTTTCCAGACATGCTGATGTAACATTTCGGAGACTTTAGACGGTGATCGGCGTGTTCGAGGATGCTAATTATTAGCTAATCATTGGAGAGCAGGTCAAAATAGTTCAGTAAAAGGTTCGGTCACGGAAGAGGGAGTAAAAGTGCGGCCCCTTGAAACTATCCACACGGAAAATTAGTGGCGGCCTGTCACCGACGGCCTCAGGCTTTAGATTTTCGAAGCCTGGGCCGTGGGCCGCCCAAAGCCGTACCCGCGGCTCAGGCTCGGCCCGGCTTCTGAAGGCCGGCTTCGGCCGGCTTACGGTCTCTGAGCCGAGCCGGCAAATCACTAAGCCCAACATCTCACTACCCCAGTGTTCAGGAGTCAGGCTTTCTTTACACCACTCGAATGTATCGTAAACCACGCTCTATGTCTAGGTTTTCGGTCTCATATTTGAACTGGGAATCTATGTAGCCTGAAGAAGGTTCAATGTCTTGTCCGAGAAGGCCGATGATCAATATTGCTGCAGGTGCCAGAGAATGCAAGCCTCTCGAAAGGTTAGCGCTTCGACGTAGTATAGCTCTCAATGAATTCTACATGATAGATCTTACCAGAACACGCTTTACTGGGTTTGAAGAGCTTTGAGGCGGGCGAGCATACCGTATTCATTTATACTTTTTGCTTCGTCCTAAGTGCCGGTCCGCTTATGCCGACCGTGAGATGTTTCGTCACCGCCATCACTGCACACTTCGTTCAACTTTGCTGCTGGGCGCTGTGTCGACCGAATATTCCTTTCCAATCCCTCTTATATCTAAACAGAACATCCGAGCCTCCGAGAGTAACTTATATTAATCTGGCATGCTGGTGGTTCTCGAGGTATCCGACGAGTATCGGAGCGGTTGGGACGGGTGTCAGCGGAGTGAATCAGCGAATGACAAGCCTCGAGGTAAGCCTATATATACAGTACATGTTCTCATATTGCATAACGTCGGTTCTGGGGTAAAAGTGATGCATTATTAGATTTATGCAGAACGACAATGTGTGACTAATGTGACTACTGTGACTTTGGCTGTGCGCGTGACATCAGTTCGGCTTGAACCAGTTGGTCAGTGTTGTCTGCTTCGCTCCCATTGCCTCCCGCCTCCTAAGATGTATTCTGAAGCGTCTAAGCCCATGGAGAAAGTCAAGAGAGGTCTCCGGATCGTTCTCACTGATGCATGCGCGCTCAAGCTGGGTGCAAAGGTCCATGATCTCGCGGGTTGACAGTCGAGGGTGATCGTCATCCTCTTCATCTTCGGAATCCAGCTCAATGACCTCTCCTCTAGCCACAGCTTGTTCATGACGAACCCTGGCCACGATCTCATCATCATCCTCAAAATGAAACTCCCTTTCTCCGATCTCGTCACCGCCAACCGGGTTCAGCATCTCCTCCAACGTGAGAGGAGCCCCAATGATCCTCCTTCGTGCCTTCAAATCTTGAACGACTTTCATCAAGTCTTCTTCTGCGGATTGGAGTTGGGGAAGAGGTGGACGACCTTCTGCGGCTTACGCGGTTTGTAGGGGGCATGCTCGGTTCGGACTTTCCGTTTGCGCTCGTCTGTGTTACGTTTGGCAGGCATGGGAAGACAGAATGTGGGTGGTGGGTTCCCCCGGCGGTTTTGTTGGATGCGCGGTGCTTTTTAGAATATTCTCGAACACGATCGCATAGATATGTAGTGTGGATTAGATGAAAACGACCCTACTGATAATGCATAACTTGGCCCGAGCCTTCATGCATTATGCATTATGCAATTTTCCCCCTGTACGGAGTCAGTTCTAGTCAAAAGTCCATGCACTATTAGAATTATGCAACATGAGGTCATGCATTATGAGAACATGTACTGTATAAAGAAAGGTCTCTTTCATTTGCGAGGATAACGCACGATGACTCTCTCCTCACCCTAGATTCTGATTCTTGCGCGGCACATCGCCTCACGCCGAAACTATCATAAGCAACAACATAAGTAACCCACCGTCTGCATCCTGGGTCCCGGTTTTTCCCATCCTCCTTCTATGACCCCGACCGCCTCACTTACGGGCTTCCCAGATGCAAACGTCAAGCTATGGCTGGTAGGCACTCTCCTCGGTACCGTCGCATACGGGGTTATCATCGTCATCTGCTTCGGATGCACTATCAACTACCTACAATCCAGTGAGAGGCGAGACGGATCTCTAGACGTCGGATACAGAAAAGGGACAACGTTCGGTCGCTTCTTCATGCCCTACATCATCTGGATGTGTCTTCTCAGTACCTTGGCTGTCGTGTGCAACTGCATCGCCCTCGTCAATGTGCTTTTTCCGCCCCCAGGCGGCGTAGGCGACGTCACGACTCGTTTCGTACGCTTCGGGAGTGCGGTTTCGCTTATAGCTGCTTCATGGGCGTCAGACGCCTTAGTGGTAAGTAGAGTAGACGGTTTTATATCCTCCTCTTTTTCACGCCTCGCACGAAGATTTGGCGATGCGTCATCCTGTACGAGGACGCCTCTCGTACACTTCGGTTCTCGATTGACGTTCTTCTATCTACTATGGCATTAATTTCGCTCGGTAAGCCCCATCTGCCGCATTATTGATTCTTTCTCAATCTTGTTTTACAGGGCTAGGGTTAACCTACCTGGCAACATCTCTGACCATTCTCAATGAATTCATGTTCATATTTGCGTTGGCGACCTCCATATGCAATGCCATCATGACGACCCTCATCGTCCTTCGCCTCTGGTACCACCAAAGATTCATCCAAAAGGCGCTTGGTAGCGAGTACGCCTCGCCGTACGCAAGGGTCATCGCCATGTGCGTGGAATCCGCTGCACTGATTGTTGTCTTCAACCTCGCACACGTGTGCTGGCACTTCAACTCAGGTTTCGGCCTCATCTTACCACATCAGCTCCTCGTGCACGTCTACGTCAGTTTCCGTCATTTTTTGCCCGGTTCAGACTCCGTACTAACCTGTTTTTTCAAGGGCATTTCTGCTCTGCTGATCCTCTATCGCGTTCTCGATGGAAGAATCCGTGGTGTGGAAAGAACTGACGAAACCAAGCACACCACTCAGCATGCACGAGTTTCTTTGCATTTTAGCACCTGCTCTAGTATTACTGGCTCTAGGAATGACGATTGTTCACGATGAAAAATTGAAAGCGCTCTGTTATGAATGCCACACATCTCCGCGGGCCATGGGGCAGACAGCCCGCACCGGAGCTCGGCGAGTTGCGAGATGGCACCCGGGGTTCATGAACGTTCAAGAGCGGCACTGACTTCTTTGGTCGTATCTCGCCTCGAACATCGACTGTCGTGAAATATCTTCTGAAGAGTGAGTGCGGGTGGCGTGCGCCGCATGACAGTTGCCCATATCTTTCCTACCCCCCCTTCTCAATTCTTGATGGATCGGTGTAACTTAACCTCGCTCTCCTTGCTAGTTATCGTGTCGACCTATGTAAAACTCTCAATGACAGCCAAATAAAAGCTCTCCATTCCAACGTTCTGAATCTCTTTTACGCGGACGGCACGACATTGGTATTTTTGCCTCGAATTCCGACCAACATCTTCCACAACATGTGCCAACATTGTCTCGACGAGCCGCTGTCGACGCGCCACCCCGTTCTTTCTTTCGCCCTAACGTCCAAGGTGTCCACTTCCGTTGCGCGACGGGAAGCAATCGTAGCACGTAGGAAGGAGCACGACAGCGCCGGAGGACGCGGACAAGCGATCTTGTCAATGAGCGAGGGAAGGGGAAGGAGGGAAATACTTGCGATGGCCAATATTGATACATGAATGATCTTTCCGTTTCTGATATGCATTTATCTCGGTCACTGTTTGAAACTAAGGAAATTCCGAGTATCGAGCTCAGTCCTGCCTAGGAAGGAAGGAAGCTAGGTATGAGGATGTGAAGATCTCAGGCTTTGTATCAGGAATAAAAAGACGTACTTCGGACAGAGGACAAGTCTATATCTGGGTAATCGCAAAGAACGTCGGCCACCTGATCGTATGATAATCTTGTGCTCTGTGTCTTGCCTTCGATCCATACTTCGTATCTTTTGCTGCGGACACGAAGTTGGTTCCGGACCTTCCGGGTGATAAAAAGGTATCTGAGCGTGCGGCAGCCCAAAAATAACGCCTCGACAGTGGCGGTGCGGTTTGTTTCAAAAGGGCGATTCAAGAGGTCCGCACCCTTGTTATCCCGTAGTGTGAGGACTAATGTATCAAGGTGCGGAAGGCGTTGGATGGCTTCTAGTTCCTATACAAGAGAGACGGTCACTTGTGAATTGGAAGGACGAATTGGTAAAGGGGCATACTCCATTATACATACCCTCCACGTCGAGGAGCCGTACCGACGCCATGTGGTTCAAGATATGGAGGAAGTCGAACCTTTGACCAGAGTCGAGCATTCCGTCTTCAAGCTCAAACCTCGTAATTCGGCCTAACTCCTCAGTTACGGAATCGATAAAACTGTCCGATAAGCCCTGTTGATTTTCGGAGACGTTGCAGGAAGACAACCGCAGATCTTTAATGGAGCTTCCTGGGAGAAACATCTGAATCGCGTGTTGGTTCCCCTCTAATAACTCCAAATTGGGGTACATCGGCGGTGAACGCCATACTTTGGTAGGGTACCACTCGAGTGATTGCAATTTTCCTTGATTTTGTAAGACCATACGTGCGCCTCTCCGAATTCAGGCGTCCATGCAAAGCCATCCAGCTTGAAGGGTAAATTTGGGGAGAGAAACTCCTCTGGCTCGTAAGGGAAACGGTCCGAGGCGTAGCTAAAGTCGAGGTCTTCGAGATTTTCCATGAGTGGAAGGGCGCGCCTCAGGAGGTCAGGAAAGGAGCCGGGTTGCGTATGTGCAATAGTATGGCGTTCGTATTCCTTGACGAGTTTTCCAAGATGCGGGTATTCGATGATGGTCGAGAGGAAGTCGTAGTGGACTGTGCCATCATCCTCGCCATTCATGACGCAGAAGAGCTCGCGCTGTGCTTCCACACACAGGAAGGAGCAGGAAAGAGCCAAAGAGCATAGGGAGGACAGCTCTTCCACCATTTCGACAATGATCTGAAAGATTTCAGCAGGGAAAACGGGAAACAAATGAGTTTCGCTGGTCATGGCATAAATCTTGAAGGTAACAGCTGGCGTTAAAACATCAGTTCTTCACTTATGAGAAAAGATATGTGATGGGCTTCTCTTACCCGTCGCCGTTGAATCTTCAACGTGAAATGCACCGAAATGACGGATTTGGTCGTTGGAAGAGTGGAGGGTTGACGTCGCTTTGACAATGCCAGAGTGGCAGACAACCCGGCCCGACAAGTCTCGTGACGAAATCGCGAAACTGGTCCGTGCGCCCACGCGTCAAAGCACGTCGCCATGGTCAGGGGTCGCCGGTTTCGTCGGACCACCAATAGCTGACTCATTAAGAATTTCCCGGACAATGACAGAGCTAGTCTCTCTTGAAGCCTCCTATTTCAAGACTTCAGTGTTCCCTACCTCTAGCAATGTCCGTGATCTCCTTGAAACCGACTCATAAACTCCTTGGCCAAAATTGGCGTAAGAAGATTTAGTAGTTGTGCTTCTCAACCTGGAGAACATTACATACCCACTAAAAGGTAGGTCCCCCAAGGAAAAAAACCTGAACATTTCAGCATCGGTGCAGTCCTGCCTCCCCCAATCGGTGCTGTGACATACCACTGGCCGGGAAAAGAAAAGAAAAACATCCCGCCGACGTGGCAGTGCTGCACGCCTAGACATTCGCATGAGTTACCTCGTGCAATGAGAAGTGACCTCATTCTTTGGTGGGGTAGTGTCTTCGTTTCTAAACCGTCAGCGCCTCACGCACAGGCTTCACGGCCACTCGAACGTGATTTCTAGAGACAAAGCTCCACGATTCAGTGGCAGAAGTACTGATATCCGGTTACGGCAGGAATTCTTCTTTGAGTGGCAGGTGCTCGTTCAGTGAGTCATGCCGCAGAACAACGTTCCTTCAAATTCGTATCGTAGGTCAGTTTAAGCCGCCTCCAAGACTAGTATGACGAGATGGAATGGTGATCTTTAGATAATCGCCCGCCCAATCGCTAACGATTTCGCACTTTCTTACCTCCCATCTGGAGCGCCAGGGCTATACACGACATCTAATTTCCGCCATAGAACTATTAGAAGACTTCCTCCTTCCCTGAGTGCATACGTTTATATTGTGTTTATGGACCAGCATTCGAACCCAAAGAACGGGGATAACCGACTCAGAGACATATAACACCGCCCGCGTTCGAATCTTAGCTAACTTCAGAACGCATCATTCAAAGCTTTCTTCTACAATTTATCATGAAGTTTACTCTCGTCCCTTTCGCACTTGCGACTCTCCCGAGCGCGGTGTCCTTGTCGCACGTTCCGTTAATCGCAAATACCCCGTATGGCCCCCTTCTTTCTCCACTCGAACGACTAGCTAAAGCTCTGTGCATACCTCCCCAGGTCATCTGTTGCTACTTGCGAGCCAGTTTTACTCACTTTGAATGAAGGACGAGGTGAATATTGCCGACGACTTCATGGCTCACGAGAAACTAATTCTCGAACTCATAGCTCCCTACTTCCTGGTACGTTTTCTCTCCTTCCCATGTTCGAAGGATGGGTTCTCTTACAGACATACTTTATACGCCGCGGATTCTAGAGGTAATATCCCGCAAGAGGAGAGGATTATATCTAACTACAATGCATTTATTTTAGTGTTCTCCCTGGAGATGTCATCGGGGGCCCGGTCATCGTAGACTTCGGTGCCCAGACTGGAACGTCCCTTTCCTGGAATGTGAACGTCGTCCCTTGTGAGAAGAAGAAGGTCTTTTCATCTTCCTCAACCCATAGCTAGGCCAATAGGTACCAATATCTTCCTTTCACTCCGTGACAGTGCTGGGAGGATTGCACAGGGCGCCATCGTGAGCATCAAGGACAGCGGTGAGTAGCTTATGTTGACCTCAAGGAACTTATTTAATCGGGTCTACTCCTTCAGGTGACACGAGCTGCCTTTAATGTTGATGAACAGGAGGATTTCGGATGAACGACGAGTGGTCAGCGAGTAACTGCATGGATGTCTGCTGCTGGAAACGTTCTGCTGTGATTCAAGTTGAGCCTGTAACAAGCTACAAGACAAAATAACGATGTTCACCCTACCGATCACATAAGGATGGACATTGACCGCAGCGCTTAGCAGAGCCCAGTCGAAGTGCGAGTGCCAAGCCATCCGAGAAATTTCTCTGGCTTCCGACGATAAAGTGCTCTATTCGATATCAAATTACGGATTACCTAGAGAAACACTTAAATGTTGGCCTATTTAATATTCACAGCCAGATCCTCCAACTCATTTCTCTTGAACGAACGAGACCGAAGAAAATCGGCCTTGGACCTTGGCAAGGCCTGTGGCGCAAATTTCTAATTTTGGCTGACAGCTGGATCGACGAGTAGCCCCTCCCTCCAGCTACGATCTCCTTCTAGCTCAGGATACAGGTGCAATCGCAGAATGTCCTGGTAAGTAGGTCCTGCGTGAATTCGATTCACTTGAAAGAAGGTGAAAGTTTGCATTAATAGTACTAGCATGATAGATCTTTCTTTCATAGACATACAAGGAAAGCGTATAGATGTACCTCGGACAGCTACGGCTAATCCGTCATCCAGGAATAAGGAAGTCCATTATAAAGTGATATAGACGATCTATGTCCTCGATGACGGTAGTTTAAATCGACCCTGAGACCCTCGCAGAGCGAGGCGAGCTCCATTTTGATGTTCCTCCTCCCCTGCCTCTTCGAGAAACTGACCTTGAAACTTCGGAGCTTGCTGATACGTCCATTCAGGCCGCCTTGCTTCCTTCTGATGAAATTAGCGACACCGTCCTCAGAGAACAAGCCCTCGTTCCTAATTTCGATGTCTTCAATATTTGGGCAGATGACTTCGTTGGACTCCGGAGACGATTCGGGTGCGAATAATTCCAGAAGGTTGTCGTTCAGTGGGTGGTTGGGGGCGTCTATACCGTACACAACCGGAGATCCATCCGAAAATGCGTCTCCCAGACGAAGGGTGCGTAAGGAACTGCAGCATCTGAGGCATTCCACCAGTTCGACAGCGGAAATGCTCAGATGATCTGTTGTAAGCTTTTCGAGGGTCATGTCGGCGTTCAGTGTTAGATATTGGAGGAGTGGAGAGGGAACCTGCGATGTAGAAAACCTGCGATAGAAGAGGATTTGTAACAAGGGTGTTCTGAGTCGGGGAAGAATGCTCAACTCCGGATGTTCCTGGACCTTGAGGCGCTTCAGGGAAGGAAGCTCAATCGGTCGTTCTTCCTGAACCTCCGAGTTATCGACAGGAGCAGTCTCGCGACTGAGAGGCTGTAATACCAGACTAATTAGTGATTTGGCTTGTCGAAGGGCTTCGATGGTCGGACGTAGCGGGGGACCGTTACCACGGCCGTCATCGAGGTCGAGGTTTGTCAGAAGACTCCACCTTACGCGTTCCCAACGAATGTCGGATAGAGATACCTGTAATAGCCTCAGGCTGGGGGAAGCTAGAATGCCGCCAGATGCCTTCCAATTTACTGTTCTACTAGCTGTGACATTCCAGATATCTGCATATGAGGGGCTGGAGTGTGTCCGAAGACGGACGGATTTGAGTAGAGGTGTTTTGTCCTCGTCGAGGTGTTGCAATGGGGAAAGCGACTTGTCGTATGCCATTATGTCTAGATGTTGAAACCGACCGCAGACGGGAATGAGGTGGTGCTGCAGCAGTGTGCTGAAGTACGGCTTTCTGGTAGACGACGTGGGTTCATGTGCGGAAATGCTGAGCGGTAAAGCGCCCGAGCGCTCTAACCATTCGTCTACGGCTGCGAAACGCATCTGGATGAGCTCTTCGAGGTATGCTGCCCCACTCTCTCCGAGATCCGTAGGGACGGCGATGTGAACGGCCGCCCAGAGTTGAGGAGTCGTACGGGCAATGTCACGCCACTGACTGGAAACCTGGCTGAGGAGCATGGGAGGTTCGTCGGAGCACATAGATGGGTTTCTGTTCTGTGGAAGACACGCGATAAATATTTCCTGCATGACATCGCGAGGGATACGGTAAATAGGGGAGCTGAGTGAGACACGGGCGGGGGAGAGAACGGCACGATAGTTCTTCGTCGATTGCAGGAGCGCTTCCTTTTTCCTTCGCAATTCTCGAAGCTTGGCTTGTGTATGGAGTATTTCTTCGTCTATCTTTCGAATCTCCTCATCCGAAGCGTGGAGGATGGTCTTGATCTTCAAGATCTCCGCCTCGGCGGTAGAATCATTTGTCGCCAATTGTGGCACAGGAGGAGCGTCTGAGTCGCTCTCACGCGATTCCTGTTTAATAGTAAGTCCGTTAGAAGAATCCATTCGTAAATACAGACATACCCGATCCATGTTCAATTTCGTTCAAAGCAGACGAGGTGGTCAAGAACGAAGTTGTCCCTGTAAGCCCCGGTCCGTGCTGCTGGTGTTTGGCCCTTATCTTATCAATGTTCGACTTGGGCAATCAAATTGCCTTCAAACGTGAGCATCATTCTTGTAGTTCCTTTCTCTGTTTTTGAGCTGAGGAGAATTTATTGTGGTTTGTCTTGCCACTACCCTTGAACCGTGGACAGTCTCACACTCTCAGCAAAGCCTAGCAGCACCTTCAAAGTATAGACCGACTCGCTCCTAGTTTCTTCGACATGATGCAACCTCCTACCGATGCCCCTGACGTCCCTGCCGTCATTCCAAGTCAAGTAGACCAACCGGCTGGACCGCTTCCTCCAGACGCGTGGTTATTTTTCGTGTCTCGAAGACGTAATGACTGGTGAAAAGTCGATGGGAAACGACTGTACCGTCTTCGTATTGCATCTCTTGGCGACTCAAGAGAGACGGACGCGGAGAAGAAACGACGATACACATTTGACGATGCGCAAAATATTGTTGTTCGAAACTAACGATCCGCCAAGTACCCAACTCGGAGGTGTCTAATAAAGAGAATGTAAACATGTAGAGCTCGAAATCAAGAACGGAACGACGCACCTCAACCTGAGGACAACTCCCCATCTGGATAGTCACAAAGAACATCGTCCAACTCCTCATGCGATAAATTTTTTGCTCTGTTTCTTCCCTTCGATCCACATTTCGTATTTATCGAATTCGTCCCATTGGTCGAGGACACTTGAGGTATAGAGGTGCCTCGGGGTGCAACAGGTCGAGAACAGGGTAGGAACAATGGCATTTTGATTGCTTGCCGATGGGGAATTCCAGGGCTGAGCATCTGCGTCCTCTCGCGCTGTGAGGTCAAGTGTCTCAAGATTCGGGAGGTATTGAATAGCTTCTATTTCCTGCATAGAAGTCATTTGTGAATCGCAAGGACGGGTCAACAAATAGGCTTACTCCGTTGTATACACTAGCCACGTCGAGCAACCGAATAGACGTAAGATGTTTCAAGATCAGCAGAAATCAAACCTGCGACGAGAGTCAAGCAGATAGTCTATAAGCTCGAACCTCGTGATTTGCCCAAGCTCCGAGGCGATGGAGTTGACGAATTCGCCCGACAGGAGCCGTCCATCCGCAGACTTGGGTTCGTGTAGAGGGGGAAAGCGCAGATCGACAATTGAATTTCCATCTGAACAGCGCAGTGGCTTCAGCATGTAGTAAGGAGCAAGAAAGAGCCAAAGAGCACAGGGAGGGCAGCTCGTCCACCATTTCGACAATGATTTCAGCAGGGAAGGTGGCAAACCAGTGCGTTACACTGCGCCGCATGAGGTGAATCTGGAAGATGACAGCTGGCGCTGAAGAATCAATTCTTCAACTATGAAATAGAGATTCATTGGGCTTCACTTACCCGCAGCTGGTGGACCTTCAACGTAACGTTCAAATTTGAAATGCACCGAAATGATGAACTTAGCCGTTGGAAGAGTTGAACAAGGTTGACGTTGATTTGCGTTCGCATTCGCAATGACAGAATCGCAGTGGCAGGCAACCCGGTCACATCCGGCCCGGTGTGTCTCGTGACGAAATCGCGGAACTGGTCCGTGCGTCTACGCGTCGAAGCATGTCGTTAGGGGCTGCTGGTTTTGGAAGGCCAATAGGACTTATCCATATATTCCCGGACAATGACAGAGCCTCTTCCGATGGAAATACTTCAATACTCCCCGCCCGTAGAGCAAATAACAACGTCCGTGATCTCTCAGAGGTTGCACCCGAACACCTTAGACAAAATGCGCGTAAGCAGATTAAGTAGATCGTGCTGGGAAACCTGGAGTACATTATATATCCACTTACGGGTAGGTCTCCGAGGGAAAAAAGAACCTGAACATTAGGATATCAGCGTCGGTGCAGGTCTATGTGGCGCCAATTTCTACTTTCGGTTTTCCCGATCGATCGAAGCTGGCGGCGCTGGTACTTAAAGTTACACGACGTATTTTAGGAACATGAGCGTGAAGCGAGCAGATATTTGTAACTCCACCGTGGACTGTCCTGTGGGGCTGTACGGTATGCCAGACTAAATACCGAACGCCTAGAGCCCAGAAACATATACATAACCCATCGCATCACGTACGGAGGAGAATTCCCGATACTTGGCGGAGTCATTTGCGATTCATGCAGCTAAAGTCCAGTATTCTGGTTTTGGGGTGACCAGAACGTAGCCTCGAGGCACAAATGCGAGCTGCACCCCCCTGTAAGGTGCACAGTTTGACCCCCCGAAGGGATAGATTGACGTGTGCTTACAGCAACGGTCTATTGTCTGAATTCCTTACCAAGCCATGCCATGGAAAAGTCGTCTTCAATTTCATATGAAGGACAGTATATGCCGCCTTCAAGACTAGTATGACGAAACCCTGAGGTTATTTCTGGGCCATCGACCACAAGGATTAACTTCCTTCCCCACACGTTCCCGGTCTCTCCCCTCCATCGTGAGACGTCCGAACGTCTGTGGATGAGCACGAGCTTTAATCTGAGCCCCATAATCACCCTGTAACCATCAAGTGGATACCTTCGTACCATTTTTTCTTACTGGGCGCTCGATCTCGAGGACCGAAGATGACTGATTAAAATTAGAACAATGCGCTAGCGAGGCCTATATAATCTCGCCTTTTGGACTATCGTCGCTCAGAGCTCCTTGTTCAAATATTTCCGGTATTCTTGACTATGAAGCTCGCTATTATACCGCTCGCATTTGCATCGCTTGCTGGCGCTGTCTCCTTGCCGCCCACCAATTGGCTGATCATCAACACTCCGTAAGAATCAATTGTTTCTTCACTTGAGATTGTTCGAGCGGGAATTTCAAGAGTATCTGTCGTCACCTGCAAGCCAGTCTTGCTCACCTGGAGCGGTGGACAAGGTAAGCGCTACCACAACGTCACCGCCTACTTCATGGGATTCGCATGAGTCTAACTCCAAATCCAATAGCTTCTACTTCGTGGTACGTCTCGCATCGCTGCTCATGAAAGAGGCGGCTCTATGCTTTCAGAATTGACACGTCGTGGAATATAGAGGTAACATCTCCTGCACAGCAGCCATTTTCAAATATTTAATTCATAATGGATGTGTTTCCCAGCGTTAGACCAGGAGATACCGGCGGGGGCCCTGCCCTAGTGGACTTCGGCAAGCAGACCGGGACATCCCTCACTTGGGTCGTAAATGTTGCCCCTGGTAAGTAAAACAAAACATCCCACATATGTGACATCGATTAATACCCAGGACCGTAGGCACCATTATCTCCCTTTTCCTCAGAGATAGTGCTGGAGCGCTTGCGGGGAGCGCCCCCGCAACCGTCGAGGCCGGCGGTGAGTCGTTCTGAATGCTTTAAGAAGAGCGCGACATATAATTGGGCTCGCTATCTAGACGACACCAGCTGCCTTTGAAGGGATAAGCATTAGGAATGAGCAAAAGAATTCTAGTTGAGGGGTGTAGCCGAAATTATATTCCTGTAATCAAAAATTCGTGGTAGTCCTCGTTGACGCAAGCCTCTGAAGGCGTTATCGGTCAGTTGGTTCCCGTGTACCCCCAAGAATTGTTTCCACTCCACGTCGTGTGGGCTTTCAAGTCGGACTCGAACGTGGATGAGTCTGTGTCGATACCAAGTGATCCTGGAAGTTCTCCGGACCCAAAATGAAGGTCAGAATATCGAGTTACTTCAGAGTGGATGGGCATATCTATCATCCAACCCCATGATTTTCGTTCTTGGGCCGAACACATTCGAAAGACCTTGGCGTTCGGCATGTGGCGTTAATTTCTATTTTTGGCTCGTTGCCTGATGCCAATTTTCTGCGAGGATGGTATCATGCGTCCCGATACACTCCGGAGGGACATTATTTATGAGATATACAATGAACAGCGTGCATTTACAGACACTACTGGCCGGCGGTTCAAGTTACTATCCAGACCTCTTGCGTCATTCTATTGTCCCCAGCATTAGCAAAGTTCTCAAACCCATTAGCGTACATACGGTTGATGATACGGGGGGAAATGAGAGAAACGCGCAAAGACAGAAAGGCGGCACTAGCGAAATCGCAGCTCGTCGCCGTCGCATGTCCTGTGATACCTGGGTAATTCCAGCGCTCGTAGCGCGGCAATAGATAACCTCAAGCTCGTCCAGGTTCGAGATCTTCAGTATGTGCTGAGACGACTTCCTTCTGTCATGCATTATCGAAAGCCGGGAACAGTTACAACTAAAACTGGTGTACAGACGCAACCTACTATCGCGAGGAGCTTGAACGAGACTGAAGCCACTAATTTGGATGGAGCTTAAACCTTCTGGTCGGTCGAAATTGAATGGCTAGACTCCGGTTGATGAATTTCTAGTTTCCCGAATTAGTAGGCCACCACAACGTTACTCGAAGTCCTCAATATACCTTTCGTCCGCTTGTTAATATCAGCTTTCCGCTGCTCCTTCGAGATCGAACCGAAAACGACATCCATCTCTTCCAAGCTCCGTCCTTGCGTCTCCGGAATCAACCTAAATGGCCAGCTATGATGAATACCTTTCCCGACGGCAGCGGAGCCCAGGAAACGTACAATGAGAAGACTGCCATCCCTCCGATATTGATAGTCGCGAACATGAGGAACAACTTGTAGCCCAAGTCCGTGACAAGGTCAGGCGTAACCTTCGAGACAACGAAGTCTATGCGAAAGCGTATCAGGAAGAGGGCGTCCTTCAGAAACGGATTTACGCACTCCAGAGCCACTGAGACGAGCTTGCAAGAGCCAGACCGTAATGCCTCGTTCGAGTCGGGAAGATATCTGAGACGTACACCCACGGAAGTGGCCCTGTAAATCATGTCCGTTAACTTCGAATTCCATGGCGCCCGACTCATCAGATCCACGACTCACCCCATCCCATAGAATAGAAGCACACGTAAATATACAACATTGCCGCCATGGCCTTGGATGCAGGTGGAGGCGACGGCGCGGGATGGTTCGCGTCCGTAGCAGGGGGCGGGTGTGTCTTGAGAAGGGCGCCGATGATGAAGAAGAGGATACCCATCCCCATCGCCGAGATAAAAAGAGATAACTTGCGTCCCAGGGCCTCCACTCCGAAAAAGATGAAGATAGCTGTGGCAACTACCTTGATGACACCTGGAGAGAATGCGTTCGTGTTCAATCAGAATACACTAGCAAGCGAGGGCATACCATAAATTCCACTAGCAAGCAGAGAGTTCTTTCGTGCGGCAAATCCGATCTACAAGAAAGGTTAATGAAGGAGTGGTGCACAACGGTAGGCTTACCGAGGCAAAGATTTGAGGAGCGTAGTAGCTGGGATATCGCAAGATCGCCCGTTAGCGTCCCCTTCACACACAAAATCCTCCTGACTTACTTCACGGAGTTCTGTCCCGCCCACTGTTGCAAGAAGAAAATGACAAAGGCGATCACGAATCGGACAAAGTTTCCTTTCCCCAAGAACGCTTCCCTGAGGCCAAGCCCTTTCCGCGCTTCCTGTTCCTCTTGAATGGCGACCTCGATTTCAGCCATCTCCGCGAGCACCTCCTCGGAATCTTCAGGCTCTCGTCGGAGATAGGCCAAATTTCGCAGTGCCTCTTCGTTCTTTCCCACAGAGGCGAGGTATCGTGGTGATTCCTGAAATAATGGCATGAGAATATGGATGCTCAGTAGACGACGAAGTGCATGCCTTGATGGTGAACAGTCCAAAGAACATGATCCCTGCTGGAACGAGCTGCAATGCAAACGGTATTCTCCAGACGTTGACGCCCGTAGGGATGTGAATCCCAACACCATCTACAGTCCAGTAAGTATCAGGAGGTAAAGCGTAGCCCGAATCCCTACAATTCACGAAATACGAGATCATGACACCAGTAGCAACCTGATCCTCTAATCAACGAAATCAGGACTCTTAATACGGATAATGGACGTACCATGATCTGAAATAGCCCCGTAATCCTTCCTCGCACTTCCTTCGGAGAGCACTCGGACACGAACGCGGGCGCAACGGCGGAAATCGCACCAATGCCGACACCGGAAATGACCCGACCAGCATAAATCTCCGCAAGGCCTCTTTGCGGGGTGCTTGCTACCGTAGTCAAAACCTATAGGAATATCAGGACCATCCGCAAAGAAAAGTGGCTTAACTCACAGCACCAACGCAGAAAACCATACTGAAGATGAACAAGGTGTACTTGCGTCCAATTTTAGCTGGACATGTATGTCAGTTATTGATGCACAGAAACGGGTTGGCAGGTAACACACCTGACAGTGGGGCAGAACCTAACGCGCCGAAGAACGCGCCGGCTTGGAGCACGGAGACGACGTTTGAGGAGACGGCGTCGACCTTCTTCTGGTTCTTGGTGCCGTCAGCGTTGAGGAGCCCAAAGTGTTCGAGGAAGTAGGTCGCGCTGACGACTCCTCCGCTGACGATCGGGGTCAGAGGAAACAAGGAGGCATCGGTAAGTACGCATATTTACCCAATGCCGCTACGGGGGCTGTGAGTCGATACACAAGATACCAGGACGCCAATGGGCTCACGTATCATAACCGAACAAGACAATCCCCCAATATACGACAAAGGCCATCCCTGTCGCATCGCGGGATGAGTTAGCAGGACGAATGTCGAACACATCGGAGACAGCACGCACAGTAAACCCGCATGTTCTTGAAACCGCTCGTATCTACGCGCATCATTCTCGTCCGTCGAACAACGTTAGAAGAGAAAGGTGAGAGAAAGGTAGGAGAGGTTATACGAAACCCACACAGAACCCCACAGATAGAACGATGCTATACTTATACCATCGAAGCTGGGGGCTGGCACACCGCCCGCCGCTCACTGCTTCACACACGCTCATCTTGCCGCGGACCATGTGAGGTGCTAGACATCGGAGTGGTAGGAGGAAGGAATAGGCTGTCTGACAGTGATAGGATACGGACTCGGAGGCGAAACCAATGGGGAGTGCGGGCCGGTGACACGCGAGTCGATGCTTTCTTGCTAGATTTGCCAATTTCCAGAGTCTACATGGGGCGTCGCGGCCACTAGCGTTGGGTCGATTCCAAAGTAAACAACACTCACGAAAACGAAGATACAGACGGCTCATCTCCGTCAGAGTCATGAAGGGATTTTGATTTCGAACCTATAAATACAGCATGAAATGGGAACCTCCTCTGGCATCGGCTGCACGGGGCTGATACCCAGAGGTCATGAGGGGTAGCGTTAACGGAAGCAAAAATTAACGACGTTCATCGTAGAGCGTAATGCCAGCTTTCCCCGTGAGGCTTTAAACCTTTTCGCGAGAGGACCGGCTGTCTGTAGGTTGGAATTTCTCTTGCTCTTGAGCTGTAGAAGACATGATGAAAATCGGTACCACATCTGTACGTGCGACTGACCTCGTTGTTGCTTTTGGATGTTGGCATTCCGCTCTTCGGCACTAACACTTCCAAAGATGACATCCATGTCCTCCAGACTGCGTCCTTTCGTTTCAGGAATGATCCTGATCGCGAGAACATGTCAGCACAGAAGGGAGAAGACGCGACGCGAAGGCATCCACTTACAAAGAGAAGATACCCATCGCGACAATGTTCACTGTCCCGAATGTGAAGAAGATCTTGTACCCAAGCTGCGTAATCATCGAGGGCGTAACCTTCGAAACAGTGAAGTCTATTCAATGAAGTCCCGTCAGCAATCACGGAGACCCAACGGAAGAGAAGGTCTGCAAGACTTACTCCATAACCATTGAGACGAGCTCGCCAGCGCGAGACCATAGTGCCTTGTCCTCGTTGGGAAGATGTCAGAGACGTAGACCCAGGGAAGAGGTCCTATTGATAAGTGTCAGTTCGCCGTCCAGAAGCCTAACGTTGATCCACATGCTACACTTACCCCATCCCATCGAATAGAAGCACACGTAGATGTAGAGCATGGCAGCCATCGCCTTCGACGCGGCCGGCGGAGGGGGCGGATCCTGACCGGCAATAACGATCGGCGGAGGATGCGTCTTAAGGATGGCACCGATGATGAAGAAGAGCGAACCCATGCCCATCGCGGAGATGAACAGCGAGAGCTTGCGTCCGAGGGATTCGACGAAGCCGAAGATGAATACCGCGGTGGCGACGACCTATTCAATGATGAGAACATGTGCGACGCGAGCGTTCATTGAATAGAATACCTTGATGACTCCGTAGATTCCAGACGCGAGGAGCGAGTTCTTCGTGCCAACGTATCCGATCTAACGGAAGTTCAGCGTGAAATTGACGATATTGATTTCGTCGAGACGTACCGAGGCGAAGATTTGAGGAGCGTAATAGCTGCAGAGATTATGGTCAGTTCTCAAAGAAAAGACAGAGAACTATACCGACGTACTTGACAGAGTTCTGTCCAGCCCACTGTTGGAGCAGGAAAATCACAAACGCGATGACGAAACGGATGAAATTCCCTTTGCCAAGGAACGCCTCCTTCCAGCCGAGACCCTCGCGCGCGACGCGCTCTTCTTCGATGGCGGCCTCGATTTCTGCGATTTCCTCAAGAACGGATTCAGAAGTCGCGCTATCCCTGCGTAGATAAGCGAGGTTCAGGAGCGCTTCGTCTTTCCTTCCCACTGAGGCGAGCCAGCGCGGAGATTCCTACGTATCGAAGGTCGCCTGAGATATGGATCAGACTTCGGAGAAAAGGAGGACATTACCTTGACAGTCACGAGGCCGAACAACATGATGCCAGCCGGGACGAGCTGGAAGCCAAACGGAATCCTCCAGACGTTCGTTGAGTCCTTCATGTGCAAGCCAACGCCATAGTTGATGAAGTACGAAATCATGACACCAGTGGCGACCTATTCCGCAATTCACTGTCAGTAGCAGTTGATAGTGAGGAGTTCGCGACGGACCATAATCTGGAAAAGACCAGTAATCCGCCCACGAACATCTTTCGGCGAGCACTCGGACACGAAAGCTGGCGCCACAGCAGAGATCGCACCAATGCCATAACCAGAGATAACCCGGCCAGCGTAGATGAGGGCCAATCCACTCTTCGGCTCATCAGCGACTGTCGTCAAAATCTATGACGGTATAAGTTTAGATTTCGACACAATAGATGCAGGAACCGTCGTACTGCGCCAACAGTGAAAATAGCGGTAAAGGCAATCAAGGTCCACTTCCGCCCAATCTTCGCTGTGAGCCTGTGAGCTTTCAGCCACGATGGGGGAACCAACTAGACGTACCAGATACGGGTGCACTGCTCAGAGCTCCGAAGAACGCACCAGCCTGCAGGACCGCCACAACGTTCGAAGAGACCTCATCCGTCTTCTTGACGTTGACCGTGCCATCCGGGTTGATCAAGTTGAAGTGCTGGCGGAAATATGGCTGAGAGACGACACCTCCAGCGATACCACTGTTCGAGATTCGTCAGCTATTCATCGGTAAGTCGCACTGTGGGACGTACGTGTCGTAACCAAACAGAACGATTCCCCAATAGACGACGAAAGCGAGCCCTGTGTAGACAGGGGTTGAGCGGAGCAGAACAACAAGCGGCTAACGATACGCACAGTAGACTCGAATGTTGCGGAAAATGCTCTGGAATGCAAGTCCCATGGCGGCGAGAGTCGGAGCGTGGTGGGGATTAAAGATAGGACCAACTCAAGGACCAAACGTGTCCTCTGTTCTCGGAGACCTTTTAAACGGAGAAGCCACACATGAATCGAACATATCTTCATCTCCATAAGTCCATCAGGAGGCAGAATAGTGCGGGGAAGATGAGCGGTCCGCCGGTCCGCTACCCAAAAAGCATCCTTCTGGTGGAGTGCTCTCACAGGCTACAGCAACACCATCCTCGGCAGCTGATGTTGCGAACAATATGGTTCCGTGCCGCTCTGATATAGAGAAAATAGGCAGAAAGGCAGCTGCCAAGACTCCAGAACGGGACAGGGAGACGCATCTGGCGAGAATTTGCCGTTTAGCGGTGTGAACTTGGTCCAAAGCGTGGCACGCGAACGAACGGGTGCTGCAAGCGGAGAAATAGATCAGAGTTCATTCGGAGAATGTTTTGAATGGAGAAGACATAAATGGACGCACAGGTGAACGCAGCCGGCTTCGAAGAAGCCTCCTTCGCTCGTTCTAGCGCCGCGACGCCGCTTCCAACACGGCATAAAAACGTGGGCATAACGCGAAAGAAAACCCTGCCATTCTCGATTCCTCCTGACTTGCGTGGTCTTTTCGACCTCGAGCCGCTATTCCACCCCTTTCTGTTGATACGAGCGCGCCCTTATTTCACAACCGGCTATCATGCAAGATTGGAGACTGTCGTGTGACGAGAGGCGGCCCGTCGTGGACTTGATGGTCGAAGTTACGCCCTTCGAGGTTCTGAACGGGGTTTAGAGGCGACGTGTCAGAGATTTGAGAAGAAAAGAGGTGCACTCCGTTAATGCCCTAGAACCTGGGCTTACCTAACCAATGATCTGAACGGCCCGCTTGCCGCCAACCTTCGTGGACTTGAAATTGAAAGCCAAAATCTTAGTAGAGCGCCGTTTAGATGGAACTTCGACACATGTAGGTTTCCTCGTGGCGCTTCCGAATTCGAGGGCTAACAGCGACGACATCAATGCTTCGAGTTGCCGAAATATGGCAAGAGTGCCTATGATTTGGCTGAGTGAATAAGTGTTGCTACATTTTCGTGAGTCGTGAACGCATTTATTTAAGTGTGTATTGAGGGCTACATCGGGCAGACTTGTAAGGTATGGATAACCCGCCCCCCCACGGCGGCGTTCGAATGAAATAATAATGTCCGTCAAGCCACTACTCGCAGATCTCGCACACCTCCTCACGGCTTTCAACCACGCGCTTCTCAGGGCTTGTCGTGCTATCTCTGGTCTAGTCGCTTTGGAGGGTAGGAGAGATATTAATCAGAAAACGAAAGGGAGAGGGTCTCAGCCCCATTTCCCCAGCACGATTCATAACATCAGCGAGAACGAATCAGCAATTCACATCCTAATCAAGCATTTCTCTTTTCCGTGATACGACTATCCGGCTAGATGTCATTATCGAAGGTCTGTAGGGTGTTATAGAACAACGTATTCTCACAGGGTGCGTAGCACATACAGCGGGTTAAACACGACCCGCTCGACTCGATCAAGTGCAGAAGTGGGGAGAATCCGAAAGTTCAATGCGAGAACGATGGATTTTCCTCTCATATAATGGATCGGCGAACAGTGGCAATACGGGGGAGAATAGAACGATGCTAAAGGTCTGGATAGTAACCTAGACCGACGGTTGAATCAGCGTCCGTGAATTCATGCTGTTCGTTTTTATACCGCTCATAAATTGTGGTTCTGGGGGTTGCATCAGTTGTTATTAGTAGTAGTAGGACTGGATTCCAGGCTGCTGGGAGTGCACCCTCGACCACGTTCTGAGGTAATTCATCGAACTCGCATTATCCATTAGAGTTCAGGTTTGCAAGTATACACAACCTTGACTCGTGAGAGCTTTTACGAAGGTTTGGTATCGGACAAGAGAGAATGTATGGAATCAATAGTACCTGGATCGGAAAAAAGATGAAAAAAATCGTTGACGGCGACTCGAGAGACCTGCATGGTGAAGAGAAAACGAGGAGGTTGACATCACTGGCACACGAAGTTCTCCTGTTTGAAACTAAGGAAATTCCGAGCACTGAGGTCAGTCGTGACTACATTATGAGGATGTGAATAGCTCAGGGTTTCTACCAAGAAAAGACGTACTTCAGGCAGGGCACAGCTCCACGTCAGGGTAATCGCAAAGTATATCGTCCACTTGGTCATGCGACAAAGTTTTGCTCTGTTTCTTGCCTTCAATCCATATTTCATACTCTTCGCAGGATTCATCAGAGACGTTGAGAGCACTCTTGGTGATATAGAGGCACTTGAGGGTGTGACAGGTCGAAAATAACGTGTTTATGGTGGCGTTGCGGTCGGTTTCGAGAGGGCAACTCCACACTGGCAGCTCGATGTCTTCGTCATCATCAAGTGTAAGGACCAAAATTTCGAGATTAGGGAGGCGTCGTATTACCTCCAAATCCTTCGCCAAAGTTAGTGCCATTGGGGGATCCGCGAGGCGAACAAGAAAGGACTTACTCCTTCATACAGAGGTACCACATCGAGGATACGAACAGATGTGAGATGCTTCAGGAGCGCTTGAGACTCAGATCCGCGGCCAGCGGCCAGCACGCTGTCAGTGAGTTCAAATCTCGTAACTTGCCCAAGCTCTTCGGCGACGGAATCAATGTCATTGCCTGGAAGGAGCCGTGCATCTGGCTCCTCTGTGGGTTCGTCTTCAAGGGAGAATCGCAGGTCTTCAATGGAATGACCCGGAAGAAACATCTGGACGGTGAAGCAGTTCCCCTTCAGAAAGCGTAAGTCGGGGTAGTGCGGCGGTGCGCCCCATACTTTGGTCGGGTACCATTCAAGTGATTCCAATTTGGTCTGCATTTGCACGAAATGCCACACATGGGCCTCTCCAAATTCATGTGCCCACGTGAAACCTGTGAGTTGGAAAGGGAGCCCCGGTGGGAGAACCTCCTCTGGGTCGTCAGGAAAAGCACCTTCGTGCGTAAAAGCGAGGTCTTGTAAATTCCCCATGAGCGGAAGAGCACGCCTTAAGATGTCAGGAAAGGAACCAGGTTGCGTATGTGCAATTGAATGCCCGGCGTATTCAAGGACAAGCCCTCCGAGATGCGGGTATTCAATGAGGGTAGAGAGAAAGTGGTAGTGGGTCGTGCCGTCGTAATCGTCGCTCACGGCACGGAAGAGCACCCGCTGCGCTTCAGCACGTAGGAAGGAGCAAGAAAGAGCTAAAGCGCAGAGTGCGGGACGCTCTTCTGCAAATTCGACGATGATACTGGAGATTTCAGGAGGGAAGGCTGGAAACAAGTGCGTTACGCTGGTCATGATAGGGATCTGGAAGATGACAGCTGGCGCTGGAACATTGGTTTTTAGACAATGGAAAAGAGATTCAGTGGGCCTGGCTTACCCGTAGCTGGAGGTTTTGGATTTTAAACTTGAAAATGTACCGAAATGATGAAAGTTAAGATCTTAAGAGTTGACGTTGAACGTTGAAGAAGGTTGGTTAATGTTCGCATAGTGGAAGGCAGACCGGCCCGGAGGTCTCGTGACGAAATCCCCGTTCTTCCTCAATTTGAATACGCCAATTGCTGGCAGTCACAGCGCGTACGTGAAGAGTCACTAGTCACCGTTCACTGGCACTCCTCCTCGAGAATAAACCACCCTCTCAATTAGCTTGGGCAGCCCCAGAAAGGGAAGAGAACGGAGTTGGCGCAAGAACGAATGAGACTGATTACGCGGTCATATATTTTGGTCTTACAGGCAAACGAAGCGCACACATCTCCCCGAGGATTAAAATTTAAAACCTCGTTGTGATTGTCTTATCAATAATGAAATAGGAATTTCATTACCTAAAAATTCCTAATCGTATCACAAACCTGAACTTTAATGGATAATCCGAGTTCGGTAATTTACCTCAGAACACGGTCGAAGGTAAACTGGCTAACACCTTGAACGCCTCGAAATACTGTAAAGAAACCTTCCTATTATCCAGAGGTCTCATCCCCTCTCGCGCATACGCACCCGGTCTCGCAACGGGAGGAACACATCGATGAACGACGGTGACCCGTTCCGGCCTAATCCCCGACGCCACTCCATCCACTAGTTCAAGGGTGATTGGGATTGTGAAAAAGGTGGGCGTCGTTCCACACATGGTAACGCCGGGGATCACCTTTTCTCGTAGAGGAGGTAGGCCAGAGGCGATGCGGCCCAGGCTGGTTTGGGTGAATGCAGCGATGGCTCCTGCGATTAGTTGGGGCTCTGGGTCGATCATGGTGTTGGTGGCATGCTGGATTCAGGAGAGCGGCCGATTAGCGTGATGTCTAACCGCCGTCATGACCATGAAGGGGAATTTAAACGTACCTGGACGAGGAAGATGCATTCCCGCGATCTCCCCTCCACGCAGACGTCGATCCTCGCGCCGACATTCGAGGCGCACATCTCGAACTGCAGCTCCTTTCGTCGATGGATGATACGGTCCGGGTCGTCGAAACCCAAGAGATGCAGCAGAAAGGCGGTGAAGTCGATCCCCATCGACTTTTCACCAGTCATTGCGTCTTCGAGATACGCGAAAAATAACCGCGCGTCTCGAGGCAGTGGTCCAGCTGGGCGGTCTACTTAAGTCAGAATCTCGGCGGGGACGTTAAGGGTAGGAAGACTCGGAGGGAGTTGGGCCATGGAGAAGAAAGTAGAAGCAGAGAGCGATACTGTCCATGGTTCAAGCTGAAGAGAGTTTCAAGTCACGCTCTTCTCCCTCAATACGGCAATTGCCGACGGCCAGACCTGTAACCTGTAGCGTCGGCGCTTGGGTTTGAAATTGAGATGAAGATGTGGGTGTTACGGTTCGACGGGCGACAAAATTACTGGCACGTACGTCGTGTTTTTCGCTGGGCTCTGGGGCGCTTGCCGTCGCTGAAATCGGGGTAGACGCCGGCTGGTTCGTTAACATTGCCAACAGTATGATAAAAGTCACAGCTGGATGCCTCGCAGCCCGAGCACAGCTAGACGACGCTGACAGTTCTCCGTAGCTGTACATGAAGAGTTACCCCGTCGTGGAGAACAAACCGCCCTGTCCAAGCTGGCAGCTCAACCACGTTGGGCCGCTCCCAAAAGGGATGAGAGCGAAGTCGGTAGCAAAAAACGAATAGGACTGAGGGCTGCGCATGTATTTCGTCGAGCTGAATGTGCTATGCGATCTGATTAGTTTGATGACGGACAGAGGTTAATAAGAGCCTAATCCAAGCTTGAAAAGATGCATATTCCTCCTTAGTAGGGGTGTCATATATTTTAGTCTTACAGGCAAACGGAGCGCCCAGATTGCTTTGATAGTTGAGACGGAATAAAGCGGTGTGGTACCGAAACAAGGTGGGAGTTTAGACTTTCTGTTCTGTCGACGCCGAATGACTGGACGCAGGCCGATGCATTTCTGTTACACAGCATCGTAAGCGTCATTCGGGACGTTCATCAAAGTGCTAAACATACCTCTCGTCCGCTTCTCGATATCGGCCTGCCTCTGCTCTTTGGAGATCGAACCAAAAATGATGTCCATTTCTTCCAGACTCCGGCCCTTCGTCTCCGGGATCAATCTAGGGTCGGGGACGATGTTCAGTACGTGCCCGCTAGCGGAGAATCAACGAAGAGACTGACAAAGAAAACAGTCCCATTCCGCCAATGTTGATGCTCGCGAACATGAGGAATAGCTTATAGCCCAATGCTGTGACGAGGTTAGGCGTGATCTTCGAGATCACGAAATCTGTAGGGCGGTGGATTAGAGAAATAGATGGACGTTTGAAAGCGGTAGAGCCTACTCCAAAGCCATTGCGATGAACTTGCAAGGGCGAGGCCGTAGTGCCTCGTCCGAGTGGGGAAGATGTCGGAAACGTACACCCAGGGCAAAGGTCCTAAATGACGGTTGCGGTTAGCGATGTCGCAGATAAAGTAACGAACAACTCGCCCCATCCCATTGAATAGAAGCACACGTAGATATACAGCATCGCAGCCATCGCTTTCGACGCTGGCGGGGGCGATGAATTGTCGTCATCGGGGGTGCCGGTCGAGGCCACTGGGTGTGTCTTGAGAAGGGCGCCTATAATGAAGAAGAATGTCCCCATCCCCATCGCTGAGATGAAGAGCGATCGCTTGCGGCCTAAAGTTTCGACGCCGAAGATGATGAAAACGGTGGTTGCGACGACTTTGATCACTCCTAGGTGATGAAGTTAGTATGGGTTAGTGGAATGTCAGAAACTGGGATGGGCTTGCCGTAGATCCCGCTGGCGAGTAAGGAACTCTTCCGAGCAGCGAAACCGATCTACGACCAAGTAGCTCCTATGAGGTTCTGATCCCCGCAATGAGCGTAAAACTCACCGAAGCAAAGATCTGCGGCGCATAGTAGCTAACATCCCCCAAAATGATTCATCAGCTTTCTCATCAGAACACGAAAGCCTACCCATCCGACCTACTTCACAGAGTTCTGCCCAGTCCACTGCTGGAAGAAGAATATCACAAACGCGATCACGAACCGAACAAGATTTCCTTTCCCCAGAAATGCTTCCTTCAGTCCAAGGTCTCTCCTTGCTTCGCATTCCTCTTCGATCGCGGCCTCGATCTCTGCCATCTCAGCGAGCACCTCCTCGGAGTCTATTGGTTCGCGACGCAGATAGGCTAGGGTACACAAAGCCTCTTTGTTCTTTCCGACGGAGGCGAGGAAGCGCGGAGATTCCTGGGGCGACGCCATGAGGTTATGGACGATGAAGATAACGTGAAGGCTCGTACTTTGACTGTCAGGAGACCGAAGAACATAATCCCAGCTGGGACAAGCTGAAGCGCGAAAGGAATTCTCCAGACGTTGACGCCTGTCGGTATGTGGACGCCGATGCCATCTGAAGAATTGTCAGCATCACCAATTCAAACATCACTCCAAAAGGCCCACAGTTGACGAAATACGAGATCATGACTCCAGTCGTGACCTAGTCTCCCAGTCAGACTTCGAAGACGGAAGTTGAGGATGGTGGCCAACATACCATGATCTGGAAGAGACCCGTTATCCTGCCTCGTACCTCCTTCGGCGAGCACTCGGACACAAACGCCGGCGCGACCGCAGAGATAGCGCCAATGCCGATGCCAGCGATGACTCTGCCAGCGTAGATCTCCGCTAATCCGCGTTCCGGAGTCTCCGCCACAGTAGTCAGTATCTATCGCATTTTTTTCACAATCAGAGACGCCGCGAGTGAGAAGCATGAACACGACTTACGGCACCAACACAAAAGATCACGCTGAACAAGAACAGCGTGTACTTGCGTCCAATTTTAGCTGGAAGAAGCAGAGTCTTGAGCGTCAGCTGATCCACGAGAGGACGACAGTGACATATGGCGATGACACACCTGAGAGTGGTGCAGAGCCCAGCGCCCCGAAGAACGCTCCAGCTTGAAGGACGGAGACGACGTTGGAAGAAACGGCGTCTACCCGCTTTTGGTCCTTGGTTCCGTCGTCGTTGAGGAGGCCGAAGTGTTCGAGGAAGTAGGTCGCGCTGACTACTCCGCCGCTAGGTGAGTTGCAGGAAGTCAGGCCTTGGACGCACTGATAGAGGGGGGCAATCGCACCCAATACCTCTAGAGAGATGTATGAGGGCAAAATTGCAAGCAGGAGGATGAAGGACGTACGTATCGTAGCCAAACAAGACGATACCCCAATATACGATGAACGCAGTCCCTGTGGTGCGACGAATACAGGTCAGTGCGGGGAATATGGGCCAGAGAGTCCAAGAGCTAACAGTAAACGCGAATGTTCTTGAAGATGCCAGGGTCAACGCCCATCGTTCTCGTATGTTCGATGGCGCTCCTGGAGGGAGTGAAGGGAGGGGCCGAAGAAGCCTGCCCACCCCACAGATAAGAAGAGGGTCATACTTATAGGCTCGAACCCCGAAGCTACATGCTTTTGGCACTCTTCTCCCGCTGCGGGGCAGGTGAGAGCTTGTATGGAGCTGTGGGTAGATGAAATGTTCGCCAAGAGCGATGTCGATTCTTAAAATAGACCTTCGACAATACATTATCGTATTTGGAGGATTCGAGGGCCTGGTTATCTATAGAGTGGAAACACGATAGCTGTGAATGTCCGCGAGGCTTGGAGAGAAAACCGGTGGTGGCGTACCTGTGCAAGTCTTTGACCCAAGCTAGTGCCGGTTCTAGGTTGAACAACATGAATTTGGGTGTTGCTCAAATAGACCTTTCCGAAGGAAATACGGCTAGAGGTGCATTAGCGCGGAGTCAATCACGTTCTCATTCGACAACTCGGCATAGAGGAAGGTGGGCAACACCTAAGTTTACGCAGGTAAAGCGGAGTTGCGACGACCGAGCAGGTCGGTCATAACGTGGTGAAAGGTTGGATTGCATCGGGTCAAGTCTTGAAATAGATCTTCCATAATACAGACTATGTTCAATAACAATAATTTATATCCTAAAAGTCGAAAGAGACGACAACGACGATCAGCACGGATACAACAGCAAGAGGAGAGGACGCACCTGTACAGCCGTCGTGGAAAGTGAGTCGCCCAGGGCAGCTCATAATATTAGGGTATATGCTAGATATGTAAGAGCGAACACTGCGAGAAGTTTCGGTGTACTTCTGCGTCTACACGAAAAAAGAGAATTCATCAGTTCGCTACTTGCTCAATGGGCACAGGAAAAAGAGACGGACGTAGATGACGAATTCGAGGCATTGGCGGGGGATGGTGAGGTGTCTTGATCGTTTTGATCAGCATCGTCGGCTGTGGACGCTGAAGTTGCGGGACTGGGGATGAATTAGAGAAATAATCATAATCGAAAAGAGAGAAGGCACGAAATGCAACGACACCCACGTTGAAGTAGATCCCGATAGCGATGATGTTGTACCCGTCTGAGGAAGTGAGAATTGGCCACCGTCCGACGATGATCCAGGATCAACGAGGTTACCTGCGTCCGCTGCTCCTGTAGACGCCGTCGAGTGAGCTGATGAGGCTCCGGGGTGTGGTTCAGTCGGCGAAGGTTGCTGCGGGTCATTCTGCGTCGACGGCCCTTGAACCAGGTCGTTCGAAACGACAGGAGGGTCTGAATTCCGGACACGGTCAGGGGTAGGAGTTACAAGCGACGGAAGATCCTCCACGGGTGTCGAAATGTGTACAGGGGTTGTCGTTGTTGGCGTGGTTGAACTTTCGAGGATCGGCCAGATCGACGGTAGGAGAACGGGTGGCCTCATTACGACTACCATGCCGCTGAAAAGCGACACGGTTGAGTTCGAGGAAGCTTCATATTCGAGCATGGACTCGGTTTGGGGCTTGTATGTTCGGCGATAAGGTTCTCGTCATCGACGGGGTCCCACTAAAGTTGAAAGTAGGCTTCGAATAAATTCTTCGTTAGTGGCGAGTAAGAAGGTCATAGTACAAGGAAGCTCACCTTGTCCTCGGCGCTAGAGAGCCTGAACGGCGGCGATCCCGCTGTAGGTGAGGTCTGTGCGTCTCTGGTGGTGAACGTTCAAGTTGAAACGGTGAAAGTCGGTTGGAGGAAGTGAGCATTGGTGAGGTAAGCGCATCTCCATGGGCACAGCGGGATCTTATCTTATCTCCTTCAGCTACGAAATCCAATGGACAAAATCAACTTGAAGTCGGTTGCGAACAAATATAGGGGATTGCATTAGAGGTAACACGACTATGAAGAATATTAGATATTATATCAGATATGTCTGCATGTATATATAAACTCCATACGAAGGAGCTCGGACTGGAGTTCGCTCGTTTCCTCGACACAACTTCACCCGACGTTGTACGACTGTCCGCCTTCGGCCACGGAGCTAGCGGCTGAATTAGTCTTCAGCTCGACGTAATTTGATCTTGAGGAGGGCGCAAATGGTCCTAGTGGCCAATCCAGATCTTGACGTTGACCCTGAGGAAGTTCTACGATGAACGGCGCTGAGAGCATGGTCGGGACGTCCAGGTGGGGTTGCGGTAGCTCAGGTGGCACTATTGCGAACTTACCCCCAGGCTTGCGTTGAGCTCTTGAGTTCGATTCTTGCTGGTTGCATGGATAAACACACTTTAGACACCATGTGACTTTTCCACGCCCCCGGATGACACCGTCTGGGCCTCTGTATTAGGGAGCGACTACGTCTCGCGTGTTCTAGACCCAAGGGTCTGGAGTGACCGTACCTATGCATGCTCACATAATGATATCAGGGTCACCTGGTTCTCCTTAGTCATCGAAAAAATGACTATGCCAGGAAGGGAAATAGGGAGCCAAGGGACAAGGTTGTGTGGATCTGCCGCTATGCGGCGAGACGGCTAGAGCCGACCCTTCGGGACAAGGTTCACATGATCTGCTGGAGCCTGCTGGGCGTTTCGGTGCGCTGACTTCCCAGAGTACGTAAAGCAAACCAGCGAGACGGCTAGAGCCGACCCCGAGGCGTTAATACCAAAAGTACTGGAGGGTGGGAGTGAAACTACACGAAACGGCTAAAGTCGTCTCCTAACACGGACCGCCAAAGAACCGTGTGGCACGTGAATGATGGAACAAACCTAAACCCATAGGGAGGTTGTGTTGGATGCCGGTCACATGAACGGCTGCTTTCGGGAGCTAGGGCGTTACTATGTGCGAATATACGCGATCTTATGCTTAGGTATATTGAAGCCCTGATTAGTGTAAATAGTTACGGGATGTCACGATAATTGGTATGATCACGGACACTTAGGGTATTACTTAGGTCACGCCGTTGATAGCCCGAGGATTGGATGTTCCCTTACGGTCATGTACGAAATGATCCTTGTAAATCAATAAAGAACTACATTCTTCCTCGGGACGTCCAGGTGGATGGCTATGGGACCAACAGCCAAAGGACGAATAGGGCAGCTATCAGCCGCGTCCGTGTATTGACCTCCGCCCGATTCGCTCCAGTACTGGTACTCCGTGGGCGGTCGTCTACGAGGGTCCTCGACGACGAGGGAGAAGAGGTTTGAATAGTGGACGACGTCGATACTGACGCAAGGTTCGCATCTGGACTTGTAGATAAACTCCGATTGGGAGAGGTTGGAGAGGACGTTTGACCATGAGGTGATAAGTGCGAGGCATCGGTTGATCTCATGGGCGGCACGTCAGGCTCGGGTTTAGCGGGGTCCACACCACCCGCTGAAGGCGGCAGCGAGGACGATGCCGGCGATGAGGAAGAATGGTCTATGTTGGTGGGCCTTGACACTGCGACATTCTGTGCATTGTTGATAGGATCGACGACGTCGTCGGGGATGGTAGGCCACTCGGTCGGGAGAGGTGCGGCGATTTGGATGATGCTGATGATGACAGCATGAATGTCGTGGTCGTATGGGTCTGAGGAAGGTGCGGGATATATAGAGGGTGCGGAAAGGAGGGTGGCGTCGATTGTTGAGGTGGTACGTGTGGTCAGGGATAATGGGGGTTTCAAGGAAGGTTGAGGAGGTCGCGGCAGCCGTAAGAGCCGAGGACGGCATAGGAAGGGAGCTTGTGAAGGGTTGAAACGTTGAGGGACCATCTTCAACTTGGGACGTCGAACTCAAACCCAGACTGAGGGAGTAGACGCCCAAAGCGTATCTAAATATACATTCCTGGTGATCAATCACTACATACGCACAGCACAAGACAGCGCCCGCACCATGCAATTTGTTGGCATCAAGATAATAGGCGCCAATGCGCCGTGTACATGCACCGACACACCTCCACCCTGCGCCTCCCAAGAAAATGGAATGTTGAAGCCTAGATTTGTCGTCCATCCAGCGCCCGGAGTCATAGAATGATGGCACCTGAGGCACCGACTCAAACCCGCCGGTAGCGCTAACACGATAGGAAAGGTGCTGAGTCGGGTTGACGAGATGAGGTAAAAGACGACCTCCAAGGATTTTACTGGTGGGTCAACGCAAGCCCTCGGGGAACGTAGAGAGGACATTAGGTTGGGCGACGCCCAGCTTAACTGTAATCTACGCGACATCGTCAGGATACCCATAGCCTGGAGGCTAGTGTACGAGTATTCACCGTGAATCCTAAGCAAATATGCTGGCTGCAATAATGGACAGCACTGCTAGCAGGCCCCGTTTCCCTAATGCTTTCCGCCTAACCAGCGAGTACATATCAGCTCGACATCCTCCCTCCAGAATACATATGAACTCACGTCGATCTATTTGTCGAAAGTGCTGGGATGCTCGCTGTCGTATCTTGGGGAGCAGGAGTGGCTGAGTCGCCAGCTAGGGAAAACGTCGTCGGTGTTGAGGTCGTTGTCGTCGTGGGAGAACTGGGTCCAACGATCCCATCGATGGTCGTTGTCGGCGTGGAAGAGCTGGGCCCAAGAACCCCGTCGATGGTCGTTGTCGTCGTGGAAGAACTGGACCCAAGAACCCCGTCGATGGTCGCGGGTATGGTCGGCCAAGTGCTTGGAAGCTGAACAGGAGAGGGAGCGCCAGGAGGACCTGAAAGAGAGCTCATTGTATGAATTGCCACGGAGGACGGTATCGACGGTGTTGTGCTGCTCGAGGTTGACATTGCAGAAGATGAGGGCGAAAGTTGGGAGCGAAACTCGGGGTTGGCGCCGGGCGCTAAGTACATAAAGTTGGATGATTACCTAAATGGGTCACACGCTCCGGCATTGAGGCACGTTACCCTCGTTCTTTCCTCCAAACACTTGCATGAAGAAGGACTTGAAGATTTGCGACGCTGAATGAGACTCATGAATTAAACCTGAACGATCCGTAGGCGCTGAGCGAGGAAAGCGCGCTACAGAGTCTTCAGAGGTCTGCCGATCGAGTTATCCTTCGCCTTGCTGCCAGCGCCGTGGTTACACAAACACACCCATCGTATTCAAGCAGAAATATAAGACTACGAGGAGCGGGAGGAGCCTGGTATTCTCCTTCCTAAATAATCAAATATCAGCCAGGGTAAAGCTCTCAAGATCCGAAAATTTCTAACCTTGTCGCTGATGAACTCGACAATTTTTCGGTTGGGAGAGGAAGTGCGTTTGAGGTGGTATTGCCAAAACTCGCCCCTGCGGAGGATATTCGAGCTCCAATATGCGATGTAATTGAGTTGCTACTTGATGTGCTCGTCGAGTGAATGGGGAGAAACGTCGAAATACCCGAAAGGGCATAAGGTCTACGTCAAGGTTATACCTCAAATTCAATCCTGACCCCGACTCATGCAGTTTAAATTCACTCACGTCGGGTCAGCGTCGCCTTCGACTGGGAGACTCTGAGACGCGGAACCGACACCGCCCTGCGTGAGAGTGGGCTGACCGAGCGCACTTTTGGAAGGGGCGGAGGAAGTACTAGTCGACGGCGAGAAGACCGATACTTGTGAGGTCTCCAAAGTCAAAGGTCCGGGGAATGTAGGCCAGGTGGTCGGAAGGAGAACAACTGTCTCGTAGGGCCTCGGCGTTGTCGTCGAAGAAACGGCTTCATCGGTGCTCGTAAGTGAGGAGCTCGTGACGGGTAGCATCCAGGAGGAAAGTGTCGTGCTAGCGTTGAAGGAACTTGTCGAGGGGTCAGAGTAGGTGGTGAGAGAGCAAGAGGAGTTGGCGACTGCGGGCAGGGTGGGGGTCGGCGACATGAGTTTCGTCCTGCTGGCGACCTGGAGCCGTATGTTATATATACTTCTGGACAGGCACGCATGCGATTCGTACCTTATGATATGTCGTTGTCAGTGTCATTCCTCCAACCTCCGACGTCGATCTGTCGAGCCGCTAAGCACGAAGGCATAGAAGAACTGGCATCAGCCTGCTCCGATGCGCGTGCTGTGCGGCTGTCGAACGTCGATCCGAGGCTGTGTTGCTCTGGTCGGATGATGAGATGAACATGTCTTGAAATCTTCCGCATGGGTGATCACCGGGATCTCATTATCTAGAACCTACGACATGTAATTTTGAAGCTTTATCTCCGTGGGCGCGCGTCCGCGTTGAGTGCGTCCGTGTCACATCTTCCGAGGTGATAAAGTTCGTACATTACGACTTTTTGCGCGGCCCCACCTAGTCGAAAAATCATGGTCGGAGGTCGACATCGACGGGGATGGACAGTATTTGAGGCTGAAAGGTTGATTTTGAGGGCCTGAAGCAGAATAAGGCACGGTTGAAGATAATTAACTCTGCTGCCAAAAGCACCTGCGCCACAGAGCCCAAAAAAGGAAGATATCAGGGCCGTTCTCATTCCGTCATCCAGACGGCACACCGTCGACACCAATAAATATCATTACGCTACTAAGTCGAATACCATAAGTCGACGTCGACCTTGCGAAGCCTGATGGGAATTTGAACTTGCACATGACCGGTTAGGGCAGGCTCTGGATTACGCAGCACCCGCTATAGAATGCTCTCAAGTTAAGCCGTGTATATTATGTAGCATTAGGGCGCTACAGGCCGCTGCGGAATTTACGTAGACGCTACAGCCAAAATGACCCGTGCTATACCTTGCTATGGCTGAAAATCCGAAACTGCTGATGACTGACTACATGCTCAAGAGAGTTTGAAGTCAGAACATTGGGCAGGAAATCTTCACTAAAGTCAATCGAGCGCATCCTTGACCCACACTACGAGACTTCCTATAACAGCCGATTTCAGAACGATAGGTCCCTCGAGATTCCTGCTGTTTAGACAATATTTGGTCCTATCGATGGTTCTGAGAACGCAACAAGAGTCTGCCGACAGCAACCCGAGGCAAACGGGAGCCTAAATGTTGCTGGCGGGACTGGCGGCAGCTTGCCGTCGCTCTGAGGATCACTGATGGGACCAAACTGAACATAAACACAGGAAAGTGAGAGGGACCTATCGTTATGAAATCGGCTGAAAATGGACCGAAGTCCGCGGCATTCAGACAACGTTCGTACTAGTTCGGACAGCATCATCTTCATTTAGATACCCTCGGCTTGTCCAGGCGATTTCGGATAGCTTCAAACCGGTTTTCACTGGGATTTAGCGCTCGCCGGCCCAAACGCCGTGACCAGGGATGGTTGGACGTACCCAGCCTTAGTTTCAGTACCCAGTACTCATACTCAATCCCAGCCCAAGCTCTCAATATGTATGACAGCTATCAGCAAAATCGTAGACGTTTTCGAAAAATCTGACATCTGCGCCAATGCTTACAGTAGGCATCCTCGTTAGGCAGGATGATGGTGGGGCCTACCATTCACGGTTGTGGGCAGGTGGGGCATGTGGGGTTTCTCGTCGCTAACCTGCTCCTTTGAGGTGGGGTGGGGTGGGATAGGAATGGCGGCCCCTCTATTCTGGGCACCGACCGTGGGGTAACCGATGCGGCCTCACCATAAGCTGCAGTTGACATCAGCAGAGGCGGACAAGTGGAGTTTTTGAAAAGCGTCTACAAATTTGCCGATAGCTGGAAGCTATCTGGCCATTTATAGAAGCTGAAGCTCGGAATGTGACTCTTCTGGGCCGGAATCAGTTCCGGCGAGCATAGCCTTTGAAGGTACAGAACACCGCCATACGGTGCGCTTCTTTATATATACGATGCCTGTGATGTGCCCAGCACCATCCCTCACTCCCATTGAGCCGTAGCACACCATTTAGGCGGCCTTAAATTTCCACCTCATACCTCACATTTGATAATGGCAGAAATCGGTGGGGCGACTATAGGCGGAGTAGCGAGCATCGCGGCTGCCCTCTACATGAGTGCTGCAGGATTTTCCGCCCGCCATGACCAGTGCCACGATTCTCAGGTGGCGGATACGCAACTGCTTGCCAAAAGTTTCGAGAAGGCATACAGGGATGGAGATCTCAGCGATGAAGACTATAGCAAATATCTAGAATTGAGGAGCGTGTACGTCTGCTGATTCAACTCTCACCTCAACAGTGAATAACTAATTGGACATGAATTTCAGGGCAATAGCGTCGGCATGGGAATACCGGAACACCATTCGTTCATACAAGGATACTAGTCCACTGAATTTTTTGAAGAAGCGGAGAAGAAGGAAAGACGTAAGGGAAAGGAAGGAGCAAACATGTTTGACGAACCAGAAGTTGTTGGACCATTATTACGTGCGTGATATTATGCAGTGGGGTTCAGCGTTTGAACTAGCAGATCATTTATTGCAGTTCGCCTCGAGTGGCTCGGACGCGTCCTCCATCACTGCTGCCTCTGGTTCGCCCCCTGGCTCAGGGCTTGAAAATGAGAATATAAGAGATTGGATTGCGGATGTCGATACCTGGGAAGAGTGTCGAGAACTGAGTGACAACAACTCCGTGCGTCTCATGCCATCTGACTTTAATTCTTCAATTCAAGGAATTGATAATAGGATTCTGATTCCGATTCAAACTTCTCGGAATGTGGCGTTGACGACGAAGCGTCTCATGCATGCCAAGAGTTCATGAAGGAGTTCACCCCATCCCTCCATTCGCAAACTCCCAATACCGGGGAGGATCGATCGACTTTCTACGTGCGTCATGCAAATCTGTTATCTTATCTAATTTAACAAGTTCATGCACTCAGTACGCAAACAATCAACCACATTTCTTGACAGACCAAGATGGGAGAGGCAAGCCAGGGCTTGTGTTTAGTGATCAGGTATTATGGATGTTTGCATTTGGGAGACCAGTCCAATTGACAGACTGTATATACAGGATTCCGTCTCCGAGCAGAGCGTGTTTGACTTCTCGGACACCGTCGCGCTTTCTCTAATTGAGGAAGAGCATGTTCAGGACCATGCTGCATCATGGGAGACACCAATCCTTCACGCGAACCAGTGCTTGGAAGATGTCTTTGTGAGTGATCGTAATTCCTGGCGATGCCACTGCTTAGCTTATCGTGCAGAGTTCTCAGCGTAAATCGAAAGAGGACTCTTGCCTCGCGGACTGGGACTCTCGCTTCGCAGACTGGGACCCCGACTTCGCAGAGCCAGGTTCCTCAACTCATTGTCTGGAAATTTCCCGACAGAATGCGTGGGCAGCATATCAACACGACCGAGTTGCGCTGGCCGAATCTGCACGAATATTTTATGCAACCTGTATTCATTGGCTCGAATGTTATATAGTGAGTAAACGGGGGGCACCGGAGCCCGAAAACTCTCTGGCTAGCTTGGAGAGTGCAGTGCAGCTTTACAAGGAAAGACTAGAGTGTTTAGCTGAGCGTCGTCGAGAGTTGGAGGATTAATGAACAAGGGCGAGGTACCACAGTGGTTGTCGATAAAATAATATTCGTGACGCCCAGTAGGGCTGAGATTGGTGCAGACGAGAGGGCGGTAAATGAGCCCGAGAGCGCTGGGCATTGGTATATGTGTGCAGATATGAAGGGACGAAAAGTCGGTGCCGCATATTTCACAGCGCCGAAGGTGCTCGAAGCGTGGAACTGAGACGAGGGTGGCAGATAAAGCGCGAGAGAGGTAGAGAAGAGCAGAGAAGAGGATGATCGTGTACGTGAAGGTAATAGACGGACACCTGACGCGCATCGAGATACGTTGTCAGAATAAGAACGCCCAATGGATGATATGTACGAGGAGACCTACGGTAAAAAAACCGACGTAGCCGATGAATTCAAGACGTTGGTGGCGGATGGCGGTGTATCTTGATCGTCTTGATCGGTATCATCAGTTGTGGATGTTGAAATTTCGGGACTGGAGATGAATTAGCAAAATAATCGAAAGATAGCAAGTACGAAATACAGCGACACTCACGTCGAAGTGGATCCCGATAACGACGATGTTGTATGCGTCTGAGCATGAGAGGATTGACCAACGTCCGACGATGATCCAAAACCAACGAGATCCCCTGCGTCCGCCGCTGCTCCTGTAGACGCCGTTGACTGACCTGATGAGACTCCGGAGTATGGTTCAGTGGGCGAAGGTTGCTGCGGGTCATTCCGCCTCGATGGCCCTTGAACCAGGTCGTTCGAAACGACAGGAGTGTCTGGATTCCGAATACGGTCAGGGGTAGGAGTTACAAGCGATGGAAGATCCTCCACAGGTGTTGAAATGTGTACAGGGGTTGTCGTTGTTGGCGTGGTTGAACTTTCGAGGATTGGCCATATCGACGGTAGGAGGACGGGTGGCCTCATTACAACCACCATGCCGCTGAAAAGTGACACGGTTGAGTGCGAGGAGGGTTCATATCCGAGCATGAACTCGGTTTGGGGCTTGTATGTTCGGCGATAAGGATCTCGTCATCGACGGGGTCCTACTAAAAGTTGGAAGTAGAATTCGAATAAATTCGTCGTTAGTGTCGAGTGAGAAGGTCATAGTACAGGGAAGCTTTCGTCGTGGTGTCCTGGGAAGATGCAGCGGCTGAGTCGCTCACCGGCGACGTTGTCGAAGTTGTTAAAGTTGAGGTCGTTGTCGTTATGGAAGAACTAGGTCCAGCAACGCCGTCGATGGTCGTGGGTATGGTCGGCCAAGTGGTTGGAGGCGAGGGAGCTGCGGGAGGAGCTGAAGAAGAGCTCATCGTAGCAATCCCCACGGAGGACAATATTGATGATGTTGTGCTGCTTGAGATTGTGCTACTTGAGGTTGAAACGTTGACACAGCAAACGATGAGGGAGAAAGTTGGGAACGAAACTCGTTACTTGGGGTTGGCGACGCGAAGGCGGATGATTACCTAAAGCAGTCGCACGCTGCGGCATCGCGGCACTACGAGATTTTCGCTCTGAGTTGTTGTCCTTTCCTCCGAACGCTTGCTTGATGAATGACCTGAAGATTCGGTAGGATTGCATCGATTAAGGAGGCCCCAAAATTAGACCTGAACGATCCGTAGGCGTTCAGCGAGGAAAGTGCGCCACACAGTTTGCCGATCAAGTTGACCTTCGCCTTTCTGCCGTGGTTACACAAGCAGGCCCATCGCATTCAAGCAGAAATACAAGACTACGAGGAGCGGAAGGAGGCTGGAATAACCCTTTCTGAATAACCAAAAATAAATTGATCTCAGTCGAAGGCAAGGGTCTCAAGAAGGAATAAGTTTCGAACCTTGTCGCTGACGAACTCGAAGAATTTTGGGTTGGGAGGGGAAGCACGCTTGAGGCGGTAGAGCCCCAACTCGCGTCTGCGGAGGATATTCGAGCAGCAGCATTTGGTGTGGTTGAAATGCTGTTTGACACGCTTGTCGAATGAACGGGGAAGGACGTCGAAATACCGGAAAGAGCATATGGTCTACGTTATATCTCGAATTTAGTCCTGGCCGCGACGCACGCAGTTTAAATTCACTCACCTCGAGTCAGCGTCTCCTCCTTCGATTGCGAGGCTCTGGGGCGCAGAATCAACTACACTCCCCGTGATCGTGGGGGGACCGAGCCCACTTGTGGAAGGGGCGGAGGAAGCACTAGTCGACGGCGAGAAGACCGATACTTGTGAGGTCTCCAAAGTCAAAGGTCTGGGGAATGTAGGCCAGGTGGTCGGAAGGAGAACAACTGTCTCGTAGGGTCTTGGAATCTTCGTCGAAGAAACAGCTTCATCGGTGGTCGTAAGTGAGGAGCTCGTAACCGATAGCACCCAAAAGGAGTGTGTCGTGCTAGCGTTGAAGGAACTTGTCGAGGGATCACAGTAGATGGTGAGAGAACAAGAGGAGTTGGCGGCTGCAGGCAGGGTGCGGGTCGGCGACATGATTTTCGCCCTCGCAGCTGCTGGTGACCTGAAACTGTAGATTATATATACTTCTGCGTGGGCACGCAGGCGATGCATACCTTGTGATATGTCATTGTCAAATGCCAGTCCGCCAATCCGTCCATCTAGGAGAAGATAGAAGAGTTGGTAAAACCGGCATAAGCATCCTCCGACATTTGTGTGGTACGGCTGTCGGACATCGATCCGAGGCTGTGTCACCGTGATCGGATGCTGAGATGAACATCTCTTGAAATCTTCCGCATGGGTGATTAGCGTGATCTCATTATTAGTGGCTCCGACATGAAATTTTGAAGCTTTATCTCCGTGGGCGCGCGTCCGCGTTGAGTGCGTCCGTGTCATATCTTCCGAGGTAAGAAAGTTCGTATATTACGGTTTTTTGCTATGCACCTCCGGAGTTGAATAATCATGGACAAGGGTCGATGTCGATGAGATGACCTAAATTCGAAGCTTAAAGGTAGAGGTTAAGACTTTAAGTACCTTGAGGCAGAGTAAGGCACAGAAATTGGCTCCGCGATCGATCGAATTCAGCTGCGCCGCACATACCGGAAAAGGAAGCTATCAAAACCTTTCTCGATCTGTCATCGCATCGTCCACCCAAGATAGGGCGAGAGCACGCGGAGATCTGAAAACAAAAATACGAGAAAATGAAGTTCAATAGATAATACGTTCCGCCGAACCGCCGTGTTCCGATAGGAATTTGAAAACCTCCGACAAGCTCATCGTCGACGTCGATAAATATTACGCTGCCAAGTCGAACACTGCCATGACGCTCGTGTAAACGGGACTTTCTTGGACCGCGACTGGGTCGAATGTGGATAATAATCATCCAATAGATGGCGGGAATTGGGAAGGCGGGCTTGTCGGAATGAAAGGTTTAATTCCTTGAGGAACGGGGGACGGCTCGGACATCACGGCGCTTGCCGTTGACGTCGACATGAGCTGAAAGGTAGAGGGTAGATCGTGTTGGGTAATCTTAACCGAAATGGTTGGCCATTCGGTGAGGAGCATGACGACGGGCTTGAATGGTCCGGTGCTGGTGGCAGTGTTGTGCCGGTCATTGACTAGTCAAGAAAGTCAATGACCGTCAAAATTCGACGGTCAAATGTCAATACTTGGCTTTGACCTTGACCGTCCTGCCAAACTGGGCAAGGCTGGAGGCTTAGCGTAGGAGCCTGACAGTACAGCTGGGCCTGGGGCCAGTGCGAAGGGAGATTTTAGAAGAGGGGGCATTCATGCTAGCACCGAGTGCCCTTAGAGGAGGCCGAAGGCGCAGGGTGCGGGATGAAACTTGGACTGGATCCCTACCATTCCAGTGTCTCTGACGATGGGCAATAAATATCATGAGAAATGGGGTCTGGGTTAAACTTCAAAGCTTCATGCATGAACTCGTACACGCCACGGATGTGTTACGTTAGCTGGGGACAGTGGGGTTAGCACGACAGTTCCAGATGCTTATCGTCTCCGTCTGACAGACCTAGCATCTCCAAGCTCCATGGCTGTGAACTATCCATCGTCTCGGTAGTCGAACCACGATCTCTCGAGATCACCTGTCGCTCCCTTCACGCGATGAGTTCTTCCAATCGATGCCACATGTCGGTGGGCGAACTCGTCGGATAATCATCGTGAAGGGTCTCACGGGAGGTTCAGGCGAAGGTCGCATTTCAACATTGCACGGGATAAGCGGGCCGGTAAGCGATCTAATCTTATCTTTCTGTAACGGGGTGAGTCGAAGTCAGTATGAAAGGGACGACTTCGAAAGCACAAGAGGCGAAGAATTCGTGGAAAGAAACGGCGTTAGTTCGAGGAATGGGAGAAGCGAGACACAAGAGAATAGCTCCACGAAATCGGGCTGCAAGGGGTACTGTCTCTCACCTTCTTTTGCGCCAACGTGTTCGTCAGATCTCTCACTGATGGAGTGCGGCATTACTTCTCGTCTTGGTGGTATAGCTTCTTGACAGATGTGACATAAAGATCCACGAAGGGTCGTTCGGTTCCTCAGAGAACCATGATCCATGCTAGCTATCTTGAGTGGGCTATCTGTTCTGTTATAGCTCTATGGATTCTGCATCAAATTCTACAGAAGATGGAGGCGAAGACGTCAATGACGCCGTGATCAAGAAATATGGTGATTATGAGCCACGACGAATTATTTTGAGGATGACTCAACCGCGAAGAGAACGGGAAGACAGAGGGACTGTGTGGACGCAGGTCATCAAAACGACGACCGTCCCAAGACAAATAAATTTGTGTATTCTGACATCGTCTAATCTGTCAGCAATAGTAGTTGGGGTGCGTAGAGAAATCATCAACTGTCGAACGCTACTGCCAACAAAACAAGAGGACAGCGTTGAAGATGGGCATCGCCATGAAAAGGTTTGCTAGTACTTTAGCACAGACTCATTGGTATATATCTCTTCTGCGTGCGATGCCAACTCGTACCGCTTCTATTGCAATTTACTGTTCAACATGCAAATCGCGCGACATCATGTTCGATTTCTTGGCAGTGAAGAACAACGATCTCACTGTCCTCCTGGATGATAGCCTCTGAAACGCCCCATATTTCAGCCTACGAGCACGCTTCGACTTACCAGAACAACAACACCTTCTACATATCCTCCGGGTCTGACCATGGAAAATGTACCATTCTCTACAGAAACCTGGACGGATGTGACGTCGGGTTCAGGGTCTTCGGAGACGGGCATTGATCCACCGGTCCCACTGCTCACTATTATACCGACCATAGAGGGCCTACCATTGTCCTCAGTTGTGTCGGTCCCCACAAGCACCCTAGAATCGTCGCCACCGACGACGGTGACATCACCGAAAGTTACAAGGGTGATATCAAGAACACGTACCACCATGATATTCCGGCTACCCGAGGCGGTGGTATTACCAGTAACGATCACAGTGAGCTCCCACCCCGCGCCCACAAGCCTAACCGCGCCACCCCCTTCGACCACATATTCAGAGCAAGCCCAGTCGACCTCTACCCCTTCGCCACCAATGACTTCAATAATACACCCTGTGCCGCACCAACCGGCCTCCCGTCCGCGCGTCAGTGAGGGCGTTGTGGTGGCGATAACACTAGGAGGGATAGTCGCCTTTCTGGTGCTTGTTCTGAGTGTGATAAAACGAATACGCATGTATACACACGAGCGAGGTAAGTGGTTCTGGAATGACGCACGCGAAACGTAATTTAAGCTCTCAGCACCACAGAGACAGTACACGAGGGAGGACCTTCGAGCTCCCAGACTGTCGAGCCATATCTCTTCCCGCGTAACAACTCGATTTCTAAACCCGAACTTTTCCCGTTGGTCATAAACGGCCGCGAGGAAGCTGACGCTTCCCCGATCTCTACCACTCCAAGTCCGACGCTGCCTCGATACTCTGATCTATGCAACGCGCGGCAACGACCACTGGATAGACAAAATCATGCGTTTTATGGGGAGTAGAGTAAGGTTCGGTCTGATAGAGGATGAAGGACGAAAGAGGGAGAATGCCACATATGCCCTTCCCATTAATACTGTTTCTCGCCGGCTAAGCATCACCGCCACACTATTACCTATAGCGATCCTCGTATGTATTTTCTCTTTCATGCAGCATCCATCTCATTCCACCGTTCTATTTGGAGTGAGAACGCTGAAGTTCATCAGTTTTGGGTCAATCAAGTTTCAGATGCTCACAGAGTATCGACGCCGAAGGCCAATGTCATGAAAGATTGTGATTCTGCGAATGCACCGCCTCGTCTTTATCTCCTCAACCGTAGCGCACGCCAGATGGAGGTTTCAGCCTTTAGCGCTTTAGCGCCCAGCGGCCCGTGTCCCCGATGATCCTAAGAGATAAGGGAAAGATAAGATATGGACTCAATTTTCCCACAATCCGACCGCCTTCCGGACACTCCTCTTGCTCGATAAGTTTGAACCCCCGACGACTAGCCCTCGAGCATCACGTTTATTCGCTCACAATTTGTGTGCAAAACATATAATATCGAGACGGCATTCGGTCTCCAAGCTTCAAGATCCAGATCCGAAGTCGTTAGTTGGAACGTCAGTTCTGCAACGGCGTTCGTCGTGAGCTCAAAACGCTGGGGATAGAAGCTAAGTAGGCACGAGCACAATCCATCTTGCAGCTTCCTCATGGAAGTAGTACAACTCCAAGGCAATAAGTTCAGTCTATCCATGCTCGGGCTCGATTCTGATCTGATGGAACGGTGGGTCAGCAGACTTGGACAGGCAATAAATCATCATAAATATGGAATAAATGAGTCTTTACTTCTCGAACCATCGTTCCTCTAACATCCGGACGCTCGTGGTCGGTCGCCGCTTTCTTCACTTTCCCCCCTACTTTCCTCTCTGCGCCTGGTGGCAGAAGAGAGCCACCCGCCACTATCCGTACGGTGGTGGGATTATCGCCTCCATCATCACCTCAATAGTTGCCTCCGCCCAGCTAGTGGGATCGGTCGCCTTTACCCATTCTTCCAGATACAGGTCCGGCACGGTATAATCTCCTCAAACACCGACCATCTCGAAGGGTAGATCTATTCTGACGCTGGTGAGGTGGGTGACGGGTTGATAGCGATTGTCGTTGGGCCGATTGGGTTCAGTAGGCGAGCCTTCATTGCTCTCATATGGTTGAAGAAAGGAGAGAATGACGGGGATGCACTTTGCTCCTGCAGGACACTGAATATATCGTCGAACTCATACGTTGTGTCCGCAACTGCCGGATGGAACTATGGCGTTGTAGGCGTCGTCTTTCCTCCCGGGTTCGTCTCTCAGTGCGGACGACCGACACTCCGAGCTCCTCTTCGGCCCTTCCAATGTGCACAGCTACGCAGTGATTGCCACAGAAAGCTCACTCGCATCGCGTCGCAATCATCTATAGTTTTATTCGTCCCCAACGAGCATTTCGATCCTCGTTGATCCTCATACTACTCCTACGTATGGCCCCGATATACTGGGATTCACTACACCATGTGCGAGCGGAGGAACAGCCGCTAGAGGCGGGGCTATACAAGGGAACTAGTGACCGAGGAGGAGGAGTGACGGCGCCCTTTCCTCTCGAGTTCCATGGTTAGTCTTGCGCCTATGGGCGACGGGCCTGAAGGGGGCTCGTGAGGGCTGACGCCGTCTTTGTGTATGGCGTCGACGTCGACGTCTACTTACTTGTTTATTTTCCTCCAATCAGAGTGCGAGGCGAGAATCCACTAGGACTACACTTAAGGCTAACACGAGCCGTTGATTCCTGAAAATGTGGACGATGGAAGAGGTTTTGCCGCGCCGAGTCCCATGGAAATTGCCAGACGTCAGGTAGTCCGGGTAGGAGGTGAGGCCATTGAATTAGAGAAGCCGTATTCAAATTCTCGACAGAGGCTATTGTGCGTGTCACCTGGATGGAAGGTCGCTCGGTCGGCCACCGTGGTCGATCGTGAGATCGACAGGAATTCCCACGGCTGGTCTGATTTGCCTCGCCCACCATTTGCATGCTTGGAGTTCGCCTCGGCAAGAACGCGCGAGACCTTGTGGAATAACTTGAGATGATCTGAGTGAACAACGCACGGGCGAACATGTCGATTCTCTGCGGAAAAGCCCAGGAGTGATGAAATTGCCTTTCTCGCATTCAATGTGGCGCGCACTCCCCGGCGAGCAAGCCGTAAGAATGCCTTCCTCTTGGGCTCGAAAACACCTCACAATCCTTCGCCTGTCTGTTACGCTTCTGCTCAACCGTGTGCACGTCGCCTACTTTCCTCTTATGCTCGAACGAATCAACGGATCGAAGGAAAGGGATGTGGTTGTTCACCCTCCTGCGCTAGGCAGGTTCTCCGATGGGCTAACGATTACTACCCCCCTGTTTCATCGCTTTGAGGAATATTGCTTGAGGGTTAACCACGAAGTAGAATTCCAAATGTATCACTGGCAACCAGTTTGTGTTTCTAGTTAAAGAACATCAGAGCCGCCTTCCAAGTTATCCGTCTAGTGGACCGAATCCATATCAAGCTTGCAGGGTGACCAAGAGCTGCACTTCGTACACAGCCTTCGTATTCACATTTGGGATTCTAAGCGTACACACGCACACCTTTTTTTGTCTTCGTAGCGACGGCCCCCGTTTTCAAGAGGGTTCTTCCTGCTATTTCTGGACCTCACTAAGAAATATGCCTCACGCTCGAATCCGGGAGAGACATTCTTCATGACCAAATTAACGGCAAATCCAAGAACTCATAGATCACGCATCCTATTCGACCCAAGACTCGAGGCAAATATAAATGAGCGAGTAGCACATCAACGCATATCTTCGAATGGCGATGCTGGAACCAACGGCCCGATAATATGGAACAACGACAAACGGCCGACAAGCATAATGTTGATCCCTATCTCTCGAGTCTAGAGCTATTTTCCTCCAATCCTGCTGTCCTATCACAAGGCTTGTGGGCCATCTGACCTCGAAGCCTTCGCATGAAGCACATCCTATCACATCCAGTTTCCATGAGCTTCAATACCGATGCTTATCAGGTGAGAGACCGGAACAAGAGACGACGACGCGGCTGAATGAAAGATGGAATGACTGAATGGCTCATCCGTTCTTTCGAACGGCTAGAATTAGAAACGGGCTTCATGAAGGACGCTTGGCTCGTCTGTCACTATCAGAAAACGTGAGCGCTTGACGATCTTCGTCATTCCGAGCTCTTTTTGATATAGGTAGTGTGCACGTCATGACAGGCAAGTTACTTAGGGATCGTCGTAACCATCAGGAGGAATCGAACGCGAAAGCGAGGCTCTACCACTCTGCCGGGTCATGTGGCGCTTCGACCTTCTTTGTATTGGTATCGAAAAAGGAAATTCTTCTGAGCCATGATGTCCTCCTCGTGTGGGCTCTACCGGAGTATAAAAGCTTGAAGGGCCCCCGTTCTCTTGTGGTTCGCTAGGTCTACCTCTCCATCTTTCGCCCCGCTTCGTACCCAGGACCGGATCCCTCTTCTTCGCGTTTCTCGAGTGCACCAGCGTCTCATCCTTCATCGACACTGCGTGTCTCTTCGCCTTTCTTCGATCCTCTCTACATTTCAGAGCCCAGTCTCTCGCCCTCTCCCGGCCCTTTGTCCTCTGTACCCTCCGTTCTTCATCCAGCAAGATGTTCGGCAAATTCCTTACCCCTGCCTCCCTTCTCGTCGGCCTCAGCCTCCTTCACCAGGTACGAGCGCACACCGCGCTTATCCCCATGCTTAGCGTCGCCGGTACACCGGAGCGGGACGACGTGCAGCGCCCGAACAATCGTAACCCTTGCGGGCGAGACGTAGATGTCACCGCCGCTGCGGTCGAAGGGTCGACGGCAGCCGTGGCGGACGCGACTGGAGCGTTCACGGTCACTGCTACCAACTTCAACCGGTTAGTTGCCCTCTCGCTGTAGATTGGTAATTGAAAGTCTTACCATCTAATTACTATTCCCCCTTCACGCGTGCAGGAGACGAGATGGCTCGCGCCAAGTGACTGCCCAAGTCGACCCAACGGCTACCGGGCAGAATTTCGTCGCAATGACGGTAACCGTGAACGGTGATCCCGTACGTTTTTGTTTCTTCCCATTGATAGTCGCGCTAATATCGACTCTCCTCTAGGCACCTCGCCAACTCGGATCAGAGCAGCTCACTGCCACCCTGCCCGCTGGGATGACTTGCACGGGTGGAACTGCAGGGAACAAGTGTCTCGTCGTAAGTCTCTTTTATCCTTCTCTCTGTTCGTGTCTAAAGTATTCACGTATCTCTCAGCAATTCGTCACCTTGTCTGGCTTCGGAAACTGCGTCGTCGTTGAACAGGCCGCTCAGGACGCTGGTGCTGCAGCCGGTGCCGCTGCTGGAGGTGCCGCTGCCGGGGGTGTTGCTGCCACCGGCGCTGCTACCAACGTCGGCGACAACACCGTCATTGGAGCCACCGGAGCTGCGAACACCGGCGTCTTGAACAACGGAGGCGATAACACCGCCCTTCCTAACGCGAACACTGGCGTCGTGAACAACGGTGGGGACAACACCGCTCTTCCAGCCACTGGGACTGCGAACACCGGCGTCACGAACAATGGTGGCGATAACACTGCTCTCCCGAACGCTGGAACCGTCAACGCAGGTACCGTCAACACTGAAGGCGACAACACTGCGATTCCGGCTACTGGGACCGGGAACACTCGCGTCGCGAACACGGGAGCTACCAACGCTGGTACTGCCAACACTGGCGTGGGCAACACGAGGGTTGCGAACGCAGGAGCCGCCAACCGAGGAGCGACAGCTGGAACTGCTAACACCGGAGCTGCTAGGACTGCTAACGTCGCCACCGCGAACACGGGTCGTGTTAGCGGCCCCGCTGCCGCGAACGTTGCGGTACGTCGTCTCGTCTCATCCAAATACTTCATGAAATGACCGTTGTTTTCCTCTGTTCGCACAGGGAACGCGCGCTCCTCGTGCCGCTCGAGCGCTCGAGCAACGAGCAGGTCGCAAGTCCGACGACGACACCGGTTGCGTGGAGGAGTTCAAACGCAGCCTCCACGAGTGGCTTTGGGCCTGAGCGCGCTCGCGTTCGGATTTCGGGAGTTCGGCTTAGGAAGGAAGTTTGAAGGACTTTGAAGGAACGCGTAGTCTTATAGTTCCTCGTTTCGTTGGACTGTTGGACTTTTGTACATAGCTTTGGACAATTTGGTACGACGCAGCGAAAGATTTTGGCCACAATCCCGTTGTGAGAAACTATCTGAACCTGCAGGCTAAGCAGATAAGATCAGAATTCGTCTACCAACCCAAGGGCAGGAGTTGTGAACGTTTCAATCTACCGTCTTCGATTCGACGCTCGAATCGTTTCTGACTTTCAAGTTATGGGAATTTGATGCAGGATTTGTCCACGATGATTAATTCCCTACAGCGTCAACCCAGTCCCTAGCCACAAATCTCACATTTGCGTCATCGTCCGGAAGCGATTCGAGGCAGGAGAGTGCTGCAAGGCTATCAAGGTTGGTGTGCGTCGCCGGCTAGTACCTGTGGCCTCGTTAAAGGTTTTCTCCTAGGTCGACTTTCATGAATAAGACAAACGCCCTTCTCGCCATCGTGTACATTATATTCGCGGTATCTCCCATGGCGGTATAAAACAGTAGCGGACGAGGTTAGGAACTCATGTCGCTGACTCATGAAAAGCTGCGACCTCTGAGGCCTGATTCAGAGGCCTCTGAGTTGTCATGAGAGTTGGATATATGTGAAGCACACGAGTCATGAGAATAATAAATCGTTGGAGGTACCTGAGCGATTATTCTCGCTGTCTAACATAAGTAAAAGTCCGTGAGCACCATAAAATCCCCATACTATTACCAGCCGTAAATCCCGAAGAAGATTTTACCTCTTTCTCTCCACTGTGCTATGCGCGCTTAATCATAGAGCCGATTCTAAATTTGCTAGCGTCTGGTGCCTGGCATATCCCTGGTCTCACAAATGGCGGGTAAGGGACCTTCAGATCCTACCATAGCATGATGCTAGAAGACGGAGCGATACCGGGGGGTCGACACGCCCTGCTGAGTCTGTAACGCCGAAGGAATTGTGGGTCCATCACTGATCTCAGGAGTCAGGGGCTATTCTCGTCGTCGCAACGCGATGCAAGGTCGCACCTAAGTAGCATGAGATTCTTTATGCAATGCGAAACACTTTGAAGCTAGTTTCTTTGAACCTGAGATAATCATCCTGAAGAGACCCTCTTCCCTCTCGCAAGCCGTGGGCCATTTTCGCTGGGCAGTTCCCATCTCGCTTATCTTATCTTTCCGACTGTCGGAGATTGGATTACGTAGTCCCCAACGTTCGACGTCGACGTCAAAATCCAACTTGGAGTGAACGTCGAAGATCACAAGAAGTAGTGCATGATGCATACCCCCGTCTTCACCTGTCTTGGTCGACCATACTGGTGGCCAGCGTCGACGGACTACCTTCAAGTCTACGTCATCTCTGTAACTCCGAAGTTTGACCACATCAATGACTTCAACATCGTCCAATCCAAGAGAGAACCGGCGTCATCCTGAGTCTGGGGCACTGCTAAGAGAAATACTGTTATCTCAACGGAAATGGTGAGGTCGCACAGGTGCGTACGAACCTTCGTCATACCGCACATTCCGAGTTGACTGTCATTTCCAGAGGCAGTGCGCACTGCCCGGGCAAGGAGGTGTCAGATGCTTATCGATATGGAGTATTGCTTTGGTGTGCACTGGTACGTGCCCTTCGTTCTCATGCAGCGCTCGACTGTATGTACTGACGATTTGGCTTTGGCCGTGCTGCAGCCTGAGGAATCCTCAATATCAGTGGCTTCCATTTTGACTTATCCGCGCACGAACGCCGTATCCTTTCTCCTGAAGCTGAGGATGCTCTTCGTCACCTCCTCGTCAACCCCGTTACTTCGCACTTCTATCATCAACCTAGGAGGGTCCTGTCGTTCCTTTTCCTGAGCTGGACAGGCCGTCCTCGATGTATGCGTGTGATAGGCCCTATCGTAAGCCTTACTGCGCATGTACTATCAACCTTGATTAATATCAGGTCTATATGATATCTTCAGGTGCCCGCTCGTCCTCTGGTAGCCTTTCTCCCCATCGATAGCCACCATGTACACCACCGCCCTTCAAACGATGTCCTTGTCCTTCTCCACGGTCTTCACGAACTCGACCTCGTCTTCGATCTTCTCGGACACGACTTCCGTCACTACGACTTCTCCGTCCACCACGACCTCTCCGTTCACTACGACCTCTCTCTCCACCAAGGCCTCTCCATCAACCACGAACTATCCCTGCACTGCGACCTATCCCCCACCGCTCTCGCTACCCCCATCGTCGTCGTGCAGCGACACGATCTCGGCCACCACCCTCCTCTCCGTACCATTAATTCCGACATCATGGCCCTCCATACCTCCAGGACTAATTTCGCCTACGGCTGCTCCTCACAACATCGGTGCACCGACGCCATCATCTCCCTCATCTCCGTCACCTCCAGACACTACAGCTCCCGATATACACAATCCCGACGAGCCATCCTCGCACACACCATATTCGCCAACAACGTCCTCCAGCCCGACTCAACAGCCCGGTGACGACGACTTGACAGTGTCGTCGGCACTTCCGAGCACGTCTCAGCCTTCAACCGCGACGCGCGTAGAGGACAGTCCTCGTAGTGGCAGTGCGGATGTGGCAAACCGAGTTTCCGTGCACGCGCGTGGGCGGGTGATCGTTGCGCTGGCTGTTCTCTGGTTGTTCGTCACATAGGGCTGGGATGCGCCGTCGACGACCAGATTCGGCCTGCGTTGCTCATCTCCCATCCGTCTAGGTGCCTTCCCGACTTCTTCGACCGATGGACCTGCTCAAAAAAAAAAAATACGCATGCCCGTGTTCAGCGAGATGAGTACAAGAAGTTTTAACTTTCCCGGCGTCCAAGTTGCAAGGCTCGGTGCTACTTCCTCTGCCCAAACTCCAGCTGCGTTTGGGCCAGAGCGCGCTCGCGTTCGTAACTCGGGGTTCAGATTAGAAAGGTGTAGATTGAAGGAGTTTGAAGGAACGTGTAGCCTTATCCGTTCCTCGTTTCGTTTGACTGTTCTGTCCAATCTTGTACGATTTGGCGAAAGTGATATAGATTTAAGTGCGAAACGCCTGTTACTTTGTTAATTGTTTGTTTCGAGGGAAAGATAAGACAGGATCATTTACAGCCGTCGGTGATGGATAGCAACTTACTCTAGACAGTGCTTTCCTGGACCTTCGACGTTATTGCAATACGATGGCGGGTTATTATCGTGCGTCGCATCTGTCTCGTAGTCTACAACTAGGACCCTCGATCTTGATGATTCCTATGGGATCGCGATGATTTACGTATAGGGTAGTCGAGTCGAGTTTTCACCGGCGAATCATAACGTACTATTTTTGGAAGAAGAGATGTGCAAGGCGTCAAGATATTTTGAGGGTCTCCAGCACCCATCGAAAGCAACCATCGTAACATTGGACGATCGCTCTTCGATGCAGAAGAATAGGACCCATGCAGTTTATCCTATATAGACAGCCCCCACATTCTCGCCGCCATCCACAGACGATATGAATTTGACCCACATTTCTACCAGCAGCGCCTCCGTCCCTGGCTTTAGTACGGCTCCACGCCAGCATGTCCCAATGCGTCTCACTGTGCTGCCGACTTTCACAGAGGCGGGGAGCAGCCAGCGAGACACATCCTCAATCGCGCGGCCAACGTTCCGGCCAACGTTCCGGCCAACGTTCCGGCCAACTCCCATTCGCGGTTTTCCTGGCCCACTTCCCCGCAAATGGCCTTCAATTACGGGAACACTCTTCTCAGAGACATCGTCGATCTTCAAGCCCACCTCACCATTAGATCCCGTCAGAGTTCCTATCACCGGGCCAACTTTCAACCCTGTCCCTTCCGTCACTACCATTCCCAATGTTTCGACCCTCGCTACAGCTTCTACCACAATACTACTAGTCCCGGTAGGTTCTGGAGGTGGTAGTCATGACTCTCTCTCCCTCGTCGAGGTTTAATACTCCCCCCTAGGACGATATACCCCGGTCGAAACTGGTTGCAAATAGTTAGGAATAATACCGCACTCGTTTGCACTCGTTTGTGAACTATTGCCTTACAGCTTCATCATCGAGTTGCCGCGGCTCATCCTACCCTGAATCCATCTTCTCGCTCGTGCACAGCGGGGCGTGGTTTCTCACGGGTGGACCTTTGCAAGTAAATTTAATTAGGCGCCTGCACCTATGGCATTGTTTGACCATATTCCTAGGACAATATAAAGAACGGCGGTATATGCCATTTCATGAATTGTCTACGGTGTTCTTTTGCTATTCCTAGAGCGTTGGTGTCCTGTAAAGCAAGGAGATGATCGAGCACACGAGAAGTGTTCTTTTCCTCGCATTCAGGAGTCAGGACACGCGAAATTGGAATATTTCCAACTACATTTCAGTGATACTCCCGGAATAAATAAAACTATTTACTTACAGAAGAGATCCCATTTCTACATTTATAGCCTGGCCTCCATAGCACTCCCCCCATAGTATTTGAATTGAAACCGTTCTTTTTGCGCAAGGCTAACGTTTTAAGTGCCATTCGCGGTATCTGCTAAAGCGCGAACAACTTAGAAGCTCGTCCTTCTGACCTAGGTGATCGTTCTCCAGACGCGACTCTATAAGGCCCGGGCGCTAACCCCTCGCACGGTTCACGGTCCTTATCTTATCTCTATAATCTCAAGATTGTCTTAGGTAATCACTCTGATTTCTTTGCCGTCGTCTGCGTCGACTTGCGAATCTTCATTAAGGTCGACCTCCCAGACCACAATTGACATGTTCTGCCCAGCGACGCCCACTCTGCGCTCCGCACCTTTTATCCTACCAACGTCTCCGTCGACCATACCGGCAACTACGACTACTGTGAACCTGCCGTGATATCCACAACGTCGCTAGACAACATCAACGACCTCAACGTCATTCTTCTCGTCGAGATTCTCTGGGGACTCCGAAGTACTCTCTCGCTTGCTCAACGGAGGGAATGGGGACCCGGTGAGTCACAACACACATCGCATTGTAGATTTTGACCTGATCGCCAAGTTCAGATGAAATGCTTTAGGAGAACCAGGAGGCAGTTGGGGAAAATTGGGAGAAAGGTTACGTAGGGTACGTTGTCCTCTTTCTTCTCAAGCATTTCACCGTATGTATTGATAATTTGGCGTTCGCCGCTGCGCAGCATGAGGAATCCTCAATATCAGTAGCTTCCATTTCGACTTGTGCGCCCAAGATTAGATACTTTACCTCCCGAAGATGAAGATGCTGTTCGTCACATCCTGGTTAGCCCCGTCGCTCCACACCTTCATCAGCCGCCAAGAAGGGTTGCAACATTCGACTTCAGCTGGACGGAGGAAGAGGTGTCCATGGAGGAATATGATATACCATCGCCGCAGTGATGCTCTATCGTAAGCCTTGACCCGCATATACTTCCAGCCTTAATTAACATCGAGTCTGTATCTTCAGGCTCCCCCCTTAGCCTCTGATAGCTTTCCTCCCGGTGGCTGCCACGTACACCGCCATCCTTCAAACGATGTTCTTGTCCTCCTCCACGATCTTGACCAACGCAACCCCGTCTTCGATCCTCTCTGACACGACTTCCATCACCACGATTTCTCCCTCATACCTTTTCCTACATACCAGCGTCGTCTTGGTGGAGCAACACGGTCCGGGCCACTGCAGCACCAATCCCGACGTCGTGGCCCTCCATACCTCCTGGACTGATTACGTCAACAGCCCCTCACAACGTCGGCGCACCAACACCATCCTTTTCATCATCTTTATCACCGCCTGACACTACGGGTCCCGATATACACAATTCGGACGCACCTTCCACATGAATGTCGTCTTCGTCCTCCACTGACCTAACGACCACCACGTCGACGTCAGGTTTGACGGTATCGTCGGCCCTTCCAAGCACCTCCCAGTCTCCAACAACGACGCCCGTAGAAGATACGAGTCGTAGTGCGGATGCAGAAAATCGAGTGTCCGTGCACGCTTATGCGCAGATAGTTGCTGGCCTACTTGGTCTTTCGTTGCTCGCCATATAATCCCCCGGATTCGCGGTCGACGTCCAGATTCGGCCAGCCTTCAGCATCGCGCCCACGAGCAGCGCCGACGATACTCCTAGTCGGTTATCCCGTTGGACTTTCGCTGTCGCTATATCCTCTCTCCGCGAATGACGGTGTGGGAGCTGAGGAGGTGTTGAGGAGTTGAACACACATTCCGCCCGCTTTCAAGTAGGATATGGTCGGCCATTAAGTCTTTGCACGACAGCTCGATTCCAGGACAATCTCAACCTAATCGCCGTCTCTTTGCCTTATCCAAGATCGCTTGGACGTAACGAGTATTTCATCTCATGTGATTCCAGCCCTCCCATTCGTCTATGTGCCGTGTCGACTTCTTTGACTGATGCTCTTACTGACATTTGTTGCAAACGTAACGCTCGTTCTCGGCGAGATGGTCCAAGCTTAACCGTTCAGCTCCACTATGAACAAGGCGGCACAATTTCCTCTGCTCAAGAATGGAACTTCGAACGATTGTCAACTCCTGATTACAGGGATCTAGAGTACATCTGCACTCCTACTACCACTAGCACGCCACGTAATCTCAAAAGAGAAATATTCCAGCAACGCGAGGCAATTCTCCAGGCGGTAAACCACCTGCGTGAGACCATTGGCCAATATGTCGACATAATTCTTAGAGCTCCCCCTAGCAAGTCAAATGGCTATGCGGAACTTCATTGATCTCACCGCCGACTTGCCCGCTCTAGGGCATTCATCTTACATCCTGTCCCTTGGGCGGTGATGACGACCCTGTCTCCATAATCTCATCGGCGTCATTGTCTAGCAGACAAGCGCCAACAGTGTTGTAATTGCCATGACTGCGGTCAGCCTTCGTTGCGCATGTTCGGGCCATCGAGGCAGCCCAAGTTTGATTTTCGGGTTACAGCGGAACCGTACGAGGCATGCGTTGGGAACTTTGGTGCCATTTCACCGAAGGCCCCGTGAGTCTCAAACGATCGACAGCTGCCGATCGCGCAAATCTTCCTTCCCACGATCGAATGCGCCACATATTCTAAAGGAAGATCTTTTCCTACAGCCGGTGATACCACGAGGTAGTTGTACCGGGACGGTAATTATGAGCGGTACATTCGCATGCGTTCGTTTATCATGAAAATATTGTCGTATATGCCGGAGAACAATCTCGCAGGCTGGAAAAAGTCGTGTGCGGACGTGGACAGATGTGAGCACTATTACTGTCAGGCCGAGGAAGTGATCGCCGGCTTGGCGGTGTTTGAGAACTCTGCTCTCCCGTTTTTCTGAGCTTGTCAGCCCAATATCTCCTTCTCGATCAACGACAGATTGCTTCGTAGTAATATATGTACTTGCGATGCACTCCTTAAGCGGTAGATTGGCGTTATTAAATAAATGCTTAGTGACTCAATTCTTACTTTGCACATCGTTCTAGATGGCACAGTTCCTAGACGATCCTCATAGAAGACATAGATTATCATTCTTCCAATAATGATAATGATACAAGCAACGATGGAGTGTCCAACGCCTAAATTTATCCCACATAGCTGATTACAACTGCCACAGGGGTCTCTTCACGACGGGGGTTAACACGGCTGCTGACCGAAAACCTTCTCCCGGGTCCTGGAGTAGGGTACTTCAACATGAGCTGAGTATACTTACTCCCCTGGAAGTGGATTTGCTTGTCGTCCTAGTTGGATTCAGCGATGTCGACTATATCCCAGTCCACAACCGTTTCGACGATTTCTTCTCGTCCTTCTTTCTCCGCTTCAGTTCCCGGGCCCAGTTTGACACTCTCCACCGCTACCAGTTCCACATTTGCTATCACTGGCACCAGGTCCACCACTCCAAGCGTCACCACCACTCGACCGCCTTCTTCTTCCTCAGTTTCCGCTCCGTCCAGAACGACGTTCCCAACAAGCAGTGCCGCAATCTCTACATCCACCAGGTCGCGCGCAGCGACCAGCTCCCGGCGACCGACATCAACGTCATTTCACACCTTCGCAGCTTCCCCAAGCTCAATTTCACTCGGGCCAGCATCAGAATCCCGGAAGATTCCAGCTGGTAGCATTGCTGCTATCGCTCTTGGGGTGCTCGTAGCGCTGCTCGCGGTCATCTTTTTCGTGAGGCGATGGAGGCGAGCGCAGAGGCAGTGTACGTACTGCGGGAAGGCTTATCTGAAAATTTGTTAAGTTCGGTTTCTTCTATAGGTAAAGAAGAATCAGAGGGAATCGAGGACGATAAGAAGATTACTCCGTATCTCCAGCAAGAAAGTGCTGTGCTGTCATATCGCAAGAGTTCGGGGAGAGCAGAGCAGGATAATAGGTCATCCAAACACCGGTACCTCCCAGGCAGCCCCAACAGCGAGCACAAGACGCTCCCAACGTACTCCGATATTTACAGCCCACAGTGAAAGTGAGATTGAGCATAACTCGCCCGTTTTTGATATCGGTTCCTCTTTAACGGCCGCTCTTATCTATTAAGTTGGTTTAACTACCGTGTACATGTGCCGCCGCAAACGACGATGTCTTTCTGGAGTAGGTACAGACGCAAGAGTGTGCCCTGGTCGACCTTCGCCAAGTCTCATATATATTTGGTGCTCGTAGATGCAGAACTCAGTCGATTTCGAATCTCTACAGCAATAATTTATTTGTATCGAGTCGCGATTCGGAGTCGCTCGGCAGGGGGTAAGTAACACGCACTCCAACTTTGTCAAGCTGCTTTTGTCTTGTCCTCTAGAGTCCGCCAAGTAGTAGTGGCCCCTAAGTGACGCGCCAGAGAGCACGTGCCTATTGGTACATATCGGCAAACGCCGGTCTACCAATTTCCAGGATGTTGACCACCACTACCTTCAGCCGCCGCATTCTCCTTTCCACCGTTCTCCAAAAATCATCACCGTGCACTGCTTGGCCAAGATCCGCGAAGATCTATTTCAGAATAATTACACTTTCGAGCACGAACTTGAAAGAGCGAGACGGCTCCGATGCAGTTGGTAGAAGGGATTCACTAGGTATGCGCCCGTCATTCTCTGAGCTCTATACTATGCTCACGGCTCGGCGTTTTACTGCTGTCCAGCCCGAGGAGCAGGCCTCGAGCTTGAGCTTGAAGGAGCTTGAAAGCTTCTTTTCTCGAATTCAAGCACTCGCCTTGCCAGGCCCACATCTTCTCTTGAACTCGGCGGACGACTTGCCAACTTCTCATCATCGTCGTCGCCGCTCTGCGTTGTTCCATGCTTGCAACATACGACGACCATCATCACGGGTTCTATCAATGACCTCCACAACTTCCGAGTCGCCCCACCCACATCGACAATCGAAAGACAACAGCGCTCGCTGCTTCCCGCATCTCGGGGCATTTGAAGTTGTGTAGAAGAATGAACGGTGATATGGCCCCCGATGTGAGCGCTAGACCTGTTCAAGATGAGTACGTTCGCATCTTTCTCTGAAGCGCGATGTACTCTAGTGCTGAAAATAATTCGTGTTCGGCCCTAGTGAAGTTGAGCCTCGCCCTCGCCCTCGAGCCGGGCTTGCGTTCCTTGTCAGTGAGTCGACGTCGCGTTCTTGTCAATGCAGGCGCCGAACGTCCTTGTACCAACCACCAACCATGGTCTTCGTCACCTCCCCATCGTGCCGTCGTTCTCCGACTCGCGCTGTGCACTGCGACACACCCACTCGCATGAGCACCCGTCGTACATTATCGATTTGTTCATCCTTGCATGAACAAGAAGGTCTCTGATGTTTCTTTTTGTTGAGATGAATGAAGATGCGTATGGTATATACATACTTACATGTTTGACGTCGGTTGATATCATGATTCAGGACTATACACTCAACTATTATCGACTCCAGGTCACTTATCTCCTCCCGTCGACGACCCACTTATAATATACACCACCACCACCACCATCTTTTCCAACGACGTCCTCTTCATCCTTTCTACCAACGAATGGCCTTTTTCGACCTCGACCTCGACTTCCGCCATCTCTCCGACTCTGACTACGACATTAATGTCCGGCACTAGCACTAGCACTAGCACTTCGAATTCGCCGCTAGCGCCCGTCTGAACCATCCTGCCGGCCCTCGAGGCCTCCTTCCGCAGCATCGATATCCATCTCGACCTCCATACCTTGAGGTCTCTGAACCATTTCGCCAACTGTCAATGCGTGCCTTGCGCTTTTGCATTGACGAACCGGACGCTGTTGGCGAATATGGATGGATGGATGGATGGGATAGAGGCGATAGAGGCGATAGAGGGGCCAGGGAACGAGGAAGGGGAAGAGGAAGAGGCGAACTTGAACGGTCGGAAGTGGGGAGATCTGAGATCCGTGGGACGAGACGCGGGACGGCGGTGTTCCGGGTTTTATCTTATCGTTTACGGCCCTTTGCGCGGGCGTTTTTTTTTTTTTTAAAAAGATGGTTCGAGCGGGGCGGGTGGGGATTCATTTATTTGTAGAATAACTTCGTCGATTTATGTAAGTCCGTGTCGAATAAAAATATAAATATAATCGTTGGACTGGGGTTGAAAATTTGCGTTGGATCGTGTATATGTAATATGTAATATGTGGGAGGAATGTCGTAGAAGGCTGAGGTATTTCGTTTGTGCTCATTTTGTAACCGGGGTGTAGTATGTACAGTGGACTGATTTACTTGTAGTCTGTAGTGTATGCGACTTGGTCGTTCGCGGTGATGATGATGATGACGGTAGCTCCCCCTCGCTGGCCGGAGGCTGGAGCTGAGGCTGTGCCTTCTAGTTATGTACGAGCGTCGAGTCGAGTCGATCTGTGTACGTGTATTGCTATAACGATTCAGAACGAGGATGTATTTCGGACTGGCGTATACGTAGGTTCGAGTGTTCAAGAGGGCGGCGGCGATATCGATGTGGAAATGAGGTTGTACGTTTAACGTGCAGAGGTTTAAATTCTACATACCACCAATAAGACTCGGAGCGGAGCGGAGCGGGCGCGGGCGCGGGAGTCTGAGCACTGAGCAGCCACGTCCCGGGCCGACTCTTTCAACTCCTTCGCGCCAATCCCGTGCCCATTCAATACTGGTAATACCACACTACACATCCGCGGAGAGCGCACGTAAAGTAGGGAGGGACGGCAGAGCAAACAGTGTGGTTGGGTTGGGTGGATGGATGGATGGATAGTCGGCCGACAGCGTGTGTGGTCTGTGTCGTCGATGTAGTAGCCCGTGGGGGATACTAGTAGAAGTGTGAGCTGCGAAAGGGCGTCAGTTAGTGCAGAGGCCTCAGGCGGGATTTTATGGTCCAGGAGGCCGGGGGGCGAATCAGAAGAGCTACGTACAGTTTATGGCGAAGTATATGGCGAAGTATACGTATGTGATATGACGGCTCGGGCTAGGCGAGGAATGACCAACGACCAACGAGCGACGAGCGACGAGCGAACGCCGAGCGGGGCACCAACGCACCAACGAGCGAACGGGGGACCTCGATATGATGTGCCACGCACGCACGCACGCACCCGCGCGGGACTATGGGGAGTGGGGAGTGGGGAGGAAAGCGTAGAGTGTTGTCTGGATGCTTAAGGAGGAGGAGGAGAGGTGCGTGGAGAGGGCGTGGGGGTGGCGGACGAGTCTGACGTTGGGGTAAGTAGAGTAGAGTAGAGTAAAGCCCAGGAGAAGGCCCGGGTGTTGTCGTTGGGTCGTTAGAACGGCGGTCATTGGGTCGGCGGTGGGTGAATTTAAAGATGACGTGTGGTGTGGTGCGAGCTCGAGGAAGGTGCGTCGGGCGTCGGGATTGGAATGTGTGTAAGGGGCTGGAGGGGATGAAGGGGATGAAGAGGGTGAAGAGGATGGAGGGGGTGAAGAGGGCGGAGGGGGTCAAGAAGATGGTGTTGGTGCCAAGTGCGCCGACGTTCTGAGGCGAAATTGAAGTTGGCGCATAAGGTAAGTAAGTATGGAAGAGCGTGAAGTCAGAGTCGGGATCGAGGCTAAGTTTACTACCGAATAGACAGTGGTCGTTATCGGATTCGCGCCGCAGCACCGAGACAATAGGGCGGGATACGGAGAGGTAGCAATTGTGGTGACGGGCGACAAGGCTGAGTTGGCTAGTAAAGTGGAGGAGGAGGGTAAGGACATGGACGATCGTTGAAGGGAAGGCAGTGGCGTACGTACGTGGTCGTGTCCTGGCTTTCTAGTTTATTATAAGGAGAAATGAAGATTTCCCCGGTGAGGCCTTGAGGGCTTGGGTTTTTAGAAGTGAGAGAAGGAGCATGTATCGCTGATGGAAGGTGTGGCGGAGGCGGAGAGGAGAGGAGAGGGATCGAAGCGTTGAGCAGACGTTGACAGTTCGAATTTTGAAGATGAAGGTGAACGCTCGATGTTCCACGGGCGAAGATATTCGGAGAGTTCGTCGTCGATGGTGAACCGCATTATCAGGTTCCCTAGCATGTGTCCAGGCATATCGCCACAAGGCGGAGCTCGGAAGGAGGGTAGTGACTGGAGAAGCCAGAGACGGGAGGCCCGAGGGAGGGAGGGTTAGTAGGAAGAATATGTACGCGTCCGTGAGGGAGATGAATAGGGGAGACGGCAGCCTGCCTAGAAGGGATGACTGGGAGCAGCTTAGGTAATCACAACCTCGAATCTCGAAACACCTTCGGACCAACCCGGGGGATAATCTCTCAGGTGCCTAAAGTGCGTCTCATTCTCTGGTCCCCGTCCAGCCCCGACCTCCTCGCACACGAACACACTCGCCGCCAACGCTCATATGTGGCCTTCGTCACGCCGCCCTTCTCCCACATCGCGCCGGGTACCACGAAGCACCCATTACTTCACCCGTTCAACGACGTTTCTTGTCCTGAGGTGCATCGGATCCAGCATGACTCACCACCGCCGCAGAAGTGATCCCAACAGAATCCCTATCATCATCGTAAACCCCACCACCGCGCACATGTATGTATACCTTCCCCGTTGATTGATCAAAGCTATCCCGGGACGAGCTTCCCCCTTCCTTCCGTCGCCCCCATACCCACCGAATGGCCGTCTATACCCCCAGGACTCGCCTCCGTTTCTCTGGGTCCAGGAGTCCCTCCGAATGTTGGTGTTACGAGTGTGGACGACGTGTCGACGCCATCGCCATCGCCGGCTAACGGCGCAAACCCGACTGCTGACGCGCCGCCGTCCCAAACTGGCTCCTCGGACTCGACATCCCCGCCCTCCAGGGCATCGACGTCGACTTTTCCCAGCCCAAACCAGACGCTTATGCCATCCCCAGATCAGACGGCCGAGTCAGGTCTTCAAACCTCGCCCGACTCTCCGTCTTCACCTGCAACACCCACAGACGGCATCCCACGAACGTCGAATGCAGCACGTCCGTCATCTGTCCACACGCGTACGCGACCGCGAGTCATAGCTGCGCTCCTCCTCCTGTGGATGTCGGTCGTGCAGCTGGGTCGGCCCGAGGTCCTGGTCTTCGGGTAGAGGAGCAAGTTGGAGATTCGGAGCACCCTTGAATCCGCGACTGGGTGTTGGGTGGTGGAATCGTGCCTTGCGCCCCTCTCGTTGGTATGTCGGCGAACCGTGCGCCGTCGGTAAAGATGAGGAGATATGAGAGTGGAGGAGATGCCGATGCCGGACGGGGCGGGCAAAGAGGGATCATCTCTAGCGAATTCCTTTCACCGAGCGGCACCCGGAGGAAGAGTCACTAGTCAATCTTCAATCTTCAAAGCCTCACACCGCATGTCGAGTGTGATGTCCTTACCTGGCGTTTTCGCAGTCGTCTCGGACGCAGAACACTATACTTCGCAACTGCAAGGTGTTTGGTATGAGGTATGTACCTGGTTGACGTCGCTCTGGTGCCTCATGATGGTTCGCTCTTCGCCGTCGCCGTCGCCTCGTCCAACAGCGTCGTTCTCTTGCTCCCAACACCCAACATACGCAGGTATCCGAGTCATTCATGTGTTTTCTCGGGTTGAGCCCCGCCAATTATGTAAATGGCCTACGACCTCTACGTGCACCTCGACCACTTCTGGATAATATGTGGTTCTGATACGGTTGGTAGAATGGCTACGTAGGTAGGTAGGTAGGTATGTTTACATCGTTCGTGGGAGTGGTATGCTGAATTGATGATTCTGTGTTTGAACTTTGTCCCGTCCAGCCCGAGTCGGAGGGACGGCCTCGTCGATCAGGCTTCCGTTTTTCGCACCTACATAAATATGTAGTTGTCCATATCGTGGGCCTTTTCCCCGCCGCCACTCTCCCTTCCTCAATGTCGTACTTTGCACCACGAAACGTCCGCTAGCTCCAACCATGCACTTCCCGCGTCATTTCACCCTTTCGACAATGCCGTTTCCGGCATTGCTTTTCCTGGGATGGGGGTGCGTAGGATGCGTGATTCGATGGACCAGCGCAGCCGAGGTGATACCAACACCAGTCCTATTGTGAGCTTGTTGCAAGTCGTACCGCGCCTTCGACGTTGATTGATACCCGTGCTACACTTATATATATACATATCTAGGCCCCCTTCCTCCTCCTCCAGCTCATCTCTTCGCCCCGTCGATTGACTCCCCACGGTCTTCTTCCCAACGACATCCTCGTCCTCCTCCGCGGCCAACTCGACCTCAACTTCCCTCATCCCTACTACCACCTCCCATACCACTACTTCGTCGCTCCCGCCTTGGGTCCTCTCAACGCCCCCGACTACGATGTGCCCCGCAGCGGCCGCGCCCATACCCACCCATATCGCAATATCCGTGCGCGACAAGTACGAGCGCGGGGTATCGACTAGAGTACGCTTCTGCAGGCGTATGCGCGTCGTCGTCGTTGGTGCGCTGGTTCTGGTTCTCCTGTGGTTGTCAGCTACGTATATGTAGCTGGGTTGACTGGAGGGTCGGGTTTTCGGGTGCGGGTGCGGGTGCGGGTGATGGCAGATGGCGGATGGCGAATGTTCAAGTTGGAGAGCACCTTCGGACGTGAGGTTGGTGTCGACGTCGGTTGTGGATGGTAGAGCCGTGCCGTCCGCGGTCATATCGGAAATTGTACGCCGTCAGCGAATGCGAGGAGATATGAGAGTGGAGGCGACGCTGGAGGAGGCAGGCAAAGACCGAAGAGTCGAACGACGCTAGCCATTGAGACGACATCTTCAAGAAGGGTCATTTCTGGCGATCAAGGTCCTCTCCCTATTTCAGTCACCGGAGCGCGTGTGCGCCTGGAGGAGACTCAATCGTCGGATCCAAACGCCTGGAGTATTGTCGCTGCTATCGGCCGATCCACATACCCTCGACTCGAAGACGGGCGAAGTAAATAGGACAAGTCGTTCGTGGACACGCACTATCACTCCTCTGATATTATCGCCCTCCACGCCATACTCAAGTCCCACAAAGAAATTCTCGCCAATCCGATTCAGCATCGTCTGCAAGTCTCGCGATGTCTGACGCATCCCTCCTTCGTCCGCCTCCATCTCCATCCACCCCTGCAATCTCGTCTCCCGCCCCCTCTGAAGCAGGCCAACGAGTAACGAGCAACTACGACCCCAAGATGGATGACAGAAATTATCTTTATTTCCATTCAGAGCGAGAACAATCCGTTACAGGATCACCCTACACCGTTTGAAACTCACATAGAGTGGATGTTTGTGGAAAAGGACGTTGCAAGGAAGGTTTGTGAGAAACATCAGATAGGGAACGAAGGAAGATCTAATCAGACCGCCGTGCACGGTCCAGTCCTAGCTCATGCGCTGAAGAAACAGAAGATGGCAAGAAAAATGTGAAACTGATCGAGACGTGCTTGTCAAAACTTCAGCCGAAATACAAAACGCTCATGGTGTCGAGGTTCCTTCTTTCACGATTGATCTACGCGTAGAATTAGCTCAGTAGATGTACGCAGTCAAAGTGACTATAGATCTCATACCTTCATGCCCAACAGCATCTCGTCATGCATTACAATTCCATCGAAGTTGAACTCCTCCTTACTCCGGCATTTTACGTAGGGCAAGGTTCCGACCACATCCTCCGCAAACATACCTTCGCCGGAGCACATATTCTCTTCCAATTCCAATACATCTCCTTCCACTCCCCCCTGATTCAGTCCCACAACGGATAAGATACAGTGCGGTCCTTCGACTGGCGCCTTGTTCCCAAGGCCGTTATAGGCACGCCTAACGGTCCACGGATTAAAGTCGAGGATGCTGATTGAGCCGCCTCGGGTATACTGTACGTAGCGCTGTCCGGATGAGTTGGATATGAACGCCCTGGAAAGGTCGTCGGCATTGAACCAGCGTGTGACGGATGGGCCCCAATCGTTCCAATCCTGCGTCGGTACTCCATGCTTTTGGATCCCACCCGGCGGCATTGCGTCGTCGGGAAAAGGCATCGATTCCCTAGTCAGCGCAAAGCGTTGGAGTGCCTCCGCAATATCGTCCGCATGCCCCTCCGCTACCTCATCCTCGAGAATGGCGTCCCAAGGGATGAGGTTGAGCAATGCCTGGCGGTGTACAATTAAATGGAAATCGTGTGTCACGGTCGTGTCGCCTTCTGTTTGAGCTGCTTCGAGAGCGAACACGATGATCGCCCGCTCGGGGTCGTTGGCGTAAGGGTGTGTGATAGGAACGTTTCCGGGAAATATCCCGCCGCCTGTCGGGATTGGAGAGGAATGACAAGAGAACGAGATGATGTTAGTCCTTACTCCTGGGCTTTCGTTGAGCTCAGGTAGAAGGAGGGCGTGGATGAGACGAGCACGCGTCGGGAAGGGGTATTTGCATGGAGGATTTGATGCCATCGACTCTGACGACGGGATATGGTAGATGTCAATGGAGCGCCGCAGCGAGTTCGGAGCAGCTACTATATCCTCCCTGAGGAAGACTATCGCAGGGTTGAACACCGGAAACGGCACCTTTCGACGAACCACGTAAGACAGGAACGCGAAAGAGGAACAACCAATGCCATACCGATTTCATATTGCCTTTCTTCCAGTCGAAGAATACGAGCCAACCACTAGGACCTACGTCGGTCTCGAAGATCGAGAATGCAACGGCAATTGCAATGTTTTCACCGCATATTTGAAGGGCAATTTTTGGCTTCCCTTGGGCCTTCTTGACGCGGCACACCCACAACACAGGTTCCTTGGCCATATCATGAGGCTCCCAGGTGGAGTGTCGCATAAGGACTAACATGAGGTTTGACGTATCGGGGTCTTCTTCCTCTGGAGAACTTTACCAACGAGCTCAGACATAAAGTACGTAGAAAGGAAACACGAATTTTACTTACGAAATAAGACAGGCAACCAGATCGTGCTCGTCGACAGCTAGAGTGAATTCGAGAATGTTCATATTCAGGTTGAGTACGTTCCAGTCGACGAGCTCTTCGTCACCACCCAAAAACATTGAGGGAAGTGGAATGCTCATCAAACCCACAGACCCACTGCCGTCGTTTGACTTCATACCCACAAAGGCGTCTGTCAAAGAAACGTCGTACAAGCCTGAGGATATAGCGGGGACAGAGACCTCGTTCCGATCCCTGACGTCGAAGAAGCCCCAGGCGTCATCTCTCGCTTTGAGCCAGGCAAGTCGATCGTCGATTCCATCCTGGCACCGGGGATTCGACAACATCCCAGTCTTCTCCAGTGCGATCTTGTAGTGCAGATCGGCCGCACCATCGATGATGCCGTAGATCTTGCTGCAAGTGACTTTGAACCGCAGAAGCTCGACCACCCCAATGTGATGGAATATCTCGATGAGGACCTCGGGCTCGACGTCTAAAATATGGGCCATGATCGGGAGAGCGAAAAGGATGAATCGATGAAGTGCAGAGTGGAATTGCCTCGAGCCTCGATGAAATATATACACCCGCGCGCAGCTTTGTGGGCGCTGAATGCGATGGGCGCTGACGTGTGTGGGTATCCACGAGGAGGGGTGCGTAATATATATGAATACTCGAGGCCGCCCAAGCCTTCTCACCAGAAGTTGGAAATTTTGAGGTTGAAACTTGAAAGCGCCTCGTCCGGCAAATTCTGCTTGCCGATACTGTAGGAGATAACAGGCCTGATCTAATCTGCTATCTAGCGTATTTCTACTCCTCACATGTCCCGCTCCACCTTTCGAAGACGCGCCGACCATTGTATACGCCCCCTTCGAACTTCGACAATCATCGGATGTCACATTTTATGCGGTTGGAACTCGAAGGTCAGTGCATCGTGGACTTCGGCGCGACTGCCTTTACTCACTAACATCATTGAGCGCGCTCTACCGCGACGCTAATTATAGATCAGCGCTTCATACCTTCGTCTCACCTCGTTGCGTTTAGGCGCCACTATCGGTGCCGTCGCGACGTTCCTTAATTAGAGCTTGTATCACATCTTCCGACTGTGATTCCTCGAGCAAACGCTTGCTTTATCTTCTTAAACTTTTGATATTCTTGTTTGGCTGGAGAAAGAATCACATAAACGCGACAGAACGTGTGTGTGATCCTAAATTTGGTCGAGAATGTTTCTCTCCAGGTTAGCACCATCATCATGATCATCAAAGAGCTTCCCCTGCGCTTTCTTTCATGCGCTATTCATTTGTCAGGCCGTAAGCTCCACCACTGCCCCGGCATCGGACGTTCGCTGGACATTCTGGGTGAGTCGAGCGCGACGCCTTCCTTCCTTTAGCTCCATATCTAAAGAATTTGAGTAGAAGCCTACGGAAAAGATCATTATATTACTCGTTCGTAAGACGAAGGCTTGCATATCTAGCCATTCTGGTTATACAGAGTCACAAGTCGCTCGCCAATAGCACCCGTTCTCATTGGTCTCGAGGGTACGTTGGCGGCTGTTGGCGGGGTGAGGGAACAGAGGTAATCCCACCGTCGATCATCCTCATCATCGTATCATCGATGATCTATACCCATTTGGTTACCTAGCCGGTGGCTCGCGGAGGCGGTACTTTCACAATATCAATGATTCGAGATCCATTTCCGGCTTTATATTCCCCCCAAGACACAAGACGGCGTTCTCCCTTCTCTAGTACCTCCTCCCATCCAAGGTTCAAAGGGACTCAGCTATCCTCTGCCCGAGGCGCCCAATCTCATCGGGCGCCTATTCTCAGCGCCCCGAAGCTAAATCCGAGATGCTCTCGATGCCGATATCAACACAGGACCTGGGCGATCCGTCCAGCTGGCGTCCCGACGTCCCTGCCTCGCAGATCTTCGAGGAGAAGACATGGCTCCAGGGCTCATTCCTCTCCGCCATTGCCTACGGTGTCGTCGTAACCCTCTTCTTCCTCAACTTCAGCCTCCTCCTTGAACGACTGAAGAAGGACCCTTCGAGTTGGCGCACGAGTTCGCACAGACGGCAGAACCTCGCGTTGATCACCTACGTGGGGATCATGTTCGTCCTCAGCACCCTGACGGTCGCGTCGCAGGCGGAAATGACACAGCTCGGGTTCATCGTGAACAGGAACTTCCCAGGCGGTCCTGCTGCCTTTCAGAATGTCATGTTCTCGATACCGGTCAGTAGAATTGGGAATGTGTGCTTTTCGTTGATGAATTGGCTCGCGGATTGTGTTCTGGTGCGTGCTTTCCTCTCTTTCAGTTCAGCATTTGGAGATTAACGGCCTAGTGAAATTTAGCTCTGGAGATGCGTAGTCATCTACAGAACGTCTAGCATATCCATGACGAAAGTCATGGCCGTACCCGTGGTTATGCTCCTGGCCTCCTTTGGTATGTTGTTTTCTTTCTTCCTCTTCAAATCCCTAACTACCGCGCAGTGACTGGTATCATATACCCCACCCAAATCTCCCGGGCTGGCTCCTCGCCATGGGCCACCGAGGCCTTCACGCTCATCTACGGCCTCATCAGCCTTTCGCTCAACATCCTCATCACGGTCATGATCGTCGTGCGCCTTTACCTCCATAGGCGACGTGTTGTTCAAGCGATCGGGGTACGGCATGCCTCGCAGTACACGAGCATCATCGCCATGCTCATCGAGTCCGCCTTCGTCCTCGACGTCGTCGTCATCTGGTTCCTCATCGCATTTGCGATCGAGTCGCCGCTCGCGAACATCGCCCTCTCCACCCTCGTCCAAGTCCAGGTACGCATGTTTCTGGCTGTTTCTGGTCGCAATTGTGGCGCCACCATCCTCATATCTGACCTTGATGGTTCTTGTCCTTGTGATGTAGACCATTGCTTCGTTCATGATCATCTTCCGGGTGGCTACTGGCACAGCGTGGGCCTCATCAAGCGTTGCTGATCGCGACATGGGTACCAAAGAGATAGCAAACCGTATCGCAGAGATCTCTGCGATATGCTTTGGACGCCCTGGTGCAGAGACCGTCACCGCCGTCAATAGCTCGCGGGGGTCCCATTCAAGGGCGAAGACCCCTGATATTGAGCTTGTACCGCCGTTGATATCACAGACAATATTGACCCAGAATGATTTGAAGGTGTAAATGTTATAAATTATGCGCAGACACCCACGAAATATACAAGACTAGTAAAGTCGAACGTCCGTGAGCTCATCCATGTGTACGCGAGTGAAGAGTAGTGCAGTCTTACGATTAGCCAGGCCGTGATGACCCCTATCTGTTCAGTAAATCATGATATTATCTTCGACATTTGGAAGGGGCGATGTAGGTGAGCATAGTCCAGTGCAGGTCCTAGCGGCGAATCATTGTAAGAAATGGCAGTTGGCGGCGAAGAGAGAAGAGCGACGAACGGCATACCGCCGAAATCAACGTCAATATATTTGACTGAGCATTCCAGTGCCGACCACCCTGTCAAGGAGTTATGGAACAAGACCCCGAATACTATACGAGGATCCAAAAACGAAATGAAAGCCTTAAGAGAGCTCAATCAGCGAAACGAGGATGCTTAAGGATATCGAAGAGTGAGACCCACAGAACTAATTCCAACAGACAAACAACACTGGGCGAAAAGCTCGGAAAACGACTACGACCGCCAACACCTCACCCATACGAAGATCACATTGAAGGGCTCAAACACGTAAATTGTTCGCCATACGTAATATTTAAGAGCTACTAAAACCAAATGTTCATTAGCTCCTGCGTATCACACAACTGTAGGGTATACGAACGGCCTTGCGAATTATTTAGTAAGGCCTTGACCGACCCACATCGTTTGTTCAGAGCCGGAGCGGAAGAACTGGCAATAACTCAGTCTACCTCACGAACGTCGGAGAGGAAGGAGGAACAACGTACCATGATGGCCGTCCCACAGGAGATGAACGCAGTCCACATCCCAGTGTCGACAGAGAGGAGCCTCATCCGCTGAAGCAGCGAGCTCGTCCTACATCAATAGTCGGAAGGAACGGATATAAAGTGTAGCGCAGGAGAAACATACGACTTCAGTACGGGCCCCTGTCCGATATAGTGTTTCCAAAGCAGCGCACAAAGGCCGCCTGATATCGAGATGTCGACAGCGGTGCCGACGACGAGGATGGCAAGTAGACGAAATTAGTAGAACGTTGGCTTGCTTTGGCGGCAGAGAGGTCGATGAACCTTCTGGATCGGTGTTGAGATGTTATCGGAGCTGGGAAGACACGGGGTCAACTTCGGCCGTCCTGGTCGACGAAGAACAGTGGTGGCTTACTCGATCGAATGAGATACCACTGCAGAGCAAAACAAGGTTCGCAAATTGAACAGGACGTCAACAATAAAAGACCGTACTGGGCGGAAAACCTAATAGCATGATGATCAGCGAGCGACGGACGGTCAGAAGGAAAAGAGACAAACATAAGTGATATTGAAATAAGATGGGCAGGACCTGTCATCGTTGCATCAGTTTCAGACAGCAGAGATACGGACAAGACCTCCTACTTACGGCGATGATGGGTTTGAACCGCTACTGCGCATATAGTTATATGAATCGTCTTCCACGGCGACGAAGTGATGGCACCCATAGTTCCATATCCGATATGTAAAGAACGTCTGAGCAGATAGCGCTACGAGAGCCTGAAAATGACGTTAGGACGGGCCACCGAGCAGTGGAGATTTCAACCACACACCAAGAAAAGATAAGGCATCTATGGCCGCACATCGTCAACCTGAAACAGCTGAAGGACCACCGAGTGTTGCTAACAAAAACGCCTCTGGGAACTAGTAAGCACAGGACAGCACGATAGAGCAAGTTGAGAACGTACGGAACCCAAATCAGATGTTCATACCAAACGATGGTGTTGAAATACAGCGTATTCGCTGGAGGCGAGGGTTCATCGGGCAGGGCGAGATCGACGCGACGATGGCTCACCTGAGTAGACCGTGAAGGGTTCTCGTAACGTATCTGCGAAGCTGTGACCTTCTTGAACCCTCCTAGAACGATCAACAAGGGCGGTGTTGATCGTACCACAGATATAGAACCTGTAGCGGAAGATTCAACGAAGTAGACTGATGGCGACGACGATCGTTCATCTTCGCGATCGTTGGAGGGTCTAGACAAGAGTTGAGCTCCGCAAAAGGAACAGCAGAAGTCAAACACATACCGAAGGAAGTACCGCAGCCTTCAAACATCTCCGGTTAGACCCTCCTCCGAGTACCACAGGCGGCGAGAAAAGAGTTCACCTTCTGATCCCTATTCCACAACTATCATCAGCGATAGGTTCGCAACGAGCAGAACGAAGACGTACCGATCGAGCCGACGATCCTAGCAGCGTGAAGTTCGCGAGGTACACGAACGATTCTTCGTCTGGCCCTCGCATGAAAAGCTCCATGCCAACCCTATCGATGTCGAATCCTGCCCGGAGAGAAAAGAAAAAAGAGAGGGCGGCATAGTCGAACGTCGAACTGAAGGGGCGGCTAATTGACGAGCATGGCGAGCACGGAGGGAGTAGAGATCAAAGAGAGCATCTTGACCCCGCAAAACAAGGAGGAAGATGGAGGGCTTGGTGTCGTTTCACCGCTGGCCATGTCGGCAATGGATCGACCCCCGAAATGTTCTGCATCTGAGACGATTGAATCAGGTCTAGTGTCTGGTAGGACATAAAGTAGGCACTTACACCGTCATTTTCGTGGAGGAGATCTTTTCAGAAGGTCCGAGGAACGGAAGTCGGATTTGAGTTCAAGTTGGTTCAACTTCAAGTCGAAGGATCGACGTTGCGTCACAGACGTTACCAAAGTAACGCTCCACATAACCCGGACCACCCATTGGTTCAATGGCTTGAACTTGCTCCCCGACCTCCCATAACCTCAAACTCGTATTGGGCTCCGAACAGGCCCAAGACGGTCGAAACTGATCCCCTACTGCCCTTCCTCTGCGTCTTCCAGCATGGCCTCTCGGTATGACGTCGAAAACTCCGCTATCTTCAAAGACCTACAATCTATCGACATCGCTTCTTCTCGCAACGGGCATCTGGGGTGAGTACTAGGACTTTTGCGATGGCATTGAAGGGCTTTGGGTATGTTTAAGCTCAAACGTGTCTAATTCCCCAGTTGTCGCCAAATATCCGCACGAAACGCTAACGTCGACACTCCAACGTCCAGAATACTGTTCGCCTTTAGGTGCAGAGGAAACAAGCTTTGAAAGGATGTTCGAACTTCGGCTGGGTCGAATCAGCCTCGAAGTCGAAAAATATGGGTACGATATATGCATTCTTCTATTCTCTCTTTGCTCATCATCCTCCCAGGTCACTTGGATTTGGTAAAGAACACCTGGTCCTCATCCTCAGCTGCGTTGACGCCAAACTTCTATTAGGACTCTCACGACAATCGGCCAAGGTCTCCTAACGTCCTGAGGTGCATGAAAAACTCTAAAGCGCTCTCGCGCTGCATCTCGTTACGTCGGCTCCGCAATTGAGAAGGATTATTTTGGCTAGGGTTCATTTCGTCGAATATTTCCTTCGGGTGCGCGGGATGCCGATGCGCGATCTTACCGCTATAATCTTTGAGCCAGACATAAAGGAATGGCGGTACGTTAACTTCTCGTCCCATCGCGTCGTAAGTTCTCATTTTCGACACTGATACCAATACCACTCTAACAATTAGCAACAGTCCAACGTCGAGCTGGCGAAACCAACGAAAAGTACGTCTTTCCGTATATCCTCGCAACGAAACTCGCGCTCAAGCTCTCTTCAGCCTGTTGGCGACCCTCATGCCTTTCATCTGTGGGGTGATGTCGCCCAGGAAAACCCCGCTCCTCATACGCGTCATTCTCTACCCCCCTCCACACCGCCGCCTACCCAGCCTGCTTCTCGATATCTTCGCCTATCATGGTTCGTCCTCCTCTCACCCCTCGTCCTCTCAATTCTAACCTTCCGAATTAGTTCTACAGCCTCTACTCCTACCACTTCCTCGTCTACCAACATCTCCTCTCGACCTTATACTTCATGTCTGTGCTTTCGACCCTCGACTCGTCGCTTGTTCATGATGCTTGGAGTGTGGGCGCTGCTCGGCGCAAGACTCTCCGATTTAAGGGCACGGGCACCTCGCGATAGCGTATTCCGGTACGTTTCCGTTAGATTTGAATCCTTCTTCCGCTTCTGCGCATGGTACTGATGATTTGGGTGCAGAATGCGGGCGTGAGTACCGAGTCGCTCTGGTTCGACCATTCGTCGAGCGGGGCCAGCCGGGCGAGGGGCAGGCGTTCGGGACAGTAGGGGGGACATTTACGGAAATGTCGTTCGTGCATACGAGTGCGGGCACGACACCCGAGATTAGCCTATGGAAAATGTAGCTGTAAGTAATAAATTCCATCTACGTTTGCCGTGGGGTTTCCAGGGGTAATTTATTTACTTCTGGATGGATTCGAGATCCAGTCACTTAGCCCGTGCTCTTGACCCCGAGATAAGATCGAGGACTGCCAGTTCTTTCGGTGCGCGTGGAGCTCAGTCGGAAGTCGTGGGAAAAAAAATGTTTCAGGGCCTTCAGGACCTTGGACCACGTCTCGAATCGATAGCTACATATAATACAAAGTCCTTAATTCAATTTCGCCGTACGCACAATTTTATTTCTTGTAGCCTCAGCACCTTGTTTAAAATAAATATCTGGGTGATGTGAACTTCATCCCGCGTATTGTAGGCACAGCCGATCGACTGCAATTATGACGGCCGAAGTTGCCAGTCCATCTCTCACCTACGAGACGAACGTCCCGTCGGCAGATTGCTTCTCAGAGGCACCGCCATAATTTGTCTGACTCGCGCCTTCTCGTCCTTTCTATTCATAATTCATGATTCACCGCTTCTCCATCGAATTCCATTTTCCGGTGTGAGACTCTTCTATGACTTGCTGTTGCGAATTTGACCTAGCGATCAGTCCTGAATCCAGTGACGGTCGATTGTCCCGCATGCGTAGCACGTTCACCAGCGTACAGTCCTTGATCATCCTGCTAATCCTACGTACAACGAACCAAGATAAGTAGCTACCATCACGGCTCCTGACCTCCCGACCGTACTGACGAGTAAAAATACAAATAAATGGCTTTCAGGCCCATGTAGTCATAGTGAATCCTTTCTCGATTCATGATATCTCGCGCGTCGTCTCCGTAGATTGGTTGACCTCAATCGCAGAGTACATTATCCCCCTTTCGAGTCGCTGCCTCCGCCTCCGATGCCGTATTAGTAATACCACGACGACAACTATAAGGAGTACGACGAATAGGACGCCTCCTGCGATGGCGCCGATGACGAATGGGCCTGGAGAGTTTCTTGCAATGCGGAGAAAGATAAGGATTAGCCGATCAATAGAGGGTGAATTCTATCTTACCCCGACCTTTCCCTTGACCCCGAACCATCATCTAACATCTGTGTAGTCGTAGGGAGGACCTCAGAAGATTCGGTCGAGAAAGAGGAATTTGCTGCTTGTGAGGTAGACGAGGCATCGCTCGTCGAGGTTAATCTATCCCGGGAATATTAGAGACGAACTTCAACACGAAACAGGGGATTTTCTTACGTTTGGGTGGGCGAAGGAGCGGGATTTATCACCACAGTCGAAGCTGTCGATGAAGGGTCGACGGGCTGTGAGGGTGGCGTTGAAAGAGCAATTGCGGATCTAAATTTCTACCTATGAGTGCGAAAAGTGGAGCAGGTTTCGAGTGGCTCACGAAATACTAGTAGTAGGCGCTGGCGAGGTATTTCCAGGAGTAGTAATGAGGGGCGTCGTCGAAGGTCGGGAAGATGTTATGAGGGTCGTCTTTGAAGGGGGATTGGTGATAAGACTCTGCTTCGAGGAGGTGACCGATCTGGTCTTGGTGCCACTCGAGGGGGGAGGGGAGTTATTGTCTCCTTCATCGCCGCTGTCGCTGCCACTGCCGTCGTCGTCCCCCCCGCATTTTCCCCCTTGGTTACCCACCCGTTTCGGAGTGCAATTGTGTCTTCCTCTTTGTCGTCTAATAGTTGGAGCCATTAACTGGCCTGGGGCGAGAGATAACACGTAGATCTTGAAGGAAAGGAGATTAGTGATGAACGAACAAGGTGCTACTGACCTGTCTCTTGCTCACTAGTATACTGAGGAAGTTGATCACCCCATTATCATATCGATTAGGGGATGGAGCACGATGGGCAGATGGAAACGACGAGGGTTCTCTTGATCTATCCAAGGCGATGGCCTAAATAATTATTAATAGCGTTCATTATGATCCTAGCACTTCGATCGCAACGATGAATGCGAGGACTTAATTACAGCGCCTCCGATCTTCTTCATGTTGCCGGCCAAGGCGAAGGCAGGCGTTTTTCATCATACCGCACACCGACCCCGCACGACTTGCAGTTGACGTTGTATGCAATTTTAGCGCTGGCCGGCCCGGCACCCCGCCGACAGAAATCAGCGCCCTTGCGCGGCGAGTTCGGTTAACGATCTTCAGGGGTCCCAGTCCAATTACTAATATAATATCTATCTGTAGAAATCAGAGTGTAATTGAAGTGTCCGTATGCGTCCATATTCGGTTATGTCGTCCCTAAATTAATTAGCGTCCGTGCGCTCACCCCTCTAAAATTCTCAGTTACCCCACCAACAGCCAACAGCCTACAACACCCATCTCCACCTTCCAAAGCTAATCGTCTTCACTTTGGACGCCATGGACTTCAATCTTATTTCTCCCCGTTCTGTTCGGTATCACCGCGCGATCCCTTCGACCTCGACATCTCCATCTCAGTGTCCTTGATAGGAAACTCGATCGGTGTCAGCACTTGTGTTGGTACTGTGATGACACCTCCACGGCCTTGGTTTCGAAGCGCACCTCGTGTGTTGAGGGAGGCGAGTAGAGAGTTGATGTAGACTATAGGAATGACAAGAAAAGTGAGGGTAGTTGCGAAAGGCGAGAATAACTCAAGTGGGAGACAAGGACGTACGTTTTCCGAGGGCGAAGTAGAGGCCCATGAAGATGAATTTTTGAGGCCAAAGTGTATACTTTGTAATTATAAGATCAAAGGCGTAAAAAGGAGCAAAAGATGAGCGTACCGTAACTAGACAAGCCAGAGCGCAAATACTACAATAGTGTGAGGCGTGATTGACTCTTCGAGGCGAGCTTTGGGACCATGTTCTCCGTACCTCGTAAGTAAACCTACCAGCGAAGTATCAGCGTTGTTCCTTGCCCAACGACAACACTTCGGGTTCTTACCTGTATTGATTGTAAATGCCATCAAGAAGGTCACGATCGAATCCGTTCTGCGATAAGAACTCGTTATCAACGCTGTCGGAGATTATGGATGTCAGACCAAACACCTCTTGAACCCGGTCCGACTTCGAACGAGGAGCGTACACAACGAGACCGCGATGACCGCATCAGCCGCGACGGCGCCTGAGAAGCTAATATAAAGCATTGCCTACGGGCGCTTGGTCAGAGAAGATATCAGGAAGGGTTGCGCCGGCGGAACATACCGAGACTTCGCCAAGCCCCTTGAACGTTTTGAGGACGTATCTTTCGGGTGTTTTTGGGAAAGGTCGAGGTAATGGGATGTGGAAGCACTGACCCTTTAGACGCAAATCCTGAGGTGATACATTAAGATATAAAAACCTCAGCTTCGGGTTGAATGTTAAACGTACCGAAGGCGAACGCTGATTCGAAGAGATGTGGGTGGGAAGTTCGCTCACTTATACACGAAACGTGACGTTTGCTCACCGAAGACGACGAGCGACAACGCCATCTGCGTATGACGATTAGTTGGCGGTTCACAGTATCTTCGAGGAACAAGATAAGGGAAACTGACAATTACGATCGGAAGAAATCGAGCGAGGAACCTCTTCTCGCCGCATACTGTCAAGGTCGAAAGGATGTTTAACGAGGTATGTTGACGCCAATCAAAGTCGGCCTCACAGATATAGACTCGTTTCGCAAAGAAACTGCAGAGTCCAATCAGAGAACTGACACAGAGTAAGGAAGAGTGACTCACGCCCGAACCGTGAGGTCGCTCAACGCCTACCCATCATCAGTTCACTCGTAATGTTCTCGGACACGTGAGAAGAAAGCCCACAGTAACATATACCCCAGCGAGCATCGACCTGGAGTACGAGGATTCAAAATTCTAATCATTGGCTTTCGAGTCGGCGAGTGCACTCACCACGTCGGATATAGGAGAACTTCGAACTTGCCGAAGTTCGTGACGAGATAAAAGTACAGCCCATGAGTGGTGAAGGCCATGTGTATCGTGTCGAGGATCCTAGTCCAACGGTGGAGTCAGTCCTCCGGCCTTAGACGGGACACGGCAGGCTTCTTACCAGAGAAAAGCGACCTACAAAAAAGGCTTTTAGTGTGTCTATCCCCACGAAGGATCCAATGCGTCTCGTGACGGGCTCACCGTCGCTTTCAACACGCAACTATCCCTCCGATTACCCACGTCATTGAAGTACAGAAACGTCTGTACACTCGTTACGCCGTAAAGTCTACATTCGTCCGGGGTCATTATGAACGAGTCAGATCGGAGAGAAACGCACATAGCGGCCGCCAGCATCCCAAGGAAGGAAGCCCCTAGCGTTTCATCGAGCATGGACATCTTGGACTCTCAACCGACGCCGGTGAGGAGCTGGGCGGAAAGTTGGCGGAGGAATGAGAAATGCGGAGAGAATTGAGGGGTATCGATTCTGCTGGCGAGCTCTCTATAGGTGAACAGCATCACCGTCCATTAATACGCCGTCCCACCTCGCTCTCGCGTTCAAAGGCAATCCGGACACTCAATCGAGGAAGTCACCGACGGCTACAGGTAACCTCCGAGTAGCGGGAAGGAAGTTGGAGCTTCGTGATTTCATTGTCCTTGGACCCCTGTAGACTGACTTTGTGATGATGAATCTGGCGATGCCCCGTATCCCGCTTCCAGGTGAAGAAAGTCAGCTTCTGAAAGCGGGGATCAGGATTCTTGTGTGTTAACCCCGACGTCTTCTAGGTACCCCACGGGTTCTTCTGACTCGGATCCCGGATGATTCTGCGTCCGTGCACTGGATTATTGAAGATATAGATATGACGGACATGGATTACAGATAGGAAGATTCGAAGTCAGGAGGGAAGGTTGCGTTTGTCACAGTCACCTGACGTTACTTGTCACCTCCTGCTTTTCTTCGCCTGCTTCCCTCTTGCCTTTCTGCTTTCAACCTCCCTTCCTCTCCTTCCTCTCCTTTTGCTCTCGCCCTCTCCCCTCGCTGCTCAGCTCCTGCTGCGTTCAAAGTTCAACACACTCCTAGCGGCCCGCGCACGCCCCAACATCTTCGCACCCCATGCCCTGCGTCGGATGTTGGCGGAAACGGATCGTTTTGCCGACGTTGGTACGGGAGACGAACCTCAACCTCGACGTCGGGATTAAAGCGGAACTGGCGTCGGAGGTAGAGATGGATATGGAGGACGGGAGGGACAAGGAAGCCCGAGATTCAGATCCAGCGGGACGAACCAGAACGAGACCTGTGGGAGGGGAAGCCGGAGCGCAAGGCGGAGTAAGGGCAATTCGAGAGAGGATGGCTGGTGATTAATTGATTGCTCGAGATCGTGTGTCCTTGGTTTTCTTTCGGAGGGTTCTGCTAATTTTCCCTATTCTATGGTTGTATTATCTACGGAGGTGTAATGATAGATGAGAAGGTTGAAGCCAGAAGGCGAAGTGCGAGATGACAATCGAAGAATGTTCCCAATTTCCTATTTGCTCGGAGCTCCTGCAACCTCGTAGTCTGTGGACGTCACCTTCTCTTCTCCGTCGATACACTAGGCCAATTCTACGCTTGCGTTTGAAACGAAAGTAAGCCGATTATCTGCGCCTACCTGCTCAGTGCGCGACACTGACGAACATATAGTCGCCTCTGGTTGCCCCACGAATTCAGGAATCATAGTGCAAGTGAGCCGAGCACTATATCGATCGGTAGCGTCTTTTCTTTGTTCTTCTCCTTCGGAGTTTAACCCGGTTCCCTTCCTTTGTGACGATAGAATCTACCAACGCAAGTTCTTACTTCTCGAGCTAGTAGGATTCAAGGTAAGTAAGTGGGCCTCCTCAGATTATGCTAAGCATCGACACATCCGTCCGCAGACCGCCGATAAGTCCTGCGGGCTATTTGGAAATCTGTGTGGCGGGGGCCGACCGTCACCACCAAGTCAGGAGAAATTTTAGCCCCGAATAGGCTTTAACGCCATGCAGGGTGATGCGAACGTCATTCAGAGATAGGCACGTCGTCGCGCGACGTATGTACGTATGTTCAGCGCCTACAACTGTCTTCGGAGCTGACGCTGCCTTCCTCCAGGCGCATTTTAAGTATTTCCTACTTCGTGAGCGGTCGTAAATGAATGACACGCATGGCACCCCGGGCTGTCTTTCTATTCGATGAACCCCCGATAGCTGCGACGAATTAATCTATCACCCATCCCGTGTATGCCACATGCGCACAGCCAGTACGACTTGGTGCGGTACGTTTATATACCAACTATGGTTCCACCGGCTTGTAAGGAACCATCATCGACGATGATTCCTCTGCGTGAAAGCTCAGGTAGGCCTCTGCTTTCCTTCGATCCCACATCCTTGATTTTTTCAGCGACAAGCCAGCTCGCTGGCCACGAAATTAGATTCCTTGCGATGCCTGCGAGGAGGGGCGTAATAGAGCTCGACACGGCTCTCCATCGTCTATCATTTCCTTCTTGACTTGCTGCGTCCGTAATTAGAAAGATCGCCGCGGGTACGTGCATAGGAATTGCGCAGAAGGCGGGGTTAGCACTCAGTGATCATTCTCATACAGGTATCGATCTTGCGCGTACCCATACGAAGACTAGATGTGGATCAACAGCCAGGCAGCGATGCGCGTAGGGGACTGAAAGAAATCACGAAGGCGAAGGTCCTACCCATCCCTCGTTCTGCCGACGCTGGAGAGCTCGAACGCCACTGATCTCGTCAATGATTAGGACGAGAGTGGGCTGACTTTTTATATCCTTCGTTGAGCATGCTCCTCTAGGACCGGAGTAAATATGGGGGGGCATTGTTTAATGGAGATGGAGATTTGGAAGTGCGCCACACGTTCCGCTTGGCCTCATCTCTCGTCCTTCTTTTCTTATTCCTCGCTCCGTCTCCCCTGATCTAATTTAACTTAGCTTCCGGATGTCGCCCACACTCGACGGTACGCTCGGCGCGGCATTCCTTGGGATGCCAGCCACTGCCATGTACGTTTCGTCTCCTTTGTGTCTCTTTCACCGAGCTTCTCGAGCTGGAAAAGCCTCGTTCGCTCATCATCGCTCCCCACCACAGACTCTAAGGTGCAACATGCGTGCAAGCCTTCTCGGACTTCAACGATGTCGGTCACAAGGACGGCAGAGTATAAAAATGGGTGGTGAGTTCGGTCCTTACGAGGGTATCTGGTGCTCTGAAACGAATCAATTTCTAGGTTGCCTTCCTTTGGTAATAGCCTACCCCGGTACCATGCCGAAGCCACGAATTGACGACTCAGGATCGTTGATACGATGCACATGGCCCTAACGGCCCATGTCTGGTACTTCTATGTATCTCGTAACGAACTTTGTCAATTTGGACGATCTGTTGCACCCGGCGTGGTTGGTGCATGCACTGATCCGCAGGAGTGAACGTTCTGAAGCGGAAATATGCGCCATAGGTCTACGTTGTCCGGGGTGTACGTGACGGCGAGTCCCTCCAGTATATCGAGTAAATGGACAAGGGCGCTGACGTCGAGTAGACGATGAGTAATCTTATCGTTCGCGCGTGACCTCAAGTTAATTTCTCGGGGCTATCAGCTCCTCACTGATACACAGTGCCGCGAAAATGGACATCCTTGCTAGAGGACAGAATGCCTGCGAAGCGCGATTCAGATTTGTTCAGCGTTTGGACCATGCCGGTATAGCACCGCCATCACGACTACTCCAGCAAGCGCCCACTGCGTGGGAAAGCGAGAGACGCTTCAACGGCCTTTCCGGCCCGTTCACCCTGGGGAATTGATTCAGCGCAGTGGATAATAGCCACCATCCAACGAACCAGCGAAATGGGGTATTCAAATAATACAACCATGAGTCCAATTACACAGCACCAGACTGTTTCCATTATCCAACGTCCATCCACAACACTGAGCGATCTCCGCATCCATTTCCCCTCAGTCTCCGTCAATCGCTCGATCCGAACCGCATGAGACTCTACCTCTCTATACAGTGCTCTCCGGATGGCCTCTCGTCACAATCCTACTAGTACCCGTATACCCGCCTCCGTCGCCTCTCCTGCCTCTTCATCACCACCACCACCACCGCAAAGAGAAAGAGCATGATGAAGACCCATGCCGCGGCTCCCAGGATTCCACCGATGAAAGCGAAGAAAGCGATCCGTTCGCTTCAACTCGTGCAGGATAATTAATGTCGAAGAGTATGATGGTGAGTGAAGAGGTCCTTTATGTAAGTCCAACGCTATAATGGAGTAAGGAGGTCCCTCACGTCGCTGACAGTGAGACGGACGGCGTCGACCTCGACCTGGTTACGCAACTTGTCGATGCCGGAGAAGGTGAGGTGTGTGTGAGCGGAATGGTGGCCGATACCAGAGACGGCGTAATGCTTCCTGTGAGGTTGTTGGCACTGCTGATCGTTACTCTTATACGCGAGGTTAGCTGGTGTATGGAACCTGATATGAGGAAGGCCCATGACAACGTACGCAACTGTCATAGGAGAAATGTTGCGGGAATTTGAGGGCAACATAGTTGGCGAAGGAAAGCTAGTGGCTTCCCTGCTGGTACTTCTGCCCTTCGAAGCGAGACCCTGCTGCAAGTTCATGATTGAAAGAAGGAAAGGACGTTGTATTTGAGCTCGAAAACGCGATAGGGGGGAAGAGTTATATGCGCGCTTACAGGCTTACTAGTTTTCTGGAAGTGGTGAGTAGCGCATTGCGATAGATGGTGCAGTGCCTATTAGGATGGCGCAGGATGATTGACAGATCGCAAGGACGAAGGCGGTGCATTGGGGTATAATATGTATGTATTGTTGGCCAAGCACGGAGAGGTAAACTCAAATTCCGAATCCTCTGTGTACACTCACACAGGTTCCTCACAGAGAGTCGTCCTCCTCCCCATTGAAGGTTGGACGTCATTGACGCACACCAATTTCTCGATATGGCTAGATTGTGCAATGTAGTGCCTCCCGAGATCGTAATGGGCGCCAATTTTGACGCTGAGAGTTTTGGACGAACACATTTTCTCCCTCATACGATCGACTCCCATACCGAGCACTGCGCATCGTGAACTCAACTAGAAAAAACGGCGCACCAACTCAAGCAGTAACTCAGCATTCTTTCATCGTAAACGTCCCATATCTGTTTCCGCGACTGGAGACCTATCACGTCTATTCATACAACCTTGGTGGCATGCATTCACACTGATCCTGGTTACTTCATAATGGAAATAACTCGATAGTCCCTCCAGTCCCTAGTCTTGTCCCCGTTCCCCAGTCGGGCGCGGGACTTAAGGCTTGATCGTCGTCATATTGACCTCAAAGCAGATTTAAAATGAGGCGAAACTACGAGCTCGCCTTTCCAGGATGGCTTATTTG